ATAATAAATATAGTAATACTATTTGATGGATACTAAATAAGGTATAAATTAAATATGGTAAGAATTAATTTTAACATTGTTCAAAGAATTATTTTTCCTAAAAAAAGTAACTTTTAAAATTAATTATATGTTCATTATGTAATATTTTAGTAAATAAGGTATTACATCTGATTAATGTAATATTTTAGTGTTTAAGGAAAGATTAGTATTCGCTTCGTCCCGTTTTATTTGCTTGTTATTTCATTTTTTAGATGTCAAAAATTATTTATAAGATTCCTAAATTTGTATATTTAAATAATTACTTTTCGCATAATAACTTTTATGATTGTTCATTAAATAAATAATTTTTATTAATATCTTAATGAGTTAAGAGTGAAACAAGTAAAATAATTTTTATTAATTAAATTTTTAATATGTATCTTATTAAATCATGAAAACAAAAATAGACAGAAGAAGTATTATAAATTAAAAACTAATGCATGTGTTAAAAGTCAAAATCGACCGCTTCACTCACTCACCAGTCACCACGTGACACGTGACATTTTACCACGTTTTCCTTGCAGGCAAACTGTCTTCTTCAAAATGTTTTTCAAGTTTCATCTTGCATTAATTTTATTTAATTCATTATTGTTATGCATATTTATTTGGATCTATTGTCCTTGAGCATGTTAATTGATATTGGAATGCTGACACAATTTGATTTGGTCCAATTACTTTAAATCGGCCAATAAGTTACATTTGAGTTGGTCCTTTTAAAACATTGGTAATACCATCTCCTTTGTCCCTATATATCATCAACGTTAGCACATGCAATCTATGAATTACAAATAATCACATTACATGGACCTCTTTTTGCAACAATTTTTATTATTTGTTGTTAAATAATTATTATTATTGTTAAGAAAATTACAAACTGCCAAGCTAATTTAATCCAATTAACAATTTAATTTTTTTTAATCACCTAGTATCTTATACAGATGGGATTAATTCACACGTAACTTTATAAATAAATTTTATAAAAAAAAATAGAATTTATTTCTGTTGATTGAATCATATATTTATCATAAATAAAATATTTTTTTCATATTTATTAATCATACCACACCTAATTCTATTGTCAATATTATGGAGACACCCACTAAATAAGCATGAGAGGGACTTGCAAGTTGCACGACAACGTAAAAAATCTTTGTATGATCAATTTTTATTTTATTTTTAAGAGAAAATTAGTTGTAATTTAATCATTGTATTAAGAACTTATTGATTCTTATCTTACGATTTATTTGGTTCGTTGGTTGATTAAATATCGGGGCTTAATAATGATAATTAAGTTGAATTACCAAATTTCTTCAATGATTAAATGTCATTTTCCATAGTTTTCATTATAATTTCAAATTATTAGTCGTTGAATTTTAATCAAATAGCTATCTTTAGCTACTGTTGGATTTTGAAATTTTACTTTTTAATTCTTTTAAATAGCAAAAATTTTACACTAATCATAATGTGAATACTAATGAAAAGTAAATTCTTGTATTATTTTTATTGTGAAATCCAAATTTATTAGACTTGTACCTTTTTTTTAATTTATTAAAAGTTTTTACGAGCTGAAATAATCATTAGACTTATACATTAAAAGATGGTTGGATCTGTGAAAGTATATTATATTTTAAGAATATTTTATTTATAATATTAGAATTAAAATTTAGAGTAATCGCACTTAGGATGAACAAAACTATTGACTAAACTGAATGAAAAATCGACTCTATCCAATTCAATTTGGTTCGATCAGCATGCTTACAAAAAAGGTCAGATCATTGGTCTAAATGGTTTAAACCAAAATTTTACCAAAAATTAACCAAGCCTATGAAACTGAGCTGGTTTTGTTGAAGTCAAGTTGATTTTAATAGTAAATTCGATTTAGTTTTGCTCTCCTTTAATTTACGGTTAAAAAGATTTTATTTAAATATGAATAAAATTATAGAAATATTTGTAACCAAATAAAAGGAGAAAAAATCATAAAAAAAAAAACAATGACAACCTTTTTCTTCTCCATATCCCAATGGGATGTACTACTCAAAGTGATGATTTGATGGTAAAGGCATCATCTGTTTGTTTGATCCAAAGATTTTACTGTCATGGGTTGGAGGGGAGCAGCATCTTCCATTAGTGCTTAGGAAATCGATGCACTCTATGTGAGTATTTTAATTTAAGATGTTAATATTTAATATCTGATCCGAGTTGGCGGGGCAATGACTAACACATTTAATAATTTTTTTTAAAAAAAAAAAATAGGATGTCACTGCTTTTCTTCAAGAAAGAAAAAAAAAAACCCGTAATTTTGATTTTAACAAGATGTGAGTCACACGTTCACAAATCACAATGCATAAACAAAACGAATTTCCATAAAAGAGAGATCCTTAATTTTGGTACAATCAATATATATTCCTATAACTTATTTGATCATTTGAAACACATGTTTGAAATAATAGGCAGTAGGCTACTAGCTAGGCTGGAGTGTTTGTATAATGTCGTGCGTTACTGGGTTTGCATCGTACAATGTTCACTGGTAAACTCACTTCCATTAAAAATTTAAAAATTAATCTTGTTTATATTTAATTAATTAATACTGCCCATCGTTTTCTTACTTTTTATATTATCAATTTGATTATAACCAAAATTAACCTGAGCACGCACTTTAAAGTACGAGTCATTCGTTTATGACACGAACTTATTTAGATTTAACTTTAATTAGCTTTATCTCTATATTAGACTATACATGTTCTCATCTCATGATATATTTTGATACCCTTGCCAATAATGTTAATGTTTGATAAGATATTAGTAATGACTACTTTCAAAATATTAAATGACATGTCAAATATATTAATTAAGGTCGAACATAGATTTTTTATTTTATATTATATAAATAATAATATCAATTGAAATTTTCTAAAAATATTAGTAGTTGTTTTTTAATTTAAATAATCATAAACACAACGATAGCATAAAAAATTTAATTTAAAAAAATTGTAATTATGTTTACAATATTAATATATCTAACATATAATATATTATAAATTAGGTAACAATTGATAGGAAAAAGAATTAAAATGCAATTTAATTGAGACTTCCATAAGCTTTTGAATATAAATAAACTATTAAGTACAAGAAACTACTAAAATTTAAACGTAACACTTAGATGGTACAACACAAATAAAATTGAAGGATTATATTATTTAATTTTGAAAAACAAATATATATAAATTATATATTTTAATATAAGATAAGAACTAAATAAATAATTAATTCATTTTGAAGAAATTGTGATTAATGGTTGGACCTTCCTTCTCACAAAAAGTTCAGCCAAAGTACGCAAATAAGCACAGCCAAGCAATGAGACAAAACCCACTCAATTCAAAACTTTGCTCTTTCCAAGCCATCGGAGAAGCAGTAGTAGGAATTGTCATCAATTTTTATAATTGGACCGTTCAAATTAAATATATTGTAATTATCTCCATTACTTGTTCTTTTTATGCATCAATCTAATTGGTTGAGAAAATTTAAAATTTCCTTTTTTAATTAAGTGCCAACTATTTTTTCTCATTTTTAATTTTTCGTAATTACCAATATTTTCAAGCAACTATTGAAATTAATTATTTGTGCCTTAAATATAATATAACATGCTGCATTTAGCGTTATGTTTTTTTAAATTTAATTCACATAAAGAAATTATTTAGTGTTGGCCTAAGCCACCCACTTTAATTAAAAAGAGAAAGTTGGTAGTTTTTTTTTTTTTTTTTTTTTTTTTTGAAAAAACAAATATATATTAAATTATATATTTTAATATTAAGATAAAAGAACTAAATAAATAATTAATTCCATTTTTGAAGAAATTGTGATTAATGGTTGGACCTTCCTTCTCACAAAAAGCTTTCAGCCAAAGTACGCAAATAAGCACAGCCAAACGCAATGAAGACAAAACCCACTCTAATTCAAAACTTTGCTCCTTTCCAAGGCCATCGGAGGAAGCAGTAGTAGGAATTGTCAATCAATTTTTTATAATATCTTCGTTCAAATAAATATATGTAATTATCCCCATTACTTTGTTCTTTTTATCATCAATCTAAAATAGAAAAATTTAAAACATTCTCTTAAAAGTGCCAACATCTCATTTATTTTTTCTTAATTACCAATATTTTTCAAGCAACTATTTGAATTAATATTTGGCCCTTAAATATAAAAACATGCGCATTTAGCGTTATGTTTTTTATAAAATTTAATTCACATAAGAAAAATTATCTTTTAGTGTTGGCCTAAGCCACCACTTTAATTAAAACAGAGAAAGTTGGTAGTTTTTTTTTTTTTTTTTTTTTTTTTTTTTTTTTTTTTTTTTTTTTTACCAAATTGAAGGATATTTTTGAAATAAAATTAATTGATTTAAATTTCATCATGAATAAATAAAATAAAATTTATTTCTTTCCATATTGGTAGAAGTGATGCAAACGAAATTTATCAATTCGATTAACATAATCTTTTTCTGTTAATTAAATAAATAATTTTGCAAATTCATCGAATGTCTATAATAAAAATTCATTAAATTTTCAAATGTAATAAAATTAGTTAAGTTAGCAAGAAGATTAAGATTCTCTCAAGATCCCTCTTATACTACCAAACTAGCATTCCAATTAATCACCTCCAAAAACACGATCACAAAACCGTAATTAAAATCAAATGTATATATAATTCGTACTTGGTAGCCAAAACCAAAGACCCCAACGTTTGATAAAACAAAATTTGCACGGCTAATTACAGCTCAACTTGTAATCAACCAATACTCTCCACGTGTCAATCTATCAACGGTCAGAATTCTTGGTCCCACCATTTTTGTTTTTGTCGGAGGACCAACACTATTACAGTAATACAGTCCATATGGGCTTTTCTTGGTCTGCATATAAATATAAAAGAGCACTAACAAGCTATCATTTTAGAAACAGAGAGGACAGGCAGGGCAGAGAGGCAATCAACCCTTTAGCAAGAAGGAGAGGTCAGAATTGCTTACAAATCTCCAAAGAGGGTGAACCCACCCAAAACCCTTATCCTATCTTTGAAAAATAACCATTTGCAAGATTTCATATTTCCTCTCTCTCTCTCTCTCTTTCACTAATAATTAACTTCCTTCTCTACTTTTGGTTTCCTACTCTGCATTTCCTTTCTTGCTATCCTTCTTTTTATTTGGTTTCTTTATTTGCCAATCCTTAACCTTTCTACTAATTTCTTCCAATGGTTATCTAAAAATTTTTTGGTTCAGATTCTTTTTCTAATATATATATATATATATAGCTATAGCCTTTTGTATTCTTTTGTTTTTCCTTTAAAAGATCAGAAATGGCCCCAAGGTCTGGCAGAGGCAAGTCAAACAAAGCTAAAGCAGAGAAGAAAAGGAAAGAAGAGAAAGGTATTCTACTTTTTTTTTTTTTTTTTAGAAGGGATTCTACTTTTTTTTTTTTTTTTTATCTAATTTAATTTCTAATTTTCTTCTTTTCCCCTTTATGTTCTTACAGTTTATGTGTTTTTTTGGCATTTTTTTTTTTTTTTTATCTAATTTAATCTATTTTCTTCTTTTCCCTTTTTCTTACAGTTATGTGTTTTTTTGCAGTGGTAGTTCCCAGTCTTGTTGATATCACTGTCATAACTCCATACGATACTCAAATTGTCCTCAAGGTAGATATTATTTGACCATTTCATTATTATTTTTCAAGGCATTAAATTTTGAAAAAGAAATGAAAAATTAGGTCAAATAAGAACAATCAGATGGCTTACTAGTTGATTTTTTATTTTTTTTGAAGGGTATCTCCACTGACAGGATCCTTGATGTGAAGAAACTATTGGCTGTGAATGTAGAAACATGTCATATAACCAACTACTCTTTATCTCATGAAGTGAGCATAGTTCAATATAATTTTTTTTTCTGACATTAATTAATTAAGTATTTTTTAAATTTATAAATTATTTTTCAATTTCAGGTTAAAGGGCAAAGGTTGAATGACAGGGTTGAGATTGTTGCTTTGAAGCCCTGTTTCCTGAGAATGGTTGAAGGTAGGTGTACCTGTAATTCTACATGAAAAAAAAAATGTTAATTTGAAGTTTTGGTACGTCGGAAATGCATATCGGTGATATCATGTCAGCTGTTCGAATTGTAATTACAATAGAGTAAGATGCATACAAAAAATTATAGATAAAAAAAAAGAACTAATAAAATTAACTGTTCACACATGATAAATAAATAAGTGTTTTGTTTTTATTGAATTATTATTTCAAATCAAGCTACTCACGTGGTATTACAATTATTATATAATTATTGTTCATTAATTTGATTTTCTTTTATGTATGTCTTATTATTTTTATTATAATAATTTCTTCTACTTAAGGAAAAAAAAAAAGTATTATAACACATTTGGCACAGTTAAGAATATAAAAAAAATGCAATTTGTAATGAAAACTAAATTAATTTCATTCCTTTACTGTGAAAACGACAATTTCTTAACCAACGAGGCTATGAAAAAAGATTTTTTTGAATATTTGTTTCTTTATTTACAGGAATATTCTATAATTAGAAAGTTTGTCATATCAGGTAGCATAGAAACAAAAATTAAATTTAATTATCTTTCAATAATTATGTTATATAAAACTACGAAAAGTTTTGGTAAATCTATTATTTTATTAGGTAATTCCGGTAACTGTCAATTATTTTATTAATATTTAACATTTTATAATTAATTTTCTTAAACTTTGAATATTGATATAAATATTATGCTACTAAATAATTAGATACATGAAAGTGGTTGCCAAACAAAGTTAACTAGCTAATAATAATATTTAAATTTTTAAATTTATTAATAATTTAATGGGAGAAAATCTATCATCTTCAAATATTTTTAATATTAGTAAAAAATAAATATATTTTACTTTCGGACTGCTCTAAAACTTTCTTATTAGCTGTAGTAGTCTTGTCTAACACTCTTTTGCTGGTTGAAATAAATTAGTATTATTTTTAATTAATATAAGAGTTAAAGCTGCAATAAAAAGTATTAATTGTTTTACAATCTGCTTTAAAATGATTATTTAATTTTGTTAAAAAAAAATAAAAAAATTTTAATAGCATTTGAAACGGCACGGCATTCTTGTGACTTGTGAGGAGTAAAGCAGCCAAGTCTGAAGCGCCGCCGCCGCCTCCGATTACACGTGAGTTAGGTGTCATGCCAAAAGTCGTGACAAAATTTCCGCCAAATCAATGTGATAATTAATAAATTAATCCCTCCAAAAAAAAAAATAATACTAATAATTAACTTTATTATTATAAAAAAAACTTGTCGTTTCGCAGTTGTCGTTTTTGCCTTTAGCTTTTGCTCATAAAGATACCCTTTTTCATGTGCTCCTTGTGCTCTTATCGTCTGTTTCATTATTCTCCTAGAAAATGGTTATCGTTTTTAGTTAAATGTCAAAAAGGTTAATTATTATTATTAAAATATAAGATATCATCTTACCCAATATTCTCTGCTTATTTACATCTATGCCACTGTCGTTGAACAGAGGACTATGCAGAGGAAGCTCATGCCGTAGCTCATGTGCGGAGGCTTCTGGACATCGTGGCCTGCACCACCAGGTTTGCCAAGCCCAAGCGACCAAGGCCATCAACGCCGCCATCAGAATCAAGGTCCAAAAAATCTAACACTAGTACTAGGCCCCACCACAGCACATCAACACCGTCTGATGTCAATGGGTCCCTTACATCATCTTCTCCGTCTACAACATCGTCATTAGGAACGCTGTCTGTTTCCGCGGCGGTATCGGAGAATTTGGACATGGCCGCTATTCATCCGACACCAAAGCTTTCAGATTTCTATGAATTCTTCTCCTTCTCTCATCTCTCCCCTCCCATCCTCAGTGAGTTTCCTTCTTTAGAACTTCTTTTTTGTTTTAAATTTGAAATCTAGAAATTTTTCTTTATTATTATATTATTATATTTCGGTATGCAGATTTGAGGAGGTGTACCAGTAAAGATGGAGAGCAAAGGCGCGAAGGTGACTATTTTGAAATTCAGGTACATGATTTTGTTTCCCTTTTTTTTTAAAATAAATATTTTGACTATTTTGCAATTTATCTTGGTTTTGCATATTTCACTTCAAATCCACATTATACTTTCATTTTAGAGACATTAAAGCAAAGAAAGTCATGTGCTTTTTTTTTTTAATGAGATGAATTACAAATGGCAACTCAGTTTTTCGAATCTTCATTGTAATTGATGTTTGCAGATTAAAATCTGTAATGGGAAGCTAATTCATGTGGTTGCATCATCAAAGGGGTTCTATACTGTGGGAAAGCAATTTTCCCAAAGCCACTCCTTGGTGGATCTTTTGCAAAATCTTAGCCGAGCTTTTGCCAACGTGGGTATTTTGCTTTACTTGGTTTATTATTCCTGTGTAAATGGGGTTTTATCAGTTTATCCTGTACAACTAGTTTTTGTTTGAAATCAGTTGCCTTATTAACAAACCTGGTTCTTTGATATTGCAGGCATATGATTCCCTTATGAAAGCTTTCGCAGAGCATAATAAGGTGACATTTTTAGACTCACTTGATCTCATTTGCAATCGATGACATTATTTTCTTGGAAAACATGTATGACGTCTCATTTATTTTTCCTTTTAGTTTGGCAATCTTCCCTATGGATTTCGTGCAAATACATGGCTTGTTCCCCCACCTGTTGCTGAATCTCCATCAAATTTCTCATCCCTACCTACGGAAGATGAGAGTTGGGGTGGCAATGGTGGAGGACAAGGAAGAAATGGTGAATATGATCTACGGCCATGGGCCACAGATTTTGCAATATTGGCTAGCCTACCATGCAAGACTGAGGAGGAGAGAGTGACACGAGACAGAAAAGCCTTTTTGCTTCATAGCCAATTTATTGATGTTGCAATTTTCAAAGCTGTTGGAGCAATACGCTGCCTCATTGATTCCAGTTTAAGTGCAAGAGACTTGGTTTCAGGTTCAATTCTGTCTGAAGAACGTGTAGGAGACTTGTCCGTTGTTGTAAAGCATGATGTGGCAGATGCAAGCTTGAAGTCTAGAGAAAAAGTTGATGGCAGACAATTTTCTGGTATCTCTGCTAAGGAAGTTGCTCAGAGGAATTTGCTTAAAGGGGTAACTGCAGATGAGAGTGTAGTTGTTCATGTAAGTACACTGTTCCTTTTCTTCATGTTTGTCTTATTTCTGGCCACTTGCTCGCACACACATACAAAATTGGATGCGCAAAAATGACGAAGGCTGAAGAACGGTGCACTCTTTTCTTCCATTTTTTCATCCCGTTCCTACTAATTACCTATGTAACCTAAGCCATCTGCAGTCTATCTCCTTCTTTCCTTCCCGCAGCCGTCATTCTCTACTTGTCTACATATGTACTTACATGCATAAATATATGCATGTTTTTGCATAGCTGAAACTTGCAGATGTACATAATTTCACAAGCTTAACACATTTTAATTTTCTTAAGAAATAAAAGTATCAAAATGAAATCTAGTCTTCTTAAGGAGAAAAAAGTTACCACACATGTTTCATCCTTTCGTATTATCGATGCCAATCCAATCTCGCCATTCTATGTTCTGTGAAAGAACATAACAGTATCATTTTTACTGCAAAATTTACATCCTCTTTGGTCTTCAACTCCTTCTGGCATATGCTGCTTCCAAACTGTAACTTGACAACCCCTCTCTGGTGCAGCCTATTAATCTTTGTTTGATGCATATGGCCAAATCATTTCAACTGGGTGAAATTTGAAGATTTTTGAGAATGGTAGAATGCTAAGTTTGTATTTGTAATTGAATTTTTGAATCTTTCAAAATTTTTATAAGCAAGGAAGCTGAAGTTATGTCATCAATTTCTCACAGGATACTTCTTCACTGGGTATTGTCATTGTGAGACATTGTGGTTACACTGCAACAGTGAGAGTTGTTGGTGATGTGAAGAAAAGAAACATTGAGGCCCAAGATATTGAAATTAATGATCAACCAGATGGAGGATCCAGTGCTCTAAACATTAACAGGTCTGAACTATAAGCCAATTTTCTCTCTATTATTAGGACTGAACAACCTGCACAGCACATAGATTGGACTTGTATTCTAGGAAATTATGTGGATTGGAATTAATTGTTAGTCATGTCCGTGGTTCAGCTGGTATATGTATATGGTGGGTTTGGAGCAGATCCTATATTAATTGCAAAATGAAGAAAAAATTGTGAATAAACAGTAAGATGTAGAAAATTAATTAGCTTGTGGCTCTCGTCAGATATGAGCCTTGTGTGTATTTGTCATATCCAAAGTCATGATACAGAGGGCTATTGCTGCCTATTTTCTTGGAAAAAGATGTCCAAAAGCTTTTATTCTGGGGATTCTTGCTCAAATGAGAACATGTTTGAGATTTTTTTACCATAACATGATGGAACATGATTTGTGACTTTATGAGCTGTGAGGAGAATTATGTCACGGAAGCGCATCCTCAGATTGTGTTATGGTTCTAATCTGATGAACTGACATAAAAAAGAAAGGTTAGAAAGTGAAAAATAAAGGTGTGAAATCAATGTTACTATGGAGCTAATAGAATAGGGACAGGTATTAAAAACTTTTAGTGCTTTATTGAGAGTATAAGATATGCTTTAAAGGCAATGTACTCGTGGTTGAATGCATGTGCTTTAAAAATAATTTATGATGGACTTATTTGGTGCAAAATGTTTTACAGCCTAAGGTTTCTGCTTCATAAATCTTCTTCTGCGGAATCATCTGGGGGTCAGTCACCTCCCTTCACCTTCGCTGATTCAGAAGCGTCTAAACATCTCATTCGACAAGTAATTAAAGAGAGTTTGACCAAGTTGGAGGGGATGCCAGTTGCTTCTGAAAGGTCCATCAGATGGGAGCTGGGTTCATGTTGGTTGCAACATCTGCAAAAGCAGGAAACTCCAACAGATACTAATTCTAAACACTCTATTGAGACTGATCATGCTGTGAAAGGTCTTGGAAAGGAATTTAAGTTTTTGAAGAAAAGGGATAAGAAGCCTACTTTAGATAGCACCCCTGAGAAGGAAGAACATAAAACTGCTCGAAGCAATCTAAATATGAGAACTGATGAAGCACAGCATGACACTGGGGATTCCAACAGTGAAAATAAATTGAAGGAATTGATTTCTGAAGGAGCCTTCTTGCGCCTGAAAGAGACTGGAACTGGCCTTCATTTAAAGGTTTATGGAAGTATATCCTTTCGTTTGTTCCCATTATTATATTTGTTGTTGTACCAACACTTTTTGCCTATATTTTGCACTAAATGTTATCATTATATTTCTTGTAACAGTCAGCAGATGAGCTTATCCAAATGGCATACAGATATTATGATGACATTGCTTTGCCAAAGCTGGTAATATTCTGTTTATATATTGAATTTTACCATGCCAATAAATTATCATTATTATTATTATTATTTTATGCAGCTCCTCATCTAGATTTCATTATTCAATAGGTAACAGACTTTGGCTCACTTGAACTTTCCCCTGTTGATGGCCGCACGCTGACCGATTTCATGCATTTAAGGGGTCTGCAGATGCGCTCTTTGGGGCGGGTGGTAAGTTTCCCTCTCTCTTCCTTTCTCTTTTCAAGTGTGTCTATCTAGTCATCTATTCTCATTGTATGCATATGTATATATAACATTTTCTATTCTTTTCATGCAAACCTTCTAACTCAAAGCCTATTATAGAAGTTTTAAATATTCTTCAGGAAGCATATTGCTTGATGAAAACTATTGATTTTTCAACTCTTGCAATCCTTTTAAGCTAACAATTTGTGGTTGTAAAGTGCTTTTGGAAAGACTTGTATCATCGAAAACTTTTGGACTTTGTTTTTAAGTAAGATATTCCTATTTTGTTGTTTCTGGGTGTAATCAGGTTGAAATGGCAGAGAAGCTTCCTCACATACAGTCCCTTTGCATTCATGAGATGGTTACTAGAGCTTTCAAGCACATAATTAAAGCAGTTATTGCATCAGTGGACAATGTAGCAGACCTATCTGCTGCAATTGCTTCATCCCTAAACTTCTTACTTGGATCCTATGGCATGGAAGATAATGACCAAAATATGAAGGATGATTATGTTCTGAAATTGCATTGGCTACGAACATTTCTTTCCAGAAGATTTGGTTGGACGTTAAAAGATGAATTTCTGCACCTGAGGAAGTTTTCAATTCTTCGTGGACTTTGTCATAAGGTACCTATTATTTAAACTATTCTGGCTGCTGAATATATTTGAAACGTGCTTCTTACTAATAATAATTTTACCAGGTTGGCTTGGAGTTGGTTCCAAGAGATTATGATATGGAATGCCCAAACCCCTTCAGGAAATTCGACATTGTCAGCATTGTTCCTTTGTGCAAGGTTGGAATTTGTCTTTTATTAGTCTGATTTTCTTGTTTTGCTCTGAGCTGTAAGTAGATTCAATTTGAATTGGATATTGCCATGCTTTGCAGCATGTAGGATGTTCTTCTGCAGATGGTCGAACTTTATTGGAGTCATCCAAAATTGCTCTTGATAAAGGAAAGCTAGAGGACGCGGTTAATTATGGAACGAAGGTGTGTTAACTCGTTCATTGTGGACTTAATGCTATATAATTCCTTTATTTATATTAGAAGCCTGTTGGTCTAATCTAATAATATGGTCTACTTGCATTTTGAAGGCTCTAGCAAAGATGATAGCTGTATGTGGTCCCTATCATCGAACTACTGCAAGTGCTTACAGTCTTCTTGCTGTAGTTCTTTACCACACTGGAGATTTTAATCAGGTAATTAACACTTCCCTGCCATGTACAGCTTTAGTTTTAGGAATTTTGGTTTGCATCATTCTTGTTTCTCTTTATGCAAAGGTATTTGTCTTTATTGTTAGATTATCTGTTAAAGCAAAAGATAAGATGGTGCTTACTATTAGTAGAGGACTGGAGATAAATGATTTTCAACAAGTCAACTTTAATTATAGAATGACTATTCAAGAATCGAAAGTAGAGTTTGGAAGTTACTAGCGTGTGTTCAATCTTATGAATATGATTGCTTGGTAATTGCACGTTCGAGCTAATGCAATATGTAACAAAGTATTAAATGTTTTCAATTATATGAAATTATCAAGAGCTTTGATTACGTTTGCAGATAGGTTCCCAACGTTTCTTTTTTTTTAATTTTTATTTTTTGCATCTGTTCATGTATTAACTGATTATTTTTCTAAAAAATTTTCTTTTCCTTGTTAGGCAACTATATATCAACAGAAGGCATTGGATATTAATGAGAGGGAACTTGGGCTTGATCATCCAGATACAATGAAAAGTTATGGAGATCTTTCTGTGTTTTATTATCGCCTTCAACATATCCAGTTGGCTTTGAAGTAAGTAAAAGATGATCATTGGCTTGGCCTTTTAATATTGGCTAATCATCTTTGTACATTTTATTAGTTGATTAACTGTATTCTACAATAAAAGATACTAGAAAAAACAAAAGTTCTTCAAATGAACCTTGTCATTTTATGTATCCCTTCACATTTAATTTGCAATTAGTTACTTATATGGGAATTGAGTACCTTGTAAATCTAGCTTTTTGATTAACTAAACTATCTGGTTCTAGATTCTTCTTGTAATCTACTTATTATAAAATTCGTGGTATTTGTTCTTTATGCTTTATCAACTCCCTTGATTGGTCCTACATACTATTGGCAGATATGTGAATCGTGCTCTTTTCCTTCTTAATTTTACTTGTGGACTATCCCATCCAAATACTGCGGCAACATACATCAATGTGGCTATGATGGAAGAGGGCATGGGAAACGTTCACGTGGCTCTGAGGTTTCTGCATGAAGCTCTGAAGTGCAACCAGAGATTATTAGGGGTGGATCACATACAGGTTTCCTTTCTCCCTAAAAATTCAAAAAGGCCATTCACATACTAGTCTTCTATAAGCTAAACATTTTTATGAGAAGAAGATGAAGGTCCAAATGCTAAATTTTGTTCACTTGTTCCTTTTTTATCTGACAGACAGCTGCAAGCTACCATGCCATAGCCATAGCTTTGTCATTGATGGAAGCATATTCCCTCAGTGTCCAACATGAGCAAACTACACTTAAGATACTTCAAGCAAAACTTGGACCTGAGGACCTCCGTACACAGGTACCAAAAAACTACATGTCATGATCTGTGTTAATTTGCAAGCCAGTTCCAGCTTAGCTTTCCAAGTCATGAGAGTTGCTATGTTCACGAGATTCATCATTAATCTGTATTGTTATCCTTATCCAAGTCTAAAGGGTCTGGGAATCATGCTAAATAATTGTGTAAAGGGTTTTTGTTTTAATGTGAGGCAGTATTAGCTACGTAAGATTTTGTGTCGTCAATCTGGTGGAGAAAGTTTTATCAAATACTGATTGAGGTGCTACACTTTGTAATGCAGGATGCTGCTGCGTGGCTTGAATATTTTGAATCTAAAGCTCTAGAACAGCAAGAAGCTGCACGAAATGGAACTCCAAAGCCAGATGCATCCATTGCAAGTAAAGGTCACCTTAGGTATTGATATGGTATTCTCCACATTACTTGTTTTTAGATTTGTGACTGTAGCTTGGGGTACCAAAAGCTGTGACCTTTCTTGCAGTGTATCAGATCTCTTGGATTACATTAGTCCTGATCAATATTCTAGAGGAAGCGATACACAGAAGAAACAGCGGCGCCTGAAGGTAGTATATATTGCTTGTTTACTTGAAACTTTTAGACATAAAAATTGGTCCACGGCCTACTTTCTTGCTAAGTAATCCTTCAATTATGGTTAAAATCTGTTCGTTTTTTGTTAATTTTGTTACAAAGCCAGATGTGTTAATTATAAGTCACATGTACTATTAACTCAAAGAAGTCAAGGTATCAGCCTGACATTTGACCTCGCTTTCTCCACAATTAAGAAAAAGAAAAAAGGGGAAAAAATATCAGTTTGACACTTCTCTAACACTGAAAATTTTTAGACCTATTTCTTTTCCTGTGTGAGAGCTCATATCTCAGATTCCTCTAGAATGGACATTACAACACAATTAGTTGTATCAGCTGAATTTTTATCACAGTCTGAGCTTGCTAAACTTTGGTCCAGTAGGTCTATCCACTTGAAGAGAATGATAGAAACTCATGTTCCTTTTTCTAAAATTTGACAGGTACTACAGATTAGTGATAAAGGCCATCAAATTCATCAAGCTGAAATAGTTGAACATGCTGTGCTCCGTGATAGATCTGAAAATGCAGCGTCTTTGGCCAGTGATGGCACAGAAGAATTGAAGGTGGACATGATTCAATGTGAAGAATCAGAAGAACAAGAAAATATCACTGCATACAGAACAACAGTTACAAGTGAAGCTGTTGAAGAAACAGCATCAGATGAAGGATGGCAGGAAGCCAATCCTAGAGGGCGGTTGGGGAATGCTGGTGGGAGGAAATCTGGTCGCAGGAGACCATCTCTTGCAAAGCTAAACATAAATGGTTCTGATTACTCTAGAGAAAGCAACTACAGGAGGGAAACCATTTCGCCAGCTCAAAAACCACATAAGCAAGCAAAAACACGTGGGATGGGTGTCGTGGAGGATTCAATTAAACAACAGGCAAAAGCTTGTGTTCCTAAAACACCATCTTCTGTGGCAAACCTCACTGCTATGGCTTCTAAATCTGTATCATACAAAGAAGTGGCTTTGGCACCACCAGGTACAATTTTAAAGCCATTACTGGAGTCAGTAGAACAATCAAATGAGAAAAAGACTGAAACGCAGACATGCAGCACCCTGAATGAGACATCAGAGGACAGCAAAAATGTCTCAGTTGTAGATAATGCACCAGATGATGCTGAAGTCAATGGAATTCATGATACTGGAAGTCAAGCAGAAAAATCTGGATCTGAACTTGATGAGACTCCTACTTCCAATGAGGATAAGTCCAGTGAACCAAACGGAAGTAAGCTTTCAGCCGCAGCTGAACCATTCAGTCCTGGAGCACTCTCCATGGTTCATTTGCTAAACTCAGTTGCCATGACAAGCATTTACGATATAAGAGCTAGTCAAGGTATGCTTGCAGAGCCAGTGGCACCCCCACTTGCTGCTAGAGTTCCATGTGGACCTAGATCACCACTGTATTATAGAACCACTAGATCTTACCGCATGAAACAAAATTTACTGAAATACCCAACTCCCGTTGCAATACCTCCTAGAAGCATGAATCCACATGCGCCTGAGTTTGTACCTGGGAAAGCTTGGCAAACAAATCCTGGAGATAGAGATTTGAGTCCGAGCGAGTCAAATGCTTCGCTAGAGAAGAGCAATATGAAGGAGTTAGGTAAGGAATCCAACAACGAAAATGATCGTAGTTCTAAAAAGACTACCACTGAGACTGAGAAGGCAGAACTTGCAAGACAGATACTTCTGAGCTTCATTGTGAATTCGGTTCAGCAGAATGCTAATACTGGAAGTGAGCCTGCTATCAGTGATAATAAGTTTGACAGTTCTGAAAGTTCTTCAGATGCAATTGCACATGACAGTGCAATTATAAAAATTCTTTATGGAAATGAAGAAAAGACAAACCAAGATTCTTCAGCCAGTGAGCATGAACAGTCAAAAGCAACAGATGTAAATAAAAAGAAAAATAGTGATAGTGAAGGATTTATTGTTGTAACAAAGCGGAGAAGGAACAGGCAGTTTGCAAATGGGGTAACTGGGTTGTATAATCAACAATCAATTTGTGCTTCTGTTCGTTGAATAGAAAAGAGAGAGAAAATAGAGATGAAAAAAAAAAAAACACAGCGGAGAAGTGCTGTTCTTGTTATACAGTTTTTTTCAGTTGGACAAAGCCCTTCCTGTCTTCTTTTAACACTATAAATGGTTGAAAGACAATGTAGAAGTGAGTTTCTTGCCTTGATCTGTATTTAATTTTATTGGGTTATTGTCCATCTTGGTACATTCTATAATCGATGTAAAAATCTCATTTTTTCTCTGTTTTAGAGAATTTGTTTGATCAATAAATGCCAAGTTTCATTATTTTCTTTTTCTTATTTGGCTGTATAAAATCCCATTATTGTTTGTATTAACTTGGTCTGCCGAACAGAGGAAAGGAACTACAGTGACTTAAAATGTTGACACTTGACAAGAATTTTGTGCAGAAACCATAACAAGAATGCAGCAAAAGAACAGAACAGTCACAAAATTGGTTATGCTTGCTTTATTTACTACTGGGTTGAACCTTCAGTTTCTTTGATTAATTACTATTTAGAGAAATATCATCAAAGGCTTAGTGTTAGTAAGAAACACCTTCCATTTGATTGGCTGAGGTGACTTGCCCAAGCATTTCAACTAATCCCAGTTGCAGAACTACAAGTAGTTCAATTGAAATTATTATTATATTATTATTATTTTTATATTACATAGAATATTAACTAACTGCAACCAAAATTTTCCAGTCTGCACATACATCTTATCACTATGCAGTTTCTTTTTTAATGTTTTATTTTATTTTTTTTTTATTTTTTATTTTTGCAATAAAAGACTCTGAGTTCTTGTTCTTGGACAAGTTAATTGTTAGACTTTTCTTTAATTTATCTTATGCACTAGAAAGTCTTGGTTCCTAACATTTTCTTTTTTCTTTTAGTTGAAATAATCCACACCATTAATAAAAAGAAAGTCATTGGATACTATTAAATTAGTAGCACATTTGACTAACTAATTTTTAATTTCTTACTTGCAGAACAAGTAGTCTTGCTTGACAAAGCACTTTCATTACAATGCATCAGGAAATTTTAAGACAATTTCCTACCTCAACATTTTATCTAAGACTATAATTATTAACACAAATGTAAGTTTCTTGATGAGTGTGAACGAGAGAATTTTTCGACTTCCCTTTTAAATTGACTAATGCATATTTAAAGTTGTAAATGAACTCATCTAATCTATTCCGTACCAGAGACCAATTTGCAATGTAATAGCATATAAAATTAACCAAATTTATTAATCAATATTATTTTTTTTTCCCGTTGGATGTGTTATTGATCGATGGATATGACTATGTCTCACCTGAAAGGATTGAACATTGTGATTTTTAAATGAAAAAATGGCTTTCAACAGCTGATTATGTCCCTTTCAATGATGCAATAACATTATGCAGAAAATGAGTATATAAACCAAGTCAACCTTATTATAAACAAAAAGACTTGAGACAGAACAAAGGTCTGTAACTTCAGAAAAATGCTATTTCAATTACATTATGCTTCATATGGTAATATATTATATATAGTTAACCCTGATTAATATGTACTCTGTACCCATATATCATTCACTCGCTGAAAATTCCTGAACTACCTATCTCTCCGTAGTTCTCGCCACAATGAAGTACTACAATTATCTTTACCTTATTTTATTTTTCTTCTCTATGAGCTTGCAAGTGAATGCTTCAGGAAATGATACTGACCTGATTGCTTTGCTGAAGTTCAAAGAAGCAATAACAAGCGATCCAAATCGAATCTTGGACTCATGGAATGACTCAACCCATTTCTGTAATTGGTTTGGAATCTCCTGCAACTCTAAGGATCAAAGAGTCAAATCTTTAATTTTACAAGGCCAGAACTTATTTGGACCCATATCACCATATATTGGCAACCTGAGCTTCCTCAGCTTTATCAATCTCAAAAACAACAGCTTCTCTGGTCAAATTCCACAAGAAATTGGCAAGTTATCTGTTCTACAGTATTTCTTTGTCACTAATAACTCATTCGAAGGCGAAATTCCAAGCAATTTATCCCTGTGTTCTCAACTTAGGAAAATTGATTTACAGGGAAACAACTTTTCAGGAAGAATCCCATCAGGAATTGGTTCTTTAGTTCAGCTTCAGGAGCTTTGGCTTGGAAAGAATAATCTAAATGGAGAAATTCCAGCTTCTTTAGGCAACCTTTCGTCGCTAAATGTCTTCTATGTCACATTTAACAATTTGACAGGAAATGTTCCTGATGATATTGGAAGATTAAAGAGGTTAAGGACTTTCGCCATAGGTGCTAATCAATTTTCTGGTATAATCCCTCCATCTATTTTTAATATCTCATCTTTAACTAAGTTTCTAGTTACACATAACCATCTAAATGGTAGTTTGCCACAAAATATAGGCTTCACTCTCCCAAATCTTGATTTCTTTGGCATTGGTGAAAACGATTTTTTTGGGTCAATCTCCAATTCTTTATTCAATGCCTCTAAATTGGAAATTATTGATCTTGGTTGGAATAATTTTGTTGGGAAAGTTCCATTGAATATTGGGAACTTAAAAAATCTTTGGAGGATTAGACTTCATGGGAATAATTTAGGGAGTAATTCAAGTAATGACTTGGATTTTATTTCCTATATTACAAATTGTACTAAATTGAAAATCTTAGATTTTGGTAGAAACAATTTTGGAGGTCTTTTTCCCAATTCTGTTGCAAATTTGTCTACTGAACTAAGTTTATTTTATTTTGGGCGTAATCAAATTAGAGGCACAATTCCTTTAGGGTTAGAAAACTTCATCAATTTAGTTGGGTTAGTCATGCACTATAATCTTTTTAGTGGTGTTGTTCCTTATTATTTTGGGAAATTCCAAAAATTGCAAGTTTTAGATTTAACTGGAAATAAATTTTCAGGTGAAATTCCATCTTCTTTAGCTAACTTAACTCAATTGTCTATTCTCTTCTTATCAAGAAACAGATTCGAAGGAAACATTCCTTCAAATTTTGGGAACTTAAAAAATCTGAATTGCTTACTCCTTTCACAAAATAACCTTAGTGGAGCCATACCCCATGAGATTCTCAGCCTTTCTTCTTTATCACAAGCATTAGACTTGTCACAAAACTCATTAATGGGTAATTTACCTCAAGAAATAGGGAAGTTAACTAGCTTAACAACACTACTCCTTTTTGGAAATAATCTCTCAGGTGAAATTCCTACAACCATTGGAAATTGTTTGGGTTTAGAATATCTTTATATGCAAGATAATTACTTTCAAGGAATTATCCCACCTTCTTTAGCTTCTCTAAAAGGCCTTCAATATTTAGATCTTTCACAAAACAATTTGTCAGGAGAAGTTCCAAAAGGTCTGGAAAGCATTCAGTTTTTAGTATATTTGAACCTTTCTTTCAACAGTCTTGAAGGTGAAATACCAAATGGAGGAGTTTTCCAAAATGTAACTGCATTGTCACTAATTGGAAACAATAAACTTTGTGGTGGTGTAGAAGAGCTTAATTTGCCAAAATGTCCAAAAATGGAGGTCAAGAAAGGGAAGTCACTTGCATTTAAGCTAGCAATCATAAGTTCTTGTTTGGGGGCCTTATGTGCTTTCTTCATGTTAGCTTTTATTCTTCTGTTCTACAAGAGGTCAAAATTAGAAAAGAACAGAAATTCTGAGTCCTCCATAATGGACAGCAACCCTGAGGGGTTAGCTTGTGATAAACTGAAGATATCTTACAGTGACATCTTTCTCGCAACAAATGGGTTCTCTTCGAGCAATTTAATCGGATGTGGAAGCTTTGGATCTGTATATAAAGGATTTCTTCATCAAGTAAGAAGGCCAGTGGCTATTAAAGTTATTAAGCTTCAAGTAAGAGGAGCTTCTAAGAGTTTCAAAGCTGAATGCAAAGTTTTAATGAACATTCGCCATCGAAACCTTATCAAGATGTTGGGATATTGCTCTGGTGTGGATGGCAGAGTCAATATATTCAAAGCTTTAGTCTTTGAATTCATGGGAAATGGGAGCTTAGACATGTGGTTGCATCCTGACAATCAATCCAAGAACTTAAGCCTTGTCCAGAGACTAAACATTGCTCTTGATATAGCACAAGCATTACATTATCTTCACGACAATTGTAAAACGGCAATCGTTCATTGTGATTTGAAGCCTAGCAATGTTCTTCTAGATGATGATATGGTTGCTCATGTCTGTGATTTTGGACTAGCAAAGCTCCTCTCAAATTCTCAAAGCCAATTCAGCACAAATGGAATGAAAGGAACTATTGGTTATGCTGCTCCAGGTATATTTTAATTTCTCCATTTGATCTGAAACGAATTGCATAAAATTTTATTTATACACATTGCTATGTTATGAATTGCAGAATATGGAATGGGCTGTGAAGCATCAAGAATGGGGGATGTGTATAGCTATGGGATTCTTGTACTAGAGATGTTTACAGGAAAAAGACCAACGGATGAAATGTTCAAAGATGGTTTAAATCTCCATGATTTTGTGAAGCAAGCGTGGCCGAGAAGACTACTGGAGATTATAGATCCAAATATTCTAGCAGAAGAATCAAAAGCAGCAAGAATAGCAAGTGAAAAAGATGTTCAACATCCATTAGTAGAGGAAGAAGATGAAGGGATTGAGAAAACAAGCAAGATGTCAGAAAATGTGCAAGAATGCTTAGTTTCAGTATTTGAAATTGGGCTTAGATGTTCAGCAGAATCAGCTAGACGAAGAATCAAAATGAGTGATGTGGTCGAAGCACTCGATTTGATCAAGCGTGATTTTCTTGAAGGAAGCAATCCAACAACTATTAGCCAAGATTTATAGAAGATTCAATGTTTTGGGCCATTTGGTCAAATTCAACCCACTTTGATTTCATTACCTTCTGCACAATTTCTTAATTTGAGCATTTTGATTGTTTTCAGTTCGGTCACCATTTCTTGATTACAAATTACTAAACAGTATTACTTTTATATATTTCTTCTCAAAAAAAATTACCTTATATATATATATAGCCATATATATAATTGTATACATTTATTATAAAAATTATAATCAATTAAGCATACAATTGCATTAGTATTGTAATAGTGTTTTTTTTTTTATAAATCACCAACATCCGGATCCTTCCCTTAAACAATTTATCAACATTCAGGAGGAATTTCAAAGGGTCTAGAAAATATTAAATTTTTAATATATATCTGAATCTTTCTTTCAATAATATTCTTGAAGGTGAAAACCAAATAGACATTCCAAAATGTGAGTGCATTGTCACTAATTTGAAACAATAAGTTTTGTGATGGTGGAGAAGAGCTTAATTTGCTAAAATGGCCAGAAAAGGAGATCAAGAAAGGGAAGTCACTTGCGTTTAAGCTGGTAATCATAATTTCTCGTTTGGTGGCTTCATGTGCCTCGATGCTAGCTTTTATTCTTGCATTTAAGCCTTGTTCAGAGACTAAACATTGCTTTTGATGCAGCACTTGCATTACATTATCTTCACGACAATTATAAAACAACGATTGTTCACTGTGATTTGAAGCCTAGCAACATTCGTCTAGATGATGATATGGTTTGCTCGTGTGTGTGATTTTAGTAAAGAAAAGCTCCTCTCAGATGAATATTATAGATGCAAATATGCTGGCAGAAGAATCAAAAGCAGCAAGAATAGCGAGTGAAGAAGATGATCAACTTCTATTAATCGAGCAAGAAGACGAAGGGATCAAAGGCATTGAGAAAATAAGGAAGATGATAGAAGTGTGCAAAAAAAAAGCTTAGTTTCTTAATTTGAAAATGGGCTTAAATGTTCATCAGAACCAGCTAGAGAAAGAGTCCACTGAAGTTTGATCAAGAATGAGTTTCTTGAAGGAAACAATCCAAGCTCTATCAGCAAAGATTTATAGAAGATTCAAGGTTTTGGGCTATTTGTTCAAATTTAACTCAAAAAAAATAAAAATTAAAAAGAAAGTGATGGTTCAGATTTATATAGCCAAGTCACATCAAACCTACAGAACTCGATCTTTGTTCAATCACTTCGTTGCCACTAATTAGGTCACAGGCCCACGTTACCGAGTCCGATCTGTTGAAGTTGAAGTAAACCTATTTTAGGATTTTTTTTTTTTTTTTTTTGAAAAATAGCCAATTTGATTATAGGTGATCACTAAAAATTATAAAAAAACCTTTTTATTTTTTCTTTTTTAATTACTTATTAATGTTATTATCTCCTACTACATCCAAAAGACAGCAAAGAAGTTCAACTTGAATTTGTGAAGCTAATTTTAAAATTATTAGATTATTTATTAGACTTTTAATGGTAATAGTAATATTAAAAAAAAATTTACTATGCAGCGAAAATTCAGTCCATGACAATTCAGAGACAATTGGAGCAAAGATGAAGAAGGAAAGAACGCACAGCTGTCCTTTTCTTATTAGACTTGTAGCCATTAAGAATTTCAAAATCTAGGAAGTTCCTTCCTTCCTTCTATCTATGTCACTGTCCCTAAACTTGACTTCAATTCACTTTAACTTTCACTTTCACTTACCCTTTCCCTTTCCGGCGAAAGTCAACATTCTCTCAATTTGTTCTTGAAAAGACCCTTGCCCACTCAGTAATAAATAATTAACTCATTTCCAAATTTTAACCTTTTTGACAGCTCAAGTCAACCAGCCCACTGTTTTTCTTGATATGACTTGCCCTACCAATAAATGTCTATTTTTACATTAATAAATGTTTGACTTGAGATTGCCAAATTTTCAAATTTGAGATTTGAGATAAAATTCAACAAATTTACAGATTTTATTTATTTTTTATTTGCATACATTTTTTCACTCTTCAACACCAACTATAATCATATAAAGGATTTGTTCTGCAATTGTTTTGAACAACATTTAAATTAATTTTTAATATTCAAATAGTATTTTATAAAAAATTAATCCGTATTTTATAAAAAATTAAATATTATTAAAACAGTTACTAGCTGTCAAATATATCTAAAATCACGCTAATAAAATAACTATCAGCGATTGACACAAAGTTAATTTTACTAAACATGTCTAAAGTCCGCCAAAGTCATCGAAAGTAGGAATTCTATCCCTTTTGGGTTTTCCGCGACGTAAGTAATATTGGGCTATTAAACTTAGGATAGGGATACCTGTAATATAAATTAAAATAAATTCCTTTTTTTGAATTTTAATTTTACACGTTTGAGAATATGTCTATTTTCACTGATTTACCATGAAATTGATAATTTTTTTTTTGGACCACTTGTTAATTCATAATTAACCCATGTATTATTTATTTTTACCTCTTCTGCAGATGATTTTATAATGCATTCCAGTCTGGGAAAAGTGAATCCACAGTAGAATTCTTTGCCAAAAAGAGAAGTGAATCTCAGCCATCCATCTAAAAAGAACAGCTGAGATTAACCTATGTTTTTGAAAATTTGAAATATACCATACAATGAAGATAATTTAGTACATGCAGACTCCTGATACATGTGTGGCAGTCACTTTACAATAATGTCACAGACTCACAGTACTGCCAAAGTGAAAGTGGGAAAGTATTTTTCATTAAATACGAAAGGACGAATCCTAGCCGTTGGTTTGTCAGACAATGGCGCCGCTTGCTTCCTGCATGTTACTGTTGTCATTAAAATCCAACGGTTCCAACCTTTTTACAGTCATCACAGTTGATAGATTTACCGGCGCAGTAGATTGGATTCTGGTCACGTGCTCCATAGGACCCTAGCGCGTTTGGCATCTAAGAAGAATTAGTAGGTAACAACTACAATTTACCTTTAACCAGGAAATTTCAATCCTAATATTAATTAGGTTTACATTTTCACTCCATTAATCAACTCACAGAAAATAAAAACTATTTACAGAATATATTCGACAAAATTTGATATTATTTAGTTTAATAGTAGCTAACTGTTTAACTAGCAGTTCATCAAACGATATAAAGAATTAATTTCATAATTTACACTCTCAAACTCTAAATATTAAATACTAATATAATGTTTTATGCCATCAAACACTATAAATAATAAAAAGTATTGACTTATAAAACATGAAAAGATATTAACGAATACCTTAAATTGAATCAAGTCACTAACTTTTTTTTTTACATGTCTCCTTAACTCATTGAAAATATTAATAAAATCTCTTATTTAATAAAAAATTATAAATATTATTATAAAAAAATAATTTTAATCTCATGAAAATATTTAATATAAATCTCTTATTAATAAATAATTATAAATATTATTATATAAAAAATAATTCTTACAAATATCTAAATTAAAAAATCTCCGCAATAAATTTAGTAACATTAAAAAAAATAACAAAGCGAAAAAAATGGACAATTGTACGGAGGGAGTTGAACCTTCAAGCAAATATAAGCTGAGCATTACCCGAAAAATAACATGATAGAACATATTAATAATTTGTTAAACATATGTGAGGAAGATAGTTGATAATTACTAAAGAAGCAAATATTATTATAAAAAAATAATTATTTACATATCTAAATTAAAAAATCTCGCAAATATATTTTAGTACATTAAAAAAATAACAAGCAAAAAAATGGACAATGTACGGAGGGAGTACATCACAAATATAAAGCTGAGCATTATTCCCAAAAATAAACATATAAACATATTAATAATTTGTTAACACATATTGTGAGGAGATAGTTGAAATTACTAAAAGTAAGCATATTTAGAGGGTCTAAAGTACAACCATAGGCCACATGCACCGACCATTTCTGTTGGAACATGAAATTACCATCCTAATTAACAGTTAACTTAAGATAATTAATCAAAATTTAACAAATCAGAATACCAAATCAATCCACATTAAATATCCTTGATAACTAATTAGCCTCCACCTAGATTTATTAGTAGATTAATCCTAATTAATTCAAGAACAAGAACCATGATCTTGACTATCATTATTATCTCTAGGAGAACTCAAAGGAAAAAGAGGCAGCAATTCAGGAGGATCAGCTCCTCTAGGAGTATTCAGAGGACTTGGATGTAAATAAAACCCTTTCTCAGCAATTGCTCTCTCTTCTTCCTCTCTAGGACTCCCACGCGCAAATAAATCTTCACAAGGTGACCTCGGGCTCACACGCGCTGCCAAGAAATCTAAAGTTGACACCGGAGAAACCATGAAACCTCGCTGTCTAAACTGGAAGAAATCAGCTGGATGCTCCAGACTGTTGTTAATGGTAGAATTATTACTGCTAAGATTGATTTGAAGGTTCTTGACGCTTTGTCTCCTTTCTTGAAGCTTGAATGCAGGTCTTTTAGGGCCAGGAATGGCGGTAGGTCGGCTTGGGTGGGTTAGTGGAAGCTTTTGGGTTGATGGGTCGTCGGGAGCTCCGGTGAGTTTTTGAACTATGGTACGAAAAGTTGATGGGTCAGCTTGGACGAAGGTGGTGTTTGGTGAGGTTGGGTCGGATCCATATGCAGGTGAATTGTGGTGCATGTTCTTGTTTCTGTTTCTTGTTTTGCTTGGGCAAGGAGAAGGGAAGAGTGCGAGAGAGAGGAGAAGAAGGAGAGCTTTTGAAGAGTTTGTCTTTGAGCTGCGTTTGTGTTTTGGATTTGGTTGCTTTGAGATTTGAATGGGGACAATGTTTTGTGGGGTTGAATGTCAGAAAGAGATATGCGTACTGAATAGTAGTAATACTTTGGTTTGGAAATGAGGACTACTTGTTCTATTTCCACAATGGTTTTGGTATTTGTAGAGTAATTGTTTGGTGGGAGATAGCTATTTCTTGTGTCAACAAGTTGTGTTTTCTGTTATAATATTTTGAGTACACGTTTAACTTTAGATGTAGAGGACGGTCCTACATTCTAAGGCCTAAGTTCAATTGCTTAATCATTGTCATTCTATTATTATATACATTAATAAAATTTCTTCGTTTATACTCAGATACATCCGTGAACGTCTGATTTAATCTTGATGTATATAATGAATAAGTTTTTAATTATTGATTAATAATTAATTAATAGAATATTTATAAGAAAGTAATTAAAGCAGATAGCTAACTCTAATTGAGAATGGATTGTGAGATGACAAGCATTTATAGCTTTTGAAGTCTAAATATCCCACTAATAAAGCAATTGATTATAGATGGGTAGAAGTTGAATATCTAATGCAATAATAATAACGAACCAAACAAAAAAAGAAAGAACTTTCAATTTCACAACCGAAAAAGAAAAGAAAAATAGAAAAAAGGGTGTGGAAGGAGTAAGAACAATAATTGCATGGAGAGAAAGAAATAGGAATGAGCTGGCAATGGATGATGAGTCATGCAGGGTCAGCGGTGTTAAGCATTGAAACAAGAAACGAGGAAGGAGACGACTTTGCAGCAAGGAAGCACAGTGGTCAGAGAGAGATACCTCTACCTCAGCCTCAGGAGTCTCTCTCTCTCTCTCTCGTGCCTTTACCTTGTAAATCTATACCATACGATACGTGTTTTTGTTTTCTCTTTCTTTATTTTTTCTGCAATGGTAAAACTTTCTCTGGCTTTTTCTTTCGCTGCGTTTGCGTGACGGATTCCACTTTGACATTTTAGAAAGGAAAATTAAAGTTGATGGATTATTTTTGTTTCAGGTCCTTTTTGAATAATTTTGCTTTGTTGCCTTCTTTCTTTTTAGTTTCTTTGCTTTACTCCTCCTTCTTTTTCTTTCTTTTTATCTTTTGATTGATTGCTTTCTTGGTTTGGTTTGGTATTCTCTTCTTATGCTTTCTTGAAAATTTTGGTAGTTTCTTAATTTATAGGAGTCTTTAAGTTTCTTTTTCCTATTAATTATTCCTATTCCTTTTTTCGATTGCATGACATATTGCATATTCTCTCATTCTTTCTTCCTTATCATATTGTATTTTTTCCGTTAACGTACATAGTTAATTTGATGCTCGAATTATTAATGATATTCAAATAAAATCGTTCCGTTGAGATTTTGTTTTTTTTTTATCATATAATTTTTAGGTTCTTCACTAGTTTTTTCACTTCATTTTAAATACGAGTATGAGATTGATCTCATTTTTATTCATGACCGTCTCTTTCCTTTTATCACATTATTATTTGACTTAATATATAAATTTATGCTCTAAATTTTATTATTTATTGTAATACTCTCAATTTTTTATTTTTGACTCATAAATCATTTCAACTTAGAAACTTACATTTATTAAATACTTAAATTTACAAAGTTAATTATTTATTAAGCATTTCAACTTACAAATTAGATTAAATAAACATTTATTAAATAATTGAGACTGCTAACCACATATCAAATTAACATTTTACATGTAAAAATCAAAAATTTTAAAAAATTACTATTTTTAGTGTGAAAATGCGTTCTACGTCATCAAAATTTACACAATTTATTAATGTACAGGATAAATCATTTATAAAGTTTAGAACGTTGCAAGATTAAAATTATAAAGTTTACAGGTGAATTTATATATTCGTTGATTATTATCTATTAGTCAAATATGTATACATTTTTAGAAGTAAGGTGATGCTCTAGATCAACTTTTTCTTGTGTCAATTATTGAAATTACAAAATTTGATAAATAAGAAAAAATCATATTGATTTCTTAATGTGAAAAATCAAATCTGATTAATAAGGTTTCTTATTAATTAGTCATATTGCTATAAATGGAGGGGAGAAGATTGAAGAAGTATCATGATGATAAGGGAAATGGTCCCCCGTAAATATTATGTTGTCTTGCATTTCTGCTAATTATGGTTTAACAACCGTTATTATTTCATGGTGGAATAAAGCTATATTCACCTTCAGGAGTTCAGAAAAATACAAAATATGAAAAGACAACAATTATTTATTTTTTTATTTTTGTCTTTTTCACTTATTAATCATTACTTATATGAAAACAATTGTTATATATTGATTATAAAAGCTTGTGTACATCAATCTCTTGATGAGACTATTAATGCAAGAAAAAGGCATTTATAATTAATGTTGGTTAATACGGATTAATTTCTTCTTCACATTTGAGTAAGAAATTTTAAATTTAAGTCTTCGTAGTCATAAGTTTTCACTTTAAAAAAAAAAAAGATAAAATTATATCGTGTAACTCATAATATTATTTTAACTTTAAATTTTTAAATCAAAAAATTAAGACTAATCAGAGGTATTCTTCACATGGTTGAAATTAGATTGTCTTTAATAACAACTTTTTATGTAATTTTTATTAAAACGCTAAATACTATTTTTTATAGTATTAAGTAACATAGCGTTTAAATTAATTTTTAGAAATTAAAGTAACGTTTTATAGAAGATTAGCCCCTATAATATTTAACTTTTAGCTTATGAAAAGCTACTAAAACAAATATTAGCTACCAAAACAACTAATTTTGTCGAATAGTCCCTTGAATTTTAAACAATGGAAAGCTAAAAATATAAATAAAGTTGCATTTTAAATATTGGGGACTAATATCAACTACCAATTTGGCCAAAGGATGATGTGCTCGATCTTTTAAGCAACATCTAGAGTTCAAATTATAGCGTAATGAATGGAGAAAATTAGTTTGGTATGGTGGCGGACCGCCCCCATTATGCAAGCATTTGTAGAATCTGAATTTGGATTAGTTGGTTGTGTCGGATTTTTTAAAATATCGGGGACCAACTGATATATTTTTTAAAAAACAAAAAATTTAAGAAGAAAGTTGATTAAATTTTTATAAGTTTAGAAACCATGGTCCTCCAAAAGATTGTTCTGCCCCTAATTCTGTAACTAATTTACGTACACTGATGAAAGGAAATTTCTGGGCGACCTTAATTCTGTAAATATTCATTTTGGCCTGGTTAATTTATAAGTGACTGCATTCCATGTTTAATAAACTAAATTAGAACCCAATATAGTTAAGGTATACAATGCACCAAAAAGGAATAATTAAGGAGATATAAATTATAGTAATTAACAACCAAAAGAGACCATGTAAATTGTAATGAGGTAATTAATTAAAGACGACTAAAACCTCACCCACCCATCGTAGCCAACCTAACTACCGACCACCGCCAACTTTGTGGCCGTCCATCTAAAGTTGGCTAAAAAAATTGGTAAAGTTAAAAATAGTTGTTAACTACTTGAATCAAGACTTGGAAGCCAACGATTTATTTTTTAGTTTTATAATCGTAAACGTCCGTCTTATTTTATTTGTACAGTTTGATAAAAACACATATATTGAAAATTAAGTTAACATAAATCATTTTATTTTTTTTACCCTTAACTCATGATACTGATAAAAGTTTTTCATTTAATAAATAATCACAAATACTATTAAAAAAAATAATTACTCAAGTGTATAAATTTATAAACTTTGCAAATATTTTAGAACATCTAAAAAATAAATAATAAGCAAATAAATTAGGATGGATGAAGTATTTATTTTTATTATTTGGTATTGCCCAAATTTCAGAAAATTACAAAAAGAAACTGAAATTACTTAAATTGATTAATAATATGTATATGCAAGTCAAAGGAAGTAGAAGATTAACCAATGGCTACTTAGATGGCAAAAGGACACCCAATGATATGAGTCAATAAGTGGAGGACAGTATGATTAATTAGCATAATGAACTAGATTGCAAATAAATAATTACTAAAGGGTTGTGTTCTAACTTACTATATTTAATAAATTAATCTTGCCTGCCTAATTAACAACCCACTTAATTGGTGAACATGCTTACATAATTAATATTATTAATAACATGGTTCTTGATTATCCGGTGGAGAAATCACTTTTGCTTCGAGAACAACGGTAGAATGTTATATACTACGTGCTTTCAATCTTTGGTGGAGTTGGCAAGAATCAAATGGAATAGCAAGTATTGACCTTAAAGCATAATTAGTAAATCAATAAACAAATCAACTTACTTAATTATTTGTTCTCCTTCCACTTTAAATAAATTTGTTTGCTCTAATCCTTATGAAATTTTGTTTCTTTAAAGATTTATGTGTAATTAACACGAATACAATCATTTTTTTTAGAAAGTACTACACCGTTTTTATTATTAGAGTAAAATATAATGAAATAATAATACTTTGTCAATTTTTATTTATCATTTAAAGTTTTTGCATAATATTAATAAAGTCATTAAACCACTTGAATTATAACAAAATGTCTTTTAATTTAATTTAATTTAATTATCTTTACCTTTGGTAATTACTCCGGTCTCAACAATTCTCTCCATAATTTGTGAATAGGCTTAATTATAAATTTAATATTTAAATTATGCGAAAAGTTCTATTTTAGTGTAACCTTTGCGATCGGCTGTTTAAATTCATTAAAAATTTTCGATCTGTAGCTTGCATGGATGCTGAAGGAAATACAACTAAGACATATGAGGCCCACCCCATATATACAAATAAGCTGATTAGAACGCCACTAGGCTTCCACGTCATACCTTTTGACCCTATAGATTTAGATATTTATATACTATAGATGATAACTTGTTCTGAGAAAAAAATCAAAAAATTTGCTGTGTAACAAGGAATTGTTGCCATTCACCAGCAAGATTAATGGGCAATTATATTATTGCTTCCAAAAGATCTATATGTAATAAGACAAAGATGAGAACAGACGACACAAAACCTGAAAATAAAGTACCACCTCCACGACCAAATTGTAAGCAACAAATATATTAATTTGGATTGTCTATGAAGAATCAAGAACCAGTCTTTTTAAAGAATTCTTAGGAAATCACTCAATAACACAAAGACTCCAAAAAACAAAAATAATAAACCAAAGAACTAGGAGAGGAAGAACTCAACCGCTTATTTACAGCCACAGTTACAACACACTCAAAATCTCCAACATCCAGACCAAAACCTAAATCAATAACCAAACTTGTCTAAATAAATAAATTAAGAAAAAACTAATAAAATTTGCAATATTCATTCAAGAAACTATTCGAAAAGCCAAATGTTGTGGAGAGAGACCATTAGATTCTAAGAAACTTCTCTCTAAAAACTTTGCAACGACGCCATAGCCACTCTCTCCCTACTGTTAACCCAATTTAATTCTCTCGCAACCCATCATCTCTCTTCCATCTCGCCACACCATATTGGCGTCGCCGGAAAGAAAGTGGAATGGGAAGGGGACGGCGCTGCAATTGTGAAATAGAGGGGAAAGGAAAGATTTGGTCCTCTCTTAAAATCTTAAACGATGGTTATACACCTTGGTTTGGTTCACCTCAGATTCGATTCAATCTGAACTACACACAGTTCTTGATTTGCTCTTGGTTTTGGGTTTGAGTTTGAAAATCCAACTCGGTATCACTTGTCGTTCTAATTGAATTTCAGCTTGCCACGTAAGCCGAAAATACCCCGATTAAAATATTTTTTGGGATTTAAACACTTGATTACAAACGTTTTCCGTTAAAACAATAAAATAGAAAATTTTCAAAAATTGAGATAATAAATTTATAATTATCTCTTATAAATAAAATTAAGAGAGAGAAAAATGGAATTGATAATATATATATTTTAGGAAATAAAAAAATATTGTTTTTTTAGTGAAAATAAATGTAAAACTGAAAAAAAATTAATTAATGTTCTTAAATTTCTCAAAATGACAAATAATTTTGGATAAAACAACTTCTAAAAAACAACACTTAGAAATCAAGTGAGAGAATAAAGTTTTTGATGCTAACTTTGTTCCATAACACTTGTCAGGTTTGAGAAAATAATTTATTTTAAAATACTTATCATATTTGTGGTTTCAAGGAGTAATAAATCTTTTTTACATGTTTACTTTTTGTATATGACCAATAATTATTCCTTCAATTTAATAGTTTTTTAGAGAATTAATATTAAATTAAAGATAATACAGTTAATTTATTCGATAATTTACTAGAACTTATACACATTTAATGGTTTTCTTAAAGAACGTGAAATTTTAAATATGACAAGTATTATGAAATAAAGGTAGTACAAGACAAAGACCATAAATTGCTAAGTTATTATTCCAAACATTGTAGATTTACATATTTTTCTTCTAAAAAGAAATAGGCTTATTTAATTTTAAAGTATTTATCTTTGTTATTATTGGTGGTTTTTTTTTTTTTTTTTTTTTTTTTTTTTTTTGGTTATGTATTCCCAAACAATTGTAGATTTACATATTTTTCTTTCTAAAAAAAGAAATAGGCTTGATTTAAATTTTAAAGTATTTATCTTTGTTATTATTGGTGGTTTTTTTTTTTTTTTTTTTTTTTTTTTTTTTGGTGTGTTCAAACTTGCAGAGCTTGGATTTTTTTTTTTTTTTTTTTTTTTTTTTTGGTGTGTCAAACTTGCAGAGCTTGAGACGGAGGTGCCTCAGGGCCTCATTTGAATTTGCAGTTGGACAAGTAAGTTCAATTAAAATGGGCCTCCAACAGATTTCAGCCCACCAGTTGATTTCTGAAGAATTTATTCAAAATTATTGTTTATCTTATCTAACCTGGTTTGAATTTGCAGTCTAACCTGGTTTCTTCTTCTTACTGTTGTTTGAACTCTGAAACAAACACTGCGTCGTTTTGGAAGGGGCATCTTTTCCCCGTCGAAAGTTTTCCCTCCAATGTGGAAGACAGGAAACGTTTCCGGGAAACTTTTGCGTCGGTTAAGGATGGGAAAGTGGGGCAACAGCAATCCAAATATGAGTTACCCATAGAAGTAGAACAGAAGGAATTCTTCTTTTTTCAATCTGTATTAAAAGAAAATTAATTCAATATTCGCTATTTTCTGTTTAAAAAAAAGATTTTGTTTTTATTTTGAATTTGATGATTGACTTGACTTGAATTAAATGTATTTTATGGTTGTTCCTTATTGACGTTTCAAACTTCTTTATTAAATACAGATTACATACGATATTTGACTTTCATGGATGGAATTCTTAGCTTATAAAAGTTATGATAATATCAAACAGAAATTATAAAATTCATTAACAATTGAAAGTTTTCATTAATTTTTTAAAAATAATTAAAGTCTTCATCAGGCTGTAAGTAATTCAAAAGTCTTCCACTAGTTTACTTTACAGTTCTGTTGTGTTGCATTTTCTGGGTATCACATACTTTCTTGCCATTTTTATGTATAAAGAAACTCTTTTGCTACTTGCTAGTGATCAGAAGTTTGTTACTCCTAATTAGGTAGTAAGTACTCTGCCTTTACAATGGAGAGGCTCTTTGTTAAGTTTTCATTATGGGTTTTTATTATTTTGGTTCAAATGAATGCATACAAAGCTTGTTTGGAACAAGAGAGGATAGGTTTACTCCAAATCAGGGCATTCATAAAATCAAATTGTGAGATTCAAGATAATCTTGACTCATGGGTTGATGACAGAATAAGCACCAATTGTTGTGATTGGGATAGAATTACATGCAATTCTACCTCACAGCGTGTGATTGTGATCTCTCTCAACTTCACAACAGGATCAAAGTTGGGTAGCCCTGACGGATTTTGTAGCCTAAATCTCTCTTTATTTCACCCTTTTGAAGAACTGCTCAGCCTTGATCTATCTCATAATGCGTTTGATGGCTGGATTGACCATGAAGGTATATATATATATATATATATATAATTGACCAGAAGGTATATATATATATATATATTATATATATATACTTGTTGCTCTATGAGGATAAATCCTTGGGGTTTGCGATATATATATATATATATATATATACTTGTTGCTCTTAATGGGATAAATCCTTGGGGTTTGCGGAATCTTTTCAACTACATTAACTTGCCAGTTTTTGATACACTTGTATCACTTAATACTGATTTTTTTTTCATAAGCGTTGCTTGTTCTAATTTACTCCATGAACTGTTCAAATACATTCAAAAGGTTAGACAAGAGAACTTAGTGGATGCATAGGAACACAACATTTCTACTTTAAGGATGGGAATGCTTTTTCAAAAGCACACGGTTAATGCATCTCCTAGGTGAGGGAATTTTATTGACACTTCTAGTCAAATTGTGTGTGTGGAACATTGTAATATCTATTACTCGAATTATCAATTGAGCTAAATTGTTTTAACTGGCTATTAACATAATCAGTATTCTGTGCAGGTTTTGAAAGATTATCAAGCTTGAAGAAGCTACAGGTCTTAGATCTGGGTTCTAATTACTTCAACAGCAGTATCTTATCATCTGTGAGTTCTCTTGTATCACTTAAGACCTTGGTTCTTAGAAGCAATGGAATGGGTGGTTCATTCCCTAGTAAAGGTATGTTTCTTGATGTGGTGATCTTCAAAATGATCCACTTTAATTTGATACCTAATCTGAATTAGTTATTTATGCTTTTTCCTTTTCCACAACTGCATGGTTCAGAATTGGGTGGTTTGAAAAACTTGGAAACATTAGATATGAGTTATAATCTATTCAATGGAACACTCCCAATGGAAGGTACATACCCTCATGAGTTCTTTATTTTGGCTGCTCCATCTTCTGATCTTATATTTTTCCGAAACAGTCACTATTTACTAAATGTATTTTGAGGTACAAAATTAGTTACCTGAAACATAATAGGGACTTCACATTTTTCCTATTATGTTTCATTTGTTTTTTAACATCACAGGGACTTCACATCAGAATTTATGCTTATTGCCTTTTCTTGAAAATTCGAACCTCACAAATTTAGAGGGAGAACTTTAATTAGCAGTGTGATATGAAAAACTACAGTTCATCACTAGTGCTGATTAAGGTTATTTTCCAACGTTTTATCAGCTTTTGTTTTAATATACTGTAGGATTGTGTGGATTGAAAAGCCTTGTTGAGTTGGGTCTCAGTACTAATCAGTTTTCTGGTCCTCTTCCTCAATGCATCGGCAACTTGACTAACCTCCAAGTTCTTGATCTGACATCCAATCTGTTTGGTGGCAACCCACTATCTGTTGTTTCTGAAATCAAATCCCTCAAGTACTTGTTTCTTTCTGGTAATAAGTTTGAAGGCTCATTCTCATTTAGTGCTTTGGCTAACCACTCAAAACTTGAGATATTTCAGCTTTCATCAGGAAATGAACTTTTAGAATTGGAAACAGAAACCCATGGTTGGCTCCCTAAATTTCAACTGAAGATCATTGACTTGCCAAATTGCAACTTCAATGTGCAAACTAGAAAAGTTCCTAGCTTTCTTCTCTATCAGTATGACATACGCTTCATTGATCTCTCTCACAATAATTTGTTTGGAACATTCCCCAGTTGGATCTTACAGAATAACTCAAAGTTAGAAGTTATGAATGTGATGAACAACTCATTCACTGGACCCCTTCAGTTGCCAAATCTTAAGCATGATTTAGTTGAGTTTGAAATTTCAAGCAACAACATCACTAATAAGCTGCCTAAGGAGTTTGGTTTCGTCTTCTCAAATCTAATCTATGTAAACCTGTCAAAGAATAGTTTTGAAGGTAATATTCCTTCTTCAATTGGTGAGATTATAGGACTATCTATTCTGGATTTGTCCAATAATAATTTCTCTGGAGAGTTGCCAGGAAATCTGTTTGTGAATTTGTCCATTCTAATTGCACTAATTCTATCAAATAACAATTTTCATGGGAACATTTTTCCCAAGTATGTGAACTTGCCAGAATTGTATGTATTAGATATGAATAACAACAGCTTCAGTGGGAATGTAAGTGTAGACTTACTGAACATTCCTGGTTTATCTGTTTTGGACATATCAAGTAACAAAGTATCAGGTAGAATTCCGATTCAGCTATGTAATCTGAGTAGTATTGAGATTTTAGACCTCTCAAAAAATATGTTATTTGGATCTTTGCCTTCTTGCTTCAATGCTTCGTCATTGCGGTTTCTGTTTTTGCAAAAGAATAGTCTAAATGGTTTGATACCACATGTGATATCTAGAAGTCCTGATTTAGTGGCTCTTGATCTGAGGGATAACAAGTTTTCTGGAACTATTCCATCTTGGATCAGTCAACTTTCCACATTGCGCGTGCTTTCATTGGGAGGGAATGCATTAAGTGGTAATATTCCTACCCAGTTGTGTCAATTGAGAAATTTGAATATCATAGATCTTTCTCGCAATTCATTTCATGGTTCAATACCTTCATGCTTCAACAATTTATCATTTGGGATGACGGGAGAAGATGAGTTTCAGTCTGCTTCTACTGGTGTGGCGTTTGCTGAACCAGTTAGCTCTTCTGCTCAATACAATGCTACTCTTGAATTGGATCTGCCTGGCCTATTTCCATGGTCGTCCCCTTCAGATAATGTAAAAGTGGAATTTGCAATGAAGAATAGATATAACTCCTACCTTGGTTACATTATCAACTCAGTGGCAGGAATAGATTTGTCACGGAATGAGTTAACTGGCAGCATTCCTCAAGAACTTGGAGATCTCGGTAAAATTCTATCATTGAATTTGTCTCATAATCACTTAACAGGATCTATACCTGTTAGCTTTTCAAATTTGAAGAGCATTGAGAGTCTAGATCTTCACAACAACAATTTGAGTGGTGAAATCCCTACTCAACTAGCTGCGCTGAACTTTTTAGGAACCTTTAATGTTGCCTACAACAATTTGTCTGGTAGAATTCCTGATAAAGCGCAGTTTGGGACATTCAGTGAAAGCAGTTACAGAGGTAACCTTGGTCTTTGTGGAGATATCATTCATAGGAGTTGCAACCTTAAAGAAGCTCCATCAGGAATTGATGCAGAAGAAGAAGAAGAAGAAGAAGGTGCTATTGACATGGAGTGGTTCTACTGGAGTCTCTGTGCATCCTATGTTACAATCCTAATGGGGTTAGTAGCAATTCTGTACGTAAACAGGCGTTGGCGCATGGTGTGGTTTTACTACGTTCATGTCTGTATTTATTCAATTTTTGGAATTGAATTCTACTACTAATCATCTGTCTATGCAAAAATGGATGCTTCTGCTACTACCTTGAAGAATAATATATATTTTTATTATTTTTCTTCTTCTATTATTTCATTTCCTTCAGCATTTGCTTTCCTCTACTCTCTAAACAAAGTCTAAAGTTTTACATTTTCCAAACAAATTTTCTTTCTTTCATTATATCCAAATACAAAAATAGAAAAAAACTATTAAAAGAAAATTGATAATTTTTCATTATTTTTTCCACCAAACTTGTTTTCTTAAAGCTGATTATTTGCGGAAGCATGCTAGACGTAAAACTGAGCAATCAAGGAGTTATTGCTCCTGAGAGGCTCAGACCCAACCACCTCACATTTATTTTATCTTGACTAATTGCCAAAATTATTTATTGCGCCAACTGTCCTTTCTTTAGACTTCAAGTCAATGTAAGTTATTTAGTAGACTTATTATCCTTTCTTTATAGCCGAAAAGTTGGACTTCGTTGACTTCAAGTCAATGTAATTTATGCTTTTGGTAAAGAAATGAATATTAATTTATTAGTCCTGCCTTAAAACTTAATCAGCCATTTGTCCTAAAGTACGTGTATTTATATAGAGTTTAAGAAAATAATTAATTCTCTTAAATTATAGTAAAATCAATGATAATTTGACTGAATTATTATTTATCAGAAAATAAAAAATAACTTATAGATACAGTTATTGTATCTAATGTAAAAAAAGGGTAAGATCGAAAAAATATTATTTATTATCCCTTAAAATACTCAAAACGATTTATATTTTAAGACAAAATAATTACTCAATAACGATTTATATTTTGAGACAGAAGGAGTATAAAGCAAACATATTTTCCTTAGAGAATGCAAATGGAATCGCTAAAATTTAATATTATCATGTAGAAAATTAGAATGATTATATTATACCACGTAGGATTATAATAATTAAATTATACAATGTAGGATTCCAAGCATTTCAAAATGCTTTAAAATTTTATAATTATGATATATTAATTATTTTATTTTAATTTTCTATTAATTGAAATTAATTTGTGAATAAATGAAAAAACATAAATATAAGAATCAATAATATAAGAAATATTATACATTTAACTAAATAGATGATTAAATAAATAATTAGTATAATAAAAATATATCCACTAAATGAAATCGTTATTTCAAAATTCATAAATTTTTTATTTTATAAATAAATTGAATTAAACGGAATATTTTATTTGTAAAATTTTAATCATATATTCTTTAAAAATATTTTAATATCACAATTATAATATTTATATATTTGTTAAATTAAATTTGAACATTGCAAATTTTTAAATTATTTATCAACAAATCAGTTATATAAATATTAAAATACTTTTATACAAAGTGAAATATAAAAATTTAAATTAAATATTAAAAAATTAATATTTGTTAAATTATTTGTACAAATATGCAGTTATTTGAGGTGAGTGGATTCACAAAGAGAGGCAAGTGGGGTACGAATGCTGGTGAAGGAAAAGGAAACTAACGAGAGAGAAAAGGGACAAGTTGAGTGGATAAGTTCAATTAAAATGGGCCTCCAACAAGATTTCGGCCCAGTACTTGATTTCTGAAAAATTTATTCAAAACTCTAACGCGGTTTCTTCTTCTTACTGCCGTTTGAACCCTGAAACAAACACAAGCTCCGCCTTGAACAAATGAGGGGATTCTTTTCGCCGTCAAACGTTTCCGGGAGACTTTTTCGTCGGTTAACGACAGAAAAATGGGGCAACAGCAATTCAAAGATAATTATTCGCAGAACAGAAGAAATTAAAGCTATTTGAAAGCGAAGGACTCGAGGTAACAGAGCCATTTTCTTTTTTCAATCTGTATTAAAAGAAAATTAATTCAATAATCAACAGTTTCTGTTTAAAAAAAAAAAAGGATTTTGTTTTTATTTTTTATTTGATGATTGCTTGTATTGAATGTATTTCTGATTTTTGACGGCTCAAACTTTCCTAACTGTATTAAATACAGGTTACTTATGATATTTGACAATCATGGATGGGATTCTTAGCTTAGGATAATACCCAACTGAAAATTATAAAATTCATAAACAATCGAAAATTTTCATTAAATTTTTTAAAAATAATCAAAGTCTATTCTTTATGCTGTAATAGTCATAGAATTTTATTTAAATTTGTCTTTTGTTTAATAGAATTTTATAATTGATTAAATAATAATACAAAATTATCTATTTTATATCTAATTAATCATTTATATGAAAAAATTTAGTAGCTGATAAATAATCAGGTCGGTGGTCTGATTGTTATTTTTACATGTGTGATAGTCTGATTATTTTTTTCACAAGTGTGAAAATTATAATTTTAATTGTTTTTATCAATTTATTAAGTCAACAAAGACGAATAATATCTCTCAAAATATCATTTTCCGCTTACATTTTTTTTTTTCTTTTGTCAATTTGTAGAGTCCACCATGTTGGACCTCCATTTTTTTCTCTGACTAAGAAATCTCCTCTCTTTTTTTTATTTTTTTTTATTTTTTATTTTTTATCTTTAATTGAGCTAATTTGTGTTGACTCTAACATAAATACCCACTCGAGATTGTAGTATAACGACATAAGAGCATTGTTTTCGAAAAAATGGAGTCATTAGTGTTGAAATGGGTACTCGTGTGTGTGATCCTTTGGGTTCAAATCCAACGAAATAATGGTTGCTTTGAAGAAGAGAGATTAGCTCTCTTACAATTTAAGGCATCTCTTGAATCTGCTATAAATGAATCTGTTTATGTGATTGATTCCAACTCTCTTCTCTCTTCACCGATTGATGATTCCGACTCTCTTCTCCCTTCACCGATTGATGATTCTGAGTCTCTTCTCCCTTCATGGATTGATGAAGCAGAGAATGATTGTTGTGAATGGGAGAGAGTCTCTTGCAATTCCACTACAGGTCATGTGATTGGTCTCTCCCTCTACAATACACGGGGAGATTATACTTGGAGCAACATTTGGCATTTCAACATGTCCCTTTTCCAGCATTTTAAGGAGCTTAGAACCCTAAATTTATCCTACAATTATATCGGTGCTTTTATTGACAATGAAGGTATGCTACTACTCTGCCTTCTCCATGTCTGTTTATATGTGATAAATTTCCATGTTTAAATAAATTGGAGTTTCTAAATTGTAAAATTTGAAAATTAAATTAACAAGTAAAATAAAAAAAAAAAAAGTAGATATTTTGAAATTATTCATTGAGTTTGTTGCCTAATAGCTTGAAAACTATAAAATATTGCAGATGTGGAAAGATTATCGAGTTTGAAGAAACTACAGATTTTAGACCTCAGCCATAATGAATTTGACAGAAGCATATTATCATGGATAGCTACTCTTACATCAATTAAGATTTTAAATCTGGGTGAAAATTTCATGGGAGGTTCCTTCCCTAGTCGAGGTATGCTTCCATTTCTAGTTCCCATTATTTTTGTTTTCAATAATTTTTTTTTCTATTCTCTTAACTTTTTAATTTATTTCCATTGCATGTTTCAGAGCTAGCAAACTTGCAAAACTTGGAAATATTGGATCTAAACAGTAATAAATTTAGTGGCACCCTTCCAATGCAAGGTAAATACTAAATTCCATCTGTGCTAGGCCTTATGCTTGCAGTTTGTTACTCCCTCCTTCCCCAACTGATATGCACACTTTTTTTCCCCAAATTATAGTCCACTTACTATTTTAATGAGTTAGCTAGTATGTTAAATATCTATTATATCCATATTTAATGTTACTTGTTAAAAATAATTTTCTTATTTTTATCAATTACTATTTATTTTCTAATGCCATTATTTATTGACAATCAATTTGAAAATTGAAAATGTGAATATTTACTAAGTTTAGCCATTTTTAATGCATGTTAACCAACTTTAAATAATTAATTAATCTTAGGTAGATAATACATTTATATCAGTTATATCCAAAATTTAAAAATTAGTAGCAATTGTACCCTAGATCAAATTGGAGTTTATAGTTAACATAGCATATTGTCAATGTAGTTTTGGAAATTCAATTTTTGTCCATATATTTAACTAGTAAAACATTTATAATTAAATTGATATATATTGTCTATATATTCATTTTCATAAACTTATGCATAAGATAATATTTATTTATTTATTTATTTATGGGAGTCAATTGAAAGTAGTTCTTCTCATTTAATGACTTTCACTAAATTATAAAGCTATTATGAATGGATCAGGGACTTTTCCCCATTTTTTTAAGAGAATAAAAAATCAACCTATACATAATTAGTCAGCTAATATTTATTTTTGAGAAAAAAAAGATTAATTATTTGATAATATCTGCTTTACTAAAATTTAAAGTTTAGTTTCAAATGGTACATTATTATTTTTTTTTTTTTAATTTGGTGCTCACTGAATATATACCTAAACTTTTAATTACATTATGGCATTCAAATTGAGGACATTGTAACAGTTTCCTGAGGGACAATTAACAATAGTAAACTCCTTTCGTCCACAAATATATAAGTCTTTTAAATTTATTACAAGGTGATTAAGTAAGTAATTAATTGTCTTCAATATAATAAATTGTTTTCTCATTTAACTAAATTACCCTTTAGAAAACTAGGGGGATAATTATTATATTTAATATAAATAAGGATAAAATTAAAAATACCTTATTAATTACTCCTAGATATTTTTAAAATGACGAATATTTGTGAATTAAAAAAATTTTAAAATGTGGACCAAGAGAGTGATATTTTACAATTAATGAATTTCGTTTAAATACTCAATATCATAGATATTTAATTACTTTTACTTTGTTTTTCAGGTTTTATAAACTTTAAAAGCTTGGAGATTTTAGATTTGAGCGTTAATAATTTGGATGCTACCATTCCTCCATACATGTGGGCACCTCCTTCTCTCCGAGCATTATCTTTAGCTTTCAATGGTAACTTGCGTGGCTCCTTATCAAGTAAGTGTTAAAATACATTAAATCTTCTAGTACGTGGCGACTTTTGCATTTCCTAGTTTATAATTGCACAACACTTTTAATTTTTTTTATTTCAGCATGGATTGTACTAATCTTTTTAATATGTTGGCTAGATACTTCTCCTTTTTCCCTCTAAATTTCAATGAATGTGATAATTATTTTATTTACTACTCTCTTCATTCTGTTAAATTTTGATATTTTTTAACTTTGAATAAGAATTAAGAAAATGATTGAATTACCTTAATATGAGAAAAAAATTTAGAGTAATTAACTAAATTATACTTTCACGCATTAAATTGAAATAAAGTTTATTGCTGATATCTAGACAAGGGAAAAGTTAGAATAAAATAATTGATGTTATTTATACTAACAAAATGTGAAATGTGCAATTCTGATACATAAACTGTATATGAAAAATTTACTCACAATTGTGACTTTTATATTTACCTATTAAATTCTTCAATTTGTAAATACACGTACTAAATATTTAAACTTATAATTACAGCTATTAAACATCTTAAAATTTATAAAATTATACTTGTCAAATTTATAGATTATTAGAATTATTAAGTATATATCCCATAATTGAAAAATGTGTAAATTATGTATAGGACAACATTGGGCAGGCAGTAGGCTTAATTAATCACAGCAGTGATGGTTAATGTTATTCTTCCACAGGTCTGTGCAACTTGAAGAGACTTGAAGAATTATACCTGCAAAGGAATATGTTTGGAGGCAATCTCCCTCTTTGTCTATGCAATTTGACATCTATTAGATATTTAGATCTATCCAACAACTCTTTCAGAGGGTATATTCCTTCATCTTGGCTGTCTAATCTCAAATCCCTCAAGTACATTAATCTTGAACAGAATCTGCTTGAAGGATTCTTCTCTTTCAGCTCATTTGCTAACCATTCCAGCCTTGAGTTTGTCAACTTCAGTGACAACAAAATTGAGGTTGAGACAAAATATCTTGGTTCGGTTCCACCATTTCAATTACAGTTTCTTGCCTTGAAAAATTGTCATCTCCCTCGTGTTCCTGAGTTTCTCTATCATCAGTTTAAGTTGAAAATGATTGACTTGTCCAGCAATAGAATACGAGAAAGGTTTCCAGTCTGGTTGCTTGAGAACAATACAGAACTAGATGAACTAAGACTTGGGAACAATCATTTCACTGATCGATTACATCTGCCATCTTATTCCAGCTTCAATATTTCTATTCTGGATGTCTCAGACAATCACTTGTATGGACAACTTCAAATTGGCGAAAAGATGTTTCCCAACATCTGGTTTCTCAATTTATCCATAAATGATTTTCAAGGTGATTTCCTCTTCTCACCTGAAGAGAACTGTAAACTGAGAAGCTTGGACTTGTCTTTTAACAGCTTCTCAGGTGAAATACCAAAGAAAATGATATCGAGTTGCATTTCTTTGCAATTACTAAAGCTATCTCATAATAACTTCCATGGCGAAATATTCACTGCTCGATATAACCTTACTGACTTACGTGATTTAAGTATTTTGTACTTGAATGACAACAGTTTCATGGGAAGTCTATCAAGTGTCACCCAGTTTTCTAGCCTCCAAGCACTTGATGTTAGTAACAACAACTTTGATGGTGAGATTCCACTCTATATAAACAACTCTACTATTTATGTAAACCTTTCTCATAATTTTTTCAACGGTGGAGTACCATGTCAAATTTTTTCAGCTACTTACATAGACCTTTCCTATAACAACTTTTCTGGATCGTTACCTTCTTGTTCCAACCAGAGCCAATACCATTATGGAGAAAGAGAAACGGGGTTTATAAATCTGCAAGGTAACAGCTTAACTGGATCAATACCAAATGATTTTGTGAACATGTCAAGTCTATTGACATTAAACTTGAAAGATAACAGCCTCTCAGGTAGTATTTCAAATAAATTGGGAATCTTTCCAAACTTACGAGCTCTTCTATTGGGAGGTAACCAGTTAAATGGTTCCATTCCTAATTGGCTGTGTGAACTAAATGAGCTCAACATATTAGATCTTTCAAGAAACTCTTTTTCTGGTTCCATACCCGACTGTTTATATAATGGTTCCTTTGGAAGGAAGCCAGGTGATGGTGATCTTTTTCAAACACAGTTAGAACTACTTGGCATAGAAGGGCCGGCTTACCCTGATGAAGGTGTCCTGCGCTCCCATAGGTATGGAGGATTTCAATACGATAACATCATTGTCGACCCAAAAATTGAATTTGTTACAAAATATATGGCTTACAATTATAAGGGTCACATTACCATGCTCATGTCTGGATTAGATTTGTCGGAAAATAAATTAACAGGTGAGATTCCATTCGAGCTAGGGAAGCTATGATTAGATTTGTCGGAAAATAAATTAACAGGTGAGATTCCATTCGAGCTAGGGAAGCTATCTGAGATTCATGCCTTGAACTTATCCCATAATCATTTAATAGGATCGATTCCAACAGCATTCTCAAATCTTACAGCATTAGAGAGCTTAGACTTGTCCTGCAATAATTTAAGGGGAGAGATTCCTTATAGGTTAATAGATATAACCTCCCTAGCAGTATTCAATGTGTCTTTCAACAACTTATCAGGCAGGATTCCAGACGGAGCACAATTCAATACTTTCGACAAAAAAAGCTACGAGGGCAATCCATTTCTCTGCGGAACGCTGATAGAGAAAAAGTGCAGTAACGAGCCACCGAATCCATCACCAACGCCACATGCAGAACCAGAAAATGAAAAATGGTATGAGATCAACCATTTGGTATTTTTCGCAAGCTTCTCAGTATCTTTTGCAATTTTCTTTGTGGGAGTCATCACTATTCTTCTTGTCAATCCTTATTGGCGAGGAAGGTTGTTTTATCACACTGAGCAATTTGTATTTTCATTTTATTACTCTGTGTATGACACTTTCTCCAAATTATTATTTGGTCATCTGTTCCATTAGTAATACATAGTGGTTGATTTGTAGATGGATCATCAAATATATTTACTACAGTTGAAATCTTATAGCCAAAATGTTACTTATAACATATATTGTAGTTTTCTTTGCAAGCTTTTCTTCATCTTACATGATTTTTTTTTTTTTTCCTTTTTTGTTGGAGTCAAGGTAAATAAAACATGATAACTGAATAAACTCATATGTAATATTTAATAACATATAACAATAGTATAAAAGTTATAATATGACACTAAATCACGATTAAAAATTAATATATTCACCACGTTAATATCATGTTCCTTTAAATTAAAAATAAAATAAAATTATATTACATGAAGAAATTCATCCATGATAATTAATAACACATAAGAATAGTATAAAATTACAATCCTACATTAAAGCTTAGTTGATTTAAACTCATATATAAAAAACGCGTTGTCTTTATTGTTAATTAATTATAATTTTTAAAAACTAATACTATTATTAGAAATATTATAAAGTAGACTACCAATTATAATCCTAAGTTCACATATAATTAGAAATATCAGAATTGTAATATTAATTTTAATTAGAAAATTAATATGATTATAATACAATTTATAATTAAAATACTAATTCATTTATATCATCAATTGATTATCATTTTATAAAAAAAAAAATAAATACAATTACACACATAAACTTATATAAGGTAGTAATATTATTTAGTAATTTATTACTTTAGAAACTAAAGTAATCGATAATTAAACTCAACTTTCACCGAAAGATGATGGAAAAACTTATAATATTTTTGTAAAGGTAGAACGCCTATTTTGAAGAGATCGCCACCGTGTTTTGAACTTCTGAGTAAAGTATGATTCACATTACAAAATTGTCCACCTTTTCTCCAATAATTGACACTCGCTATAAAAAGTGCGAGATTAGTATAAAACCAAGGAAAAATTAGGTTCTGTTCAATTTGAAAACAAGTTAAGCAGTGAACATAACGACACAAGAGAATTGCGTTTGTAAATGGAGTTGAAGTGGTTCCTATTATGTTTGACCCTTTGGGTTCAGATACAAGGAAGCAATAGTTGCGTTCAAGGCATCTGCTGAATCTGCTTTTGGGCTTCTTTATGATCGTCTTCTACCTTCATGGGTTGATGAACCACGCAACAGTAACTGTTGTGAATGGAAGAATGTGACTTGTAATTCCAGTACAGGTCATGTCATCCATCTCTCCCTCTACAATATACGGGAATATAGTACAAGTAAAGTCCCTTTTTATGAGGGAAAAAACATGGATATGTATCTCAACATGTCTCTTTTCCACCATTTTAAGGAGCTTACAAGTCTAAATTTATCCTCTAATGAGATTCGTGGTTTTGTTGACAAAGAAGGTATTCTACTCCTTTACCTTAATTCTCCATATTATATCTATAATTTTTTTTTTTTTTTTTTTTTTTTTTTTTTTGAGAAAATAAAGGTTAAGTTTCTTGTCACGTGAAAAGTTTTATATAGTTATTTATTTAATTTTGAGTTATAATCTTTAAGCAGTAATTTAAATCAAATTAGTTTTAAAAAACAATGACAAATTCTAATATATATATATATATATATATATATATATATATAATAATTTTACTATCGAAAAAAGAGAAATATATATTTTACTATCGAAAAAAGAGAATTCGATCTTATTACTAAACTATACCTTGTGTGTCGATCACAAATTAGTTTTAAAAACAAAATAATTTTTTTCTTAAATAACATTCGAGATTCTAAAGTGTGAGATAGAAAATTCAAATTGAATCGTACCATAATCAAGGAAGCAAACTAAACATATACATTTTGAAATTATTCATTGAGTATGTTGGTTAATAACTCAAATAATATAAATAATGCAGCTGTGGAAAAATTGTCAAATTTGAAGAAACTACAGGTTTTAGACCTCAGTGATAATTACTTCGACGCAAGCATAATGTCATGGGTAACTACTCTTACATGGGTCGAAATATTAAATCTGAAACGAAATAGTATGGAAGGTTCCTTCCCTAGTCACGGTATGCTTTCATTTCTAATTTCCATTATTTTTATTTACAATAATTTTTTTTCTCATCTCCTAAACCTTTTAATTTATTTTCCATTGCATGTTTCAGATCTAGCTAACTTGCAAAACTTGAAAATATTGGATCTAAGTAACAATCAATTGAATGGCACACTACAAAAGCAAGGTGAATATCTATACTAGCTAGCTTTCTGCTTTATGATTGTTGTTAGCTTATTATACTGTTTTGCTTTTAAAAGCGATAATCAATGCACAAAAGAGATTTTTTTAATTATTTTTACTTCCTTTTACAGATTTTTTAACTCTTAAACGTCTGGAGGTTTTAGATTTGAGTTGGAATAACTTCAATAGCACTATTCCTCCATATACGTGGGCACCTCCTTCTCTTCGAGCATTGTCTTTAAGTTTTAACAACTTTGGTGGCTCCTTGTCAAGTAAGTGCTAAATCTTATTCGTATTTAATCATCTAAGTCTTCTTGTTAGTTTGCACTTTTAGTTTCTAAATTGCACTCCCAACTCCGTCCAGGCTTTTAGACTATCGAAAAAATGTGGATTTTCATGCATGGGTTCATGTGTTTCTTCGATGATGGCCATGAGAGGAAAGAGATCCACTATTAGTTTTGAAATCTAAGACTACTCAAACCTGGTTATTTAGAATTAAAAATTAGTTTTGAAGCTTAATGTTATCTTCTACAGGTTTGTGCAGCCAGAAGAATCTTGAAGAATTAGACCTGCGATCGAATATGTTTGGAGGCCATCTTCCTAGTTGTTTATATGATTTGACGTCTCTTAGATACTTAGATCTATCCAATAACCATGTCAGAGGGCCCATTCCTTCATCTTTGTCTAGTCTCAAATCCCTCAAGTACATTAATCTTGAACAGAATCTGCTTGAAGGATTCTTCTCTTTCAGCTCATTTGCTAACCATTCCAGCCTTGAGCTTGTCAACTTCAGTGACAACAAAATTGAGGTTGAGACGAGATATCCTGGTTGGGTTCCACCATTTCAGTTAAAGGTTCTTGTCCTGCGAAATTGTCATCTCCCTCGTCTTCCTGAGTTTCTTTATCATCAGTTTAGATTGAAAAAGATCGACTTGTCTAACAACAGAATACAAGGAAGGTTTCCCATTTGGTTGCTTTACAACAATACAGAGCTAGACCAAATAACCTTTAAAAATAATAGCTTCAAGGGTCAACTTCATCTACCTGCAAACTCCAGCTTCAATATTTCTGATTTGGATGTCTCAGACAATCACTTTTATGGACAGCTTCTAGATATTGGCGAAAAGATATTTCCCAACCTCCAGTTTCTCAATTTATCAAAAAATCATTTTCGGGGTGATTTCCTTTTCTCACCTGGTGACGACTGTAAATTGAGAAACTTGGATTTGTCTTTTAACAACTTCTCAGGTGAAGTACCACAGAAAGTGATTTCAAGTTGCACTTATTTGGAAACTCTAAAGCTATCTCATAATAACTTTCATGGCAAAATATTCACAGCTCAATTTAACCTTACTTTGTTATGGTCCTTGCATCTGAATGACAACAAATTCGTGGGAACATTATCAAGTTCTTTGATGTCCCAGTTTGTTACACTATCAGTATTAGACCTTAGTAACAACAGAATTCATGGTGAAGTTCCAGGCTCCATAAACAACAGTAAAATTTTGTATTACGTAAACCTCTCTCATAACTTTTTTAAAGGTCAAATACCATGTGAAGTTTTTTCAGCTACCTACGTGGACCTTTCATATAACAACTTTTCTGGATCATTACCTTCTTGTTTCAACCAGAGGCATTCAGGTGTTGGAGAAACGTTGTTTATAAATTTGGAAGGTAACAGGTTAACTGGATCCATACCAGATGATTTTCTCAATGCATCAAGCCTACTGACTTTGAACTTGAAAGATAACAGACTCTCAGGCAGCATTCCCAATAACTTTGGTTCATTTCCAAACTTACAGGCTCTTCTATTGGGGGGAAACTATTTAAATGGTTTCATTCCGAGTTGGCTGTGCGAACTAAATGAAGTCAGCTTATTAGATCTTTCAAGAAACTCTTTTTCTGAACTATTTAAATGGTTTCATTCCGAGTTGGCTGTGCGAACTAAATGAAGTCAGCTTATTAGATCTTTCAAGAAACTCTTTTTCTGGCACCATACCCAACTGTTTATATAATCTATCATTTGGAAGGACGAAACATAATGGTGACTATTGTTTTCTTTCACAAATTTCATCTGGGAACGGAGTAGACATGATTTACAGCAGCGGAAGTGTCTTGGGCATGGACGAGTTCTCCGATGGTTATGGAGATCATGTCACTGTCAACCAAGAAATTGAGTTTGTTACAAAATATAGGCCTCAAAAATTTAAGGGTTGCATTCTCAAGCTCATGTCTGGATTAGATTTGTCGGAAAATAAATTACCATGTGAGATTCCATTCGAGCTAGGGAAGCTATATGAGATTCATTCCTTAAACTTATCGCATAATCAGTTGATAGGATCAATTCCAACAACATTCTCAAATCTTTCAGCATTAGAGAGCTTAGACTTGTCTTATAATAATCTAAGTGGAGAGATTCCTTATAACTTAATAGATCTACACTCCCTAGGAGTGTTCTCTGTGGCGTACAACAACTTATCAGGCAGGATTCCAGACAAACCACAACTCAGTACTTTCGACAATAGAAGCTTTGAAGGCAACCCATTTCTCTGCGGACCTCAAATGGGGAAAAAGTGCAACAAGTCACCCAATTCATCACCAGTGCCATATGTTGAACTAGAAACAGAAGATGGAAAATGGTATGAGATTGACCATCTGGTATTTTTCACAAGCTTTTCAGTGTCTTTTACAATTTTCTTTGTGGGGGTCATCACTATTCTTTATGTCAATCCTTTCTAGCGACGAAGGCTATTTTATCACTCTGAACAATTTGTGCTTTTATGTTTTTACTTTGCGTATGATACTTTCTTCAAGTTATTATTTGATCGTCTATGTCATTAATAATTAAGCCTTTGGCTAATTATTACTCATTTTCTCCTACATGGGTGTTTATCAAGTTTATGTAATATCGCATTTGGCTACAGTTAAAAGCATTTGTCGTCTACCTTAAGTTAAAAGCCGTTAAGTTAGTCTCTGAAGTTATTATTAGCCGAAATGAATAGTGGGTTATTATTAAATTTGTTGTCTTGCAAGACAAATGTTATTGCTTAGATTTGTGTAATGATCTCCTTATGGAAAATGCTTAAATAAAAGAATAATCTCAGCTATTCATTTCTGGAAAGCAAAGGGTAATTTCAAGTCTTGAGCAGAAGCACAATGGCAGAACTAGGGATGGGATTGGAGTGACTAGTGCTAGCGGCTGCCCCCTAATTTTAATTTTATTTTTTAAATTTATCTTATAAAATATAAAAAATTTTACTTTTTACTTATAAATTCCTCCACTCTAATTATTTTTTCTTGGTTCCGCCGTTGAGAAGCCAAAGGACAAGTGGGGTAATTTTTTTGATATACACCCTCTAGTGGGTGATGGTACTCTCGAGTCAAAGTTGTCACACTAAGACATTTCAACGTCTTCTTGCTTGCATATAGTCATAAAGTTAAGAAAGCTGTAAGAATAGTCAAGCCAGCCACACTCTAGTCTGTCAACTTGCCTTTTAAAACATTTGTTCAGTTTAATGGAGATGATGCAGACAGGCTTTTGCCTTCTTGGAACAATGATGCAACAAGTGATTGTTGTGAATGGGACAGAGTCACGTTCAACTCCACCACCGGTCACGTGATCAAGCTCTCTCTTGATAATACAAGGCAAATACCTTTTGATGGTTATTATGAAGATATGAGCGTTTGGTATCTTAACATTTTATTACTGTGTCTCCAAATTATTATTTGGTCATCTGTTCCATTAGTAATAAATAGTGGTTGATTTGTAGATGAATCATCAATATATTTACTACAGTTGAATATGGATAAAGGACAGTAAGCATTTAGACAAATAGTACGACTCATTTCCATTTTGAAATCTTATAGCCAAAATGTTACTTATAACATACATTGTAGTTTTCTTTGCAAGTTTTTCTTCATCTTACATGAATTTTTTTTTTTTTTTTCCATTTTTGTTGGAGTCAAGGTAAATAAAACATGATAACTGAATAAACTCATATGTAATATTTAATAACATATAACAATAGTATAAAAATTATAATATAACACTAAATCACGATTAAAAATTAATATATTCACCACGTTAATATCATGTTCCTTCAAATTAAAAAAAATAAAATTATATTACATGAAGAAATTCATCCATGATAATCAATAACACATAAGAATAGTATAAAATTACAATCCTACATTAAAGCTAAATCATTTTTTATGTTAGTTAATTTAAACTCATATATAAAAAATGTGTTGTTTTTTATTGTTAATTAATTATAATTTTTAAAAACTAATACTATTATTACAAATATTATTAAGTAGACTACCAATTATAATCCTAAGTTCACATATAATTAGAAATATCAGAATTGTAATATTAATTAGAATTAGAAAATTAAATATGATTATAATACAAGTTATAATTAAAATACTAATTCATTTATATCATCAATTGATTATGATTTTATAACAAATAAATAAATACAATTAAGCACATAAACTTATATAAGGTAGTAATATTATTTAGTAATTTATTACTTTGGAAACTAAAGTAATCGATAATTAAACTCAACTTTCACCGAAAGATGATGGAAAAACTTATAATGAAATGCAAACAACAGCCACGGCTCCTATAAAATAGCATTTGATTCTAGACGAATGAATGTATAAAGTAGTAAAAATATTATTAAACTGAATGCTTTTCAGAAATTCGAGTATCCTATCTGAACCCAATGAAAAACAAATGAACACATTAGCATATTTTATTATCAACAATTTTTTGTAAAGGTAAAACGCCTATTTTGAAGAGATCGCCACCGTGTTTTGAACTTCTAAGTATCATTCACATTACAAAATTGTCCAACTTCTTCTCCAATAATTGACAATCGCTATAAAAAGTGCGAGATTAGTATAAAACCAAGGAAAAATTAGGTTTCTGTACAATTTGAAAACAAGTTAAGCAGTGAACATAACAACACAAGAGAATTGCTTTTGTAAATGGAGTTGAATTGGTTCCTATTATGTTTGATCCTTTGGGTTCAGATACAAGGAAGCAATAGTTGCGTTGAAGAAGAGAGATCAGCTCTCTTACAGTTCAAGGCATCTGCTGAATCTGCTTTTGGGCTTCGTTATGATCGTCTTCTACCTTCATGGGTTGATGAACCACGCAGCAGTAACTGTTGTGAATGGCCGAATGTTACTTGTAATTCCAGTACAGGTCATATTATCCGTCTCTCCCTCTACAATATACGGGAATATAGTACAAGTAAAGTCCCTTTTTATGAGGGAAACATGGATATGTATCTCAACATGTCTCTTTTCCACCATTTTAAGGAGCTCCAAAGTCTAAATTTATCCTCTAATAAGATTCGTGGTTTTGTTGACAAAGAAGGTAGTTTTTGTTGACAAAGAAGGTATTCTCCTCTTTTACCTTAATTCTCCGGATATATATCTATAGTTTTTTTTTTTTTTTTTTTTTGTTTAGAAAATAAAAGGTTAGTTCTTGCACGTGAAAGTTTATAAATATTATAATTTTTTTTTTTTTTTTTTTTTTTTTGAGAAAATAAAAGGTTAAGTTCTTGCACGTGAAAAGTTTATATATATTATATTTAATTTTGAGTTATATCTTTAAGCAGTAAATTTATCAAATTAGTTTTAAAAACAATGCCAAATTTTTTTTTTTTTTTTTTACTATCGAAAAAAGAGAATTCGATCCTGCATCTATTGTCAGGTCGTATATACACTTATTATTAAGTTATGCCTTATGTGTTAATTACAAATTAGTTTTAAAGACTAAATAATTTTTTTTTTAAATAATATTCGAGATTCTAAAGTGTGAAATAGGAAATTCAAATTGAATCGTACCATAATCAAGGAAGCAAACTAAACATATACATTTTGAAATTATTCATTGAGTATGTTGGTTAATAACTCAAATAATATAAATAATGCAGCTGTGGAAAAATTGTCAAATTTGAAGAAACTACAGGTTTTAGACCTCAGTGATAATCACTTTGACGCAAGTACAATGTCATGGGTAACTAATCTTACATCGGTCAAAATTTTGAATCTGAAACAAAATCGCATCGAATGTTACTTATCTAGTCTAGGTATGCTTTCATTTCTAATTTCCATTATTTTTATTTACAATAATTTTTTTTTCTCTTCTTCTAAACCTTTTAATTTATTTCCGATTGCATGTTTCAGATCTAGCTAACTTGCAAAACTTGAAAAAATTGGATCTAAGTTACAATCAATTGCATGGCACACTACAAAAGCAAGGAAAATATCTATGCTAGCTAGCTTTCTGCTTTATGATTGTTGTTAGCTTATTATCATATTGTTTTGCTTTTAAAAGCGATAATCAATGCACAAAAGAGATTTTTTAATTATTTTTACTTCCTTTTACAGATTTTTTAACTCTTAAAGGTCTGGAGGTTTTAGATTTGAGTTGGAATCACTTCAATAGCACTATTCCTCCATATACATGGGCACCTCCTGCTCTCCGAGCATTGTATTTAAGTTTTAACAACTTTGGTGGCTCCTTGTCAAGTAAGTGCTAAATCTTATTCGTATTCAATCATCTGAGTCTTCTTGTTAGTTTGCACTTTTAGTTTCTAAAATGCACTCCCAACTCCGTTCAGGCTTTGGACTATCAAAAAAAATGTGGATTTTCATGCATGGGTTCATGTGTTTCTTCGATGGTGGCCATGAGAGGTCTGGCAATGCACAAAAAGCGATAATCAATGCACAAAAGAGATTTTTTAATTATTTTTACTTCCTTTTACAGATTTTTCAACTCTTAAAGGTCTGGAGGTTTTAGATTTGAGTTGGAATAACTTCAATAGCACTATTCCTCCATATACATGGGCACCTCCTGCTCTCCGAGCATTGTCTTTAAGGTTTAACAACTTCGGTGGCTCCTTGTCAAGTAAGTGCTAAATCTTATTCGTATTTAATCATCTAAGTCTTCTTGTTAGTTTGCACTTTTAGTTTCTAAAATGCACTCCCAACTCCGTTCAGGCTTTATACTATCAAAAAAATGTGGATTTTCATGCATGGGTTCATGTGTTTCTTCGATGGTGGCCATGAGAGGAAAGAGATCCACTATTAGTTTTGAAATCTAAGAATACTCAAACCTGGTTATTTAGAATTAAAATTTAGTTTTGAAGCTTAATGTTATCTTCTACAGGTTTATGCAGCCTGAAGAATCTTGAAGAATTAGACCTGCGATCGAATATGTTTGGAGACCATCTTCCTAGTTGTTTATATAATTTGACATCTCTCAGATACTTAGATCTCTCCGATAACAATGTCAGAGGGCCCATTCCTTCATCTTTGTCTAGTCTCAAATCCCTCAAGTACATTAGTCTTGGACATAATCTTTTTGAAGGATTATTCTCTTTCAGCTTATTTGCTAACCATTCTGGACTTGAGCTAGTTGACTTCAATGACAACAAAATTGAGGTTCAGACGAGATATCATGGTTGGGTTCCACCATTTCAGTTAAAGGTTCTTGTCCTGCGAAATTGCCATCTCCCTCGTCTTCCTGAGTTTCTTTATCATCAGTTCAGATTGAAAAAGATCGACTTGTCTAACAACAGAATACAAGGAAGCTTTCCCATTTGGTTGCTTTACAACAATACAGAACTAGACCAATTAACCTTTAAAAATAATAGCTTCAATGGTCAACTTCATCTACCTGCAAACTCCAGCTTCAATATTTCTGCTTTGGATGTCTCAGACAATCACTTCTATGGACAGCTTCTAGAAATTGGCGAAAAGATGTTTCCCAACATCAAGTTTCTCAATTTATCAAAAAATCATTTTCGGGGTGATTTCCTTTTCTCACCTGGTGACGACTGTAAATTGAGAAACTTGGATTTGTCTTTTAACAACTTCTCAGGTGAAGTACCACAGAAAGTGATTTCAAGTTGCACTTATTTGGATACTCTAAAGCTATCTCATAATAACTTTCATGGCGAAATATTCACAGCTCAATTTAACCTTACTTTGTTATGGTCCTTGCATCTGAATGACAACAAGTTCGTGGGAACATTATCAAGTTCTTTGATTTCCCAGTTTGCTACACTATCAGTATTAGACCTTAGTAACAATAGATTTCATGGTGAGGTTCCAGGCTCCATAAACAACAATTCAATTTTGTATCACGTAAACCTCTCTCATAACTTTTTTAAAGGTGAAATACCATGTGAAGTTTTTTCAGCTACCTACGTGGACCTTTCATATAACAACTTTTCTGGATCATTACCTTCTTGTTTCAACCAGAGGCATTCAGGTGCTGGAGAAACGTTGTTTATAAATTTGGAAGGTAACAGGTTAACTGGATCCATACCAGATGATTTTCTCAATGCATCAAGCCTACTGACTTTGAACTTGAAAGATAACAGACTCTCAGGCAGCATAACAGACTCTCAGGCAGCGTTCCCAATAACTTTGGTTCATTTCCAAAATTACGGGCTCTTCTATTGGGGGGAAACTATTTAAATGGTTTCATTCCGAGTTGGCTGTGCGAACTAAATGAAGTCAGCTTATTAGATCTTTCAAGAAACTCTTTTTCTGGCTCCATACCCAACTGTTTATATAATCTTTATATAATCTATCATTTGGAAGGACGAAACATAATGATGACTATTGTTTTCTGTCACAAATTTCACTTGGGAACAAAGTAGACATTATTTACAGCAGCGGAAGTGTCTTGGGCATGGACGAGTTCTACGATGGTTATGGAGATCGCGTCACTGTCAACCAAGAAATTGAGTTTGTTACAAAATATAGGCCTCAAAAATATAAGGGTAAGGGTTGCATTCTCAAGCTCATGTCTGGATTAGATTTGTCGGAAAATAAATTAACAGGTGAGATTCCATTCGAGCTAGGGAAGCTATATGAGATTCATTCCTTAAACTTATCGCATAATCAGTTGATAGGATCGATTCCAACAACATTCTCAAATCTTTCAGCATTGGAGAGCTTAGACTTGTCTTATAATAATCTAAGTGGAGAGATTCCTTATAACTTAATAGATCTACACTCCCTAGGAGTGTTCTCTGTGGCTTACAACAACTTATCAGGCAGGATTCCTGACCAACCACAACTCAGTACTTTCGACAATAGAAGCTTTGAAGGCAACCCATTTCTCTCCGGACTTCAAATGGGGAAAAAGTGCAACAAGTCACCCAATTCATCACCAGTGCCATATGTTGAACTAGAAACAGAAGATGGAAAATGGTATGAGATTGACCATTTGGTATTTTTCACAAGCTTTTCAGTATCTTTTACAGTTTTCTTCGTGGGGGTCATCACTATTCTTTATGTCAATCCTTTCTGGCGACGAAGGCTATTTTATCACTCTGAACACTTTATGTCAATCCTTTCTGGCGACGAAGGCTATTTTATCACTCTGAACAATTTCTGCTTTCATGTTATTACTTTGCGTACGATACTTTCTTCAAGTTATTATTTGATCGTCTATGTCATTAATAATAAAGCCTTTGGTTAATTATTACTCATTTTCTCCTACAAGGGTGTTTATCAAGTTTATGTATTATCGCATTTGGCTACAGTTAAAAGCATTTGTGGTCTATCTTTAGTTAAAAGCCGTTAAGTTAGTTTCTGAAGTTATTATTAGCCGAAATGAATAGTGGGTTATCATTAAATTTGTTGTCTTGCAAGACAAATGTTATTGCTTAGATTTGTGTAATGATCTCCTTATGGAAAACGCTTAAATAAAAGAATAATCTCAAGTCTTCATCTCTGGAAAGTAAAGGGTAATTTCAAGTCTTGATCGGAAGCACAATGGCGAAACTAGGGGTGGAGTGACCAGTGCTAGCAGCTGCCCCCTAATTTTAATTTTATTTTTTAAATTTATTTTATAAAATATAGAAAATTTTACCTTTTACTTATAAATTCGTCCTCTCTAATTATTTTTTCTTGGTTCCACCGTTGAGAAGCCAAAGGACAAGTGGGGTAATTTTTTTGATATGCACCCTCTAATGGGCGATGATACTCTCGAGTCAAAGTTGTCACACTAAGACATTTCAACGTCTTCTTGCTTGCATATAGTCATAAAGTTAAGAAAGCTGTAAGAATAGTCAAGCCAGCCACACTCTAGTCTGGCAACTTGCCTTTCACTTGTATTACATTCATAGCCCCACAACATTAATTTCCAATTCAATTTCATTCTTGAATAATATATATATATACATAAACAAAACCAATATAACAATGGCTATCTTTGGCAAGTCTCTTGAGATGGATTTTTTCTTGAGTAAATGTCTCTTATTTGGTTTTATACTTTCACTTCAAATTCATGGCTACTTTGGTTGCTTTGAAGAGGAGAGATTAGCTCTTTTAGACTTCAAAGTATTTGTTCAGTTTAATGGAGATGATGCAGACAGGCTTTTGCCTTCTTGGAACAATGATGCAACAAGTGATTGTTGTGAATGGGACAGAGTCACGTGCAACTCCACCACCGGTCACGTGATCAAACTCTCTCTTGATAATATAAGGCAAATACCTTTTGATGGTTATTATGAAGATATGAGCGTTTGGTTTCTTAACATTTCTATGTTTAATCCTTTTAAAGAGATGACAAGTCTTAATTTGTCTTACAATGCGATAGGGGAGTTTATTGACAATGCAGGTATGTTTGGTTATTATTATTATGAGTAACCCTTTCGTTTGTTTCTAATACTCTGTTTGGTATAAATGAATTTTATATAATTATAAATATAGAGTTACGATCTCGTAATATTATCATAGATTTAACTATGAACAGAGCAGAATGAAGATAAAGAATTTACATAGTTGACTCCAATTTTTATGGGATTAAGAATTAGTTGTTCTTGTATAAAATTATTCCGAACTCATTCAAAATTCCATATTTTCAAGTTTGATGTAAAAGAAAATGTTTTTCTTACTCTCATAAATTCAATTTTACGAATTTGAGTATAATTAACCTAAATTCTATGAATTCTATTCTTGAAATTCACTTATACCAAATGGAAGGTTAGATTGTTTACAATTTTACATATTCACTGTTCTTTGAATTTGTAGTCTTAGAATCTAACAGCCACTGCAATTCAAGAATTTTCAGATTCCAAAATTTTGTCTAAGCTGAACAAGCTAGAGCATCTAGACTTAAGCTGGAATGTGCTTGACAAAGAAGTATTAAAGGTCTTGGGTGAATTTTCAGCCCTAAAATATTTAGATCTACATAATAATTTTATGGCAGGTCCACTATATTACCAAGGTAACTGCATATACAAATTTTCTGTTTTATTATTTGGTTGTTGAGAAAAATAAAGTTTAATAAGATTTTAATCATATTTATGACAGATATTTCTGGATTAAGCAACTTGAAGGTCCTTATTCTGCAATTCAATGAACTGAATGGAACTCTGCCTATTAATTGTAATAAATTCTATCATGAAATTTCTGTTTCTATCTAATCTCCCAGTGTTTGTTTTCAGAAATTGATTCTTGAAATGCACTGTTCTTTGTAGATTTGGTTAATTTCACTAAGTTGGAGATTCTAGACTTGAGCTGGAATGGATTCACTGGAAGCATTCCACCAAGCATAAGGCATCTATCATCTCTCCAGGCTTTAACTGTATCAAAAAATTATCTTAATGGCTCTTTTCCAGCTCAAGGTAATATTCCTAAACATTTTCTTGGGCTTTGATTCTTTGGATGATCATAATTTTATTTTCCTTTTCCAGGTTTGTGTCAGCTACAGAAACTTGAAGAGTTAGATCTCAGTCAGAATTCCCTTCAAGGAAATATTCCTTCATGCTTAAGCAATCTGACATCTCTTAGACTGCTAGATCTTTCAGCAAATAATTTCTCAGGAAAGATCTCTTCATCTTTAGTAGCTAAGATGACCTCACTCGAGTACATTGATCTAAGTCATAATCTTTTTGAAGGTTTATTCTCATTCAGCTCATTTTCTAATCATTCTAAACTCCAAGTTGTTCAGATAAAGAATAATAATCAGCATTTCCAAATTGAAACTGAATATCCCAATTGGATTCCATCATTTCAGTTGAAAGTTCTTGTTTTACCTTATTGCAACTTGAACAAGCTCTCTAACAGTACTGTTCCTACATTTCTCTTTTACCAACATGAATTGAGAGTTCTTGATATTTCTCACAATAATCTAAAAGGAAAGCTTGACTTGTTCCTTGGTAACAATACAAGAATTGAGTTTCTGTCTGTGAGGAATAATTCTTTTGTGGGTCAGTTACATCTACCGCCTTTTCACGGTGTGACCAGCCAGTGGATTGATGTATCAGAAAACAAGCTACATGGTCAAATCCAGTCAAACATAGGGGATATGCTTCCTTATGCAATTTATTTGAATTTTTCCAAGAACTCTTTTCAAGGCAATATACCATCCTCAATTGGTCAAATGGGTTACTTGCAGCAAATAGACCTTTCTTTCAATAACTTCGATGGAGAAGTACCAAAACAGTTGGTTTCCAATTTGGTCAATTTGTTGATCCTGAAACTTTCAGATAATAGATTTCATGGCGAAATATTTACAGATCACTATAACTTGACACTGTTAGAATCTTTGCACTTGGAGAACAATCATTTTACAGGATTACTGTCAAATGTGATCTTGAGAAGCTTTAAACTTGGTGTATTGGATATTAGCAGCAATTACATCTCTGGAGCAATTCCTAAATGGATGGGCGACCTCAAAAATTTGAGAACACTTGCAATGCGAAACAATCAACTTGAAGGTCCACTCCCATGCAATCTTCCATTCACCTTTTTAGACCTTTCTTACAATAATTTGACAGGATCAATACCTTCTTGCTTGAAACTACAAGATACTTGGGGTCTGTATTTGCGGGGGAACAAGTTCACAGGTTCAATACCAGAATCTATATTTAACTCTTCAATTCTGTCAATATTGGACATCAGTTACAACAGCTTGTCTGGCAAACTTCCTGATTCAATAAGTAAACTTCCCAATTTAGAAGTGCTTTTATTGAAAGGGAATTTTCTAAGTGGTGAAATTCCAAATCAGTTATGTCAGTTGAATAATACAGGTTTGATGGATCTGTCCAACAACTTCTTCTCTGGATCAATACCTCAGTGCTTGTATAATATATCTTTTAAGGAAGCATTGGATTTCTATGCATTTATTCCTGCATATTTTAAGCGCACAATTTATGTCTATGGAAGTATCCTGCTAGGGCAGTACCTAGTTTATGATCCGAATGCTGGGTATGCATATGAAGATGGCGCGATCGACTTTCTCACCAAGAGCAGGTCCAGTTCTTCTAAAGATGACATAATCGATCTCAGGTCTGGATTGGATTTGTCCTCTAACAATCTCACCGGTGAAATTCCGAATGAACTAGGGAAATTAAGTCAGTTAAAAGCATTAAACTTGTCTCACAACCAGCTGACAGGTTCAATTCCAACAACTTTATCGAAACTCAGCCAAATACAGATATTGGATCTCTCTTATAATAGGTTAAGCAGAGAAATTCCGCAGGAACTAAGTAATATGCATTTGCTCAAGTATTTCACTGTTGCTCACAACAATTTATCCGGTAGAATTCCTGACATCAAGCCACAATTTGGAAGATTCGATAGCAGCAGTTATGAAGGAAATTCACTTCTATGCGGACTACCATTAGTTAAAAGCTGCAATGCTTCAATTTAACGGCAATCATGCTTGTTTGTTCTTTTTCTGTCACTGTCAGTCTGTTAAAAGATGCCAAACTAATAATGAGAGCTATTTTTGTGTTGTAAACCCTTTGGATTCTTTGTTGTGATCCGGTAACTAGTTAGACATAAGAGAACATAGATCGATCATCTAATCAGATATCAGCAATTATTATCATTAATATTAACAGACTGTGGATTTCACAATTTCCTGACACAAAATTAAACTTAGTTATTTAACTTAAATACGAAGCAAGGGCAAAAAAGCACAGGCAATATAAAGTGTTTCATATTGAAAGATCGGCCAAGCCGAAAGATTTTTCAACAGCTTTGCACCAAGACTCAACCTTCTTCTTCCTCTGTTGCTCATGTAAATTGGGATGGAAAGTGGTTGCTGTCTTAACCTTTTCTCCAGTAGCAAAAATCTCCTCTTCTTTCCAAACCCCAATAGCCAAACCAGCAGCATAGGCTGCTCCAAGAGCTGTTGTCTCTATATCAGCTGGTCTCACAACTGCATTTCCCAACAAGTCGGCCTGCAAGTCATTTGGAAAACAAATAGATTATAGATCAAATCAAACTTCAACAGATTAAGTTAATGGTTCATGCCGGTAGGAGGAAATACAGAACGTTTGCAGAAATGAACCAAAGTGGAATTCAACTTTACAAATCCAATCAAATTAGTTATCAATCTGATTTTTTTTTTTTTTCTTTTGGCGAAAACATATTACCATCATCTAGAAATAGGTGTTCGATGACCTATATAGTACTTTAAAAATAAATATAAAGAATGCACCAAGCTCAAACCTGAATCTGCATCAAAAGGTTGTTAACAGTTGCACCACCATCAACTCTAAGCAAGAACTCCCCCTTCGCATTGTTTTGCTCTCCCTTTTCGCCAGTATCTTTCTGCATCGAATCCAAAACATCTTTAACTTGAAAACACATGCTCTCAAGCACAGCTCGAGCAATGTGAGCCTTAGTTGTAAACCTTGTGATCCCAACACAAACCCCACGAGCATCATCACGCCAATGTGGAGCAAACAATCCATTAAAAGCAGGTACAAAATAAACCCCACCACTCGAATCAACCTGCTTTGCAAGTACCTCACTCTCACTTGCAACATTAATTATCCCAAGGCCATCCCTAAGCCACTGGACTGCAGCTCCAGCAATAGCAATTGAACCCTCTAGAGCATAATTTGTAGGTGCTTTGGGACCAAGCTTAAAAGCTAATGTGGTTAGAAGTCCATGATTTGACTTAACTATCTTCTCGCCTGTGTTAAGAAGTATGAAAGCACCAGTTCCATAAGTGCTTTTGGCCTCTCCTTTTCTACAACCTTGTCCTACCATTGCAGCATGTTGGTCACCTAGACATCCTGCAATAGGAACACCCAGAACTGGCCACCCCTTGCCAACATTTCCAATAATCTCAGAGTTGCTAACTATTTTGGGCAAAATTCCAGCTGGAATTCCTAGGGTTTGCAATGTGGTTTTATCCCAATCAAGAGTTTTGATATTCATGAGCATAGTTCGAGATGCATTAGAGACATCAGTGACATGCAGGCCACCTGACACTCCACCGGTTAAATTCCAGATTAACCAAGTATCTACAGTTCCAAACAAAGCATCCCCCGTTTTGGTAGCCAATTTAACAGCATCCACATTTTCCATCAACCATAATATTTTCATTGCACTAAAATAAGTGCTTATTGGCAAACCAGAAGTCTCAACAAAATGAGTTCTTCCTCCTGGCAATTCTTTCTCCAATTTCCTAAGAAAATTTTCAAAACATATCAGATTATGTATGTTTCTCCAATTGCAGATGTCAAATGCTTACAAGAACAATGGAATTCAAAATCACCGATAACTATTAGTAATTTGAAAAATAAAAACCCATTTCAAAATCAGGATTTTCTGGCACTGAATATCAATCGATCTAGAATTTCAGAAATATATTTCTGATAAAACCAAATTCCTCCTGCCACTAATCATTTCTCCAATTCGTTGGAGAATTTTTTCAAAAAGAAAAATCAGAATATACATTTATTTTAATACATATAAGAATTAAATGTCTACTATAATAATGAAATTTAAAACACAAATAAAATAAAAAATCATTCCATAATAATGAATTTCAAGTAAAAATGAAGTATCAAATCAATTCAAGTAATCAAACAAACCAATTTCAGAAATACATTTCCCAAAACGGCAAAATTGAGCATTGATGACAACGTAAAAACACCAAGGCCAAATTTACAATACAATTAAAAATAAGAAAATAGAAACAATATCAGGAACAAGAATCAGTGAAATCCTGAAACAATTAACCGAAGTTAACAACTTTTGATCAAAATCAAGAGAACTCAAATTACTAATCATCTAAAAATCCTAAAAAATTGAATCAATCGAGAGGATAGGGATAAAAGAAACACCTGCAGATGGCACTAGTGCGAGCATCCATCCAAACAATTGCATTATGAAGAGGAGCACCAGATGATTTGCTCCAAACAAGAGTAGTCTCTCTTTGATTAGTAATCCCAATTGCCTTCAATGCACCATCAACATTATGCCCATCAGCTGTGGCCTTGTCCACTGCCTTTGCCATACAGAGCCTCACACTTTCCAATATCTCCATTGGATCATGCTCTACCCATCTGCCATCAACAACCCATAAGACCAAGAAAAAATAAAGCTTCTAATTTTACATATGGATACATAAAAAATCATCGAAAAACGGAGTACCCGGCTTGAGGGTAGAACTGAGTGAACTCGACTTGGTGAGATCCAACAGAGCGAGCATGTTGATCATAGATGATGAATCTGGTGCTTGTAGTGCCTTGATCAATTGCCCCAATGAAAGCTGGCTCATTTTTTGCCATTTTCAATATTTCCTCAAGTTTTGGACTAGAGAGAGAACAAAAACAGAATATAGCAGAGAAGAAGTAAAACTATGAAGAGATAGACGGCAATATTTTATATATATATATATATATATATAAGAAGTAAACTATGAAGAGATAGACGCAATATTTATATATAATATATATATATATATATATATATATAATATATATATATATATATCTAGCTAAAAATATATATATTATATGTAATTATATTTTTGTTGGATTCAGGATTGCCAAATTTGGTTCGAATTATTAAGATTTCTTAAATTACCGTTTTCAAAAAAATAGATTTCCCAAATGATTTGTATCAAATATTTCCCAAAATGACTTGTGTTTTCGTAGATATTAATGTTTTGGGCGATGACTACCTCTACTGATATTATAAAATAATACTTTATTAATAATTTGATAATTGATAATTACTCCATCCTAATCACTAGTTGTCCAATAGAATTAATCGCCATTGCAGATTAAGACGTTTTTGTTAGAATATTACTCTTTTTTTTATTTTACTAAATAAACATGTACTCTTTTTATTTTTTTATTTTTGCCTGGAAAATATGCACTCTTTCTTTCTTAAAGCATAAAAGAAATCAGACGAATAGTCACGACTTTTGAAAATTAAAAAGTAACAGTATATTTAATTTTAAAAAATGGAATAATTTTCATATTCATTTTAATTTTTTCTTCAGAAATTTATTCATTTTAATTATTAATAAAATAATTAATTATATAACTTAATATTCGTTGGTTTTTGTCCGTTTTATACATCTGTTTTGATATACTGTTTACTTCATTAATCTAATCGCCTCTGCTCCATACCTCACGTTTTTATTTGCATTTTTCGGTTATTTTATTTTAAAAAAACAGACTTTGTAAGTATAAATTATTTAAATTGGATTTCCTAAAAATAGATAAAAGTCCAAAAGAATTGGAAAACAGGACAAGAGAGGGGCGGAAATGCCAAAGCGCATCTTTAACTCTTGGTTTGCTAAACAATCCTGCGAGGATTTTACGTGTCGTCACGTGGTTAATTATCGTTCCACAATGGATATTGACTTGTCTCAGTTGCACGGCAAGCTCGTGCACATCACGAGACGGCCGCTAAAATTTGTTGTACTCGCTGCAGTTACAGAACTATTTATACTCGTGTTTAGATTGGAAGGACTTTCCACTTGTAAACGTGGAAGATAGATTGAGCGAGTAAGAACTGCAATTGGAAGGACTGTTTTGTGCTGAAAAGTCAACTTTTGATGACAAGTAACGGAAATATAAATATCTCATGACCGAACAAGTAGATGGAACGGTTGCGAACAGATCATCCATATCTGGTTGAGTGGGACCAATCTAATCGCTGACTCGGATTTTTCGAAGAAAAAAAAAACGAATTCCATTGAAACTACTTCACAATATGCGCCTAGGAGTTGGATGAAAGTTGTTGGACCTAGCCCAAATCTGCATGGCCGTATGTGCCTAAACTGTGGAGTGAGTTTGCCTTTGACTACTTCACAATATGCGCCTAGGAGTTGGATGAAAGTTGTTGGACCTAGCCCAAATCTGCATGGCCGTATGTGCCTAAACTGTGGAGTGAGTTTGCCTTTGTTAGGATTCAACCCACTGGCCATAAAACTACCAAATGGGCCCATTGGAAATGCAAAATCAAACCCAAAAAAGCATTATCATCACTAAAAATGTTTTAAACAATGAATTATTTGATTTAAAATATCTTGTCAGTCAATAATTTTAGTGGTTTAGTTCTAATCTCAAATTATTATCCAAATAATATATTCTAAGTATTCATAATTAAAAATGTGAATAAAAGAAAAACTTATTTAATAAGTATGGCCTATCCAGATAAAGCCTTCCCTAAGTAAGCACAGGTTTATTGTACATTTTGTACATGCTCGAGTATTTATTGCACTAACACTTTGAAAATTTTGGCTAGTGATGGCATCAAATTTGTCTTTCTAAAATCTAAAATAACTTTGAACCACATGATGGAGATGTGTGAATGTGATATGTTTTTCTATGTGCATGCAACCACAAAAGAAAATGCCAAAAAAAATCAAATTAATTGGATGTATGGCAGATAATTTGTACATTGCATAAAAAAAAAAAGAATTATTCAATCAAAAAAACCTAGAAAAAACGAAAATTATATTTGGCTTCAATAACATAACGAATACATCACTTGTTAATTAAATTTAATTTTTCAAATTAATAAAAATTTATTGAAATACGTAGATAATCCCACGTTGAATAAAATAAAATTCTTCAAAGAGAATTTTGTTAACTGAGGGATGGTAATTATACATACGACCCACGATTCAAAACTTAGTTTTATCTATTAATCATTTAAAACGAGTGTCCCACGTGTAAGAATAGATGGGGAAAAAAAAATCAAGGCGGGTGTCCATTTGATTTATTTATTTATTTAAATTTTTATTGTAACTCCCATATTCACGGGTCCTGAAAATGAAGTTAGATCCATGTTGGTGCTTCGCAGCACCAGACAACATATGGCTAGGCGGATCTGGATTTATTATAAATAAATATTTTACAAAAAAGTTAACTTAAAATTATGAAAATCTTTTCATTAATTTAATCACTAATACCACAATGTGGAAAGCATAAAAATACCATAAAATAAAAGCTATAACATCAATAATTGCTGTAATATCTACACCTAGACTAAAGTTTATGGTTGCAATTTGTTCGTAATTATTATTAATTATTAAGGTTTGGTTGCTTCTATGATAAGACACAAACATTTTACCTCGAACAAGCATTGAAAATAAATATATAATATAATATAATAATATTTATGGGATTAAAATTAGCAACTTCATAGTTTATATTAACTAATAATATTTATATAAAAAAAAACAAAATTAATACCCCACTTAACAATATCATGTGCTGTTGTACTTAAAACCTACTTAACAATGTCATTCTCTCTTTTTCTTTTTATGAAGTTTCTTAATGCTCTAACAATACCCCACTAATAAACTAATCCTATACATTTGGTTGCGTTCCCTTTTACATTGACTCTACTAACTGCTCGCTGCCAAATCCAGCCTGGTCCAACTATTTTTTATATTTATATTTTAATTTATTTTTTATTGCACCACTCGCTTCTTTTCTACTATTCCATCACCAATTTTTGCCTTTTGCCTATCATCTCTGCTGTTATGTCCTCTTTCAATTAGGGCATTTCTTTTACCCCATCACTCCCGTTGGATTCATTTTATAATATAGTGTTAGAGTTACTCTGCTTTATTGTTAAGTCATCTATAGACTTCACTCTTTAACACTCTGTTCCGATGCATGTATTTTTTTCGAAAGAATCAAAATTTTATCTTGTTTAGAAAAAAAAAATAATGAAGGAGTGAAAATTTAATTTATTTTTCTCTATATCTCAAATAGATAAAATCTCTCTATTTGGGAGAGAAAATAATGGTGGAATATTGAAATTTTTCTAATTTTTACATAATTATCTAAATACCTAAACTACTTTTAATTAAATATTGAAGATATATATGATCATCAAAGCATTTAAAAGAATAAGTGAGGTTAAAATGGTAAGATATCGATATTAATAATTTTTTTCTCTAAAATTTTGCTTTTTCCAAACACAAAGGTGGAAAATAAAAATGGAAATAAAATTAAAAATTCATCATCATTTTCTTTTCACCTTCTTTTCAAACAGAGTGTAAATGTTTATGTAGGAGTGTGCTAGAGTTTTTATTTCGTAAAGACTATTGATAATTTAAATAATCTGAAAAAAAAAAAAATCAATTTGGAAGTCGAAGACAAACTATCAAAAAAATGGAAGTTTGGTGCATCTTATTATTGATACGAAATCAATTTCTCGAATTAGTGCACAATGCATTAGTTGTTCGTTTTCGACAGAAACACATGAAGTTTGGACATTGTTGAAGAGGTTGACGTACATAACATGGCCATTGCGTGCAAACCATAAAGTTCGTTGGCAACTTTTACAAATGCATATATCTATCTAGATGATAACAACGTTACTTAATTTAGCAGTATTTTTAAGCTCATTTATCATTTTCTGTTTTTTAGAAGATTTATGTTTCAACATTTTTTATATTTTGAAATACAAGAAAATTTATTTTTTTTATTCAAATTAATAGAGGAAAATAAGAAATTGGCAATGGTTGTGTAATGTATATTGATAATAAGAGGTACAATAAGCTTTTCATATGAAGGCAAAGGGTTTAACGTGTGTGATGTTTTTGTTTGTCTGTAACCCAAAAATGGGTTAAAGCGAGTTGGAAGATGAACCTCTGGTTAGGTTAAGTTAAAGCTACAAGTAAAACTTTCTAGTGAAAGAAAGAACCAATCAGAGTGAGCGGTTGTGGGGACCAAAACATTGAGATGCGAGTCTCTGTCTCTCTCAACACCAGTGTTACAGTGTACCTCTCTTCCTTCTCACTTCAAGACTAAGCAAACAAACTCCACTATTAGCTAACCAACAAACAAACAAACATTTCACTTGAAAAATTAGTTCCTTTTCACATTTTCTGTTTGTTTTGTCAACTTATTTTTTATTTTTATTTGTGTTTTAATTTTTTTATACTAATATATCATAGTTATTTATCATATTAAATAATTATAAATAAGATTAATAGGATAATTAAAAATAATAAAAAAAAAAGAAGTCTGCAGAAACACCGATAATTCGAATGTGCAACCATAGGAAGTTGATGTGCTGAATCATAAGAAGTCGTTAACGTGTCACTTATCTTAAATCACTTTAATTAACAAATAATTAACAGCAAGTCAATCGAATAAGACTAATTTTGTTGTGGAGTTGGTAGCAATTTCTCTCTATAAATGCTTTTTCAACGAGTCATATTTTTTCTATTAAATTTAAATTTTTTATCTTATTGTTTGAGCCATGCATTTGAGTAAATAACCAAGTTATTTATAATATTATCATCATAAAAATATTTTAAATTATACCAAATTGTTTTAAGAAGAAATGCAATTTTGAGATTGTTAGAAAAAGATTTTGAGGGTGATTTATTTTGTCTTATTAATAGCTTATCTGAATTTCAGTTTACTTAATTAAATTATAATGAAATATTATTTTTAGAATTGATACATAAGCTATATAATTTATTAGATAAAAAAATAAAAATGAGCATTACAAGTATAAAATAGTACGATAACCACTTCTAAATCATTTGGCAATTAGCTCTGCTACCAATTTTAACTATTCACTTAATGAGTTGTTAATTCATATTTAATATTTATAAAATTCAGCTTACATAAGTGAATCTTTAGAGGGATGCCCAAAATCCAGTTTTCGAAACTAGAACTGTCGGTTCCGAACAGGTGAAAACTGAAATCAAAACCGGTAGGAATTGGAACCAGAACCGGTAGGAACTGGAATTGGTCTGAATCGAAATCGAAACCGGTCTGAACCGGTTCGATTTTGGTTCCATCAGTTTTAGAACCGTGAACCGGCGGTTCCAGTTTCAGTCAGAATCGACGGTTCCAGTTTCGTCTGAAACCGGCCGGAATCGGTCTGAACCGTCAGAAAACTAGCTGGAACCATCGATTTTAAAACCGTTAAGAAACCAGAATCGAAATCAAAATTGTTCAGTTTCAAACCGTAACCGAAACCGTTAATTTTTCGATTCGGTTCCAGATCCGGAACCGTGGCCACCCCTATCTTTAGTCTTGTATGGATGGAGAATTGGTCCTAGAAATTTTAAAATTGCACGTTTTTTATGATCCTATCTAGATACTAGAATATATCTAATTAAATTGCAAATGAATAAATAAATGAATAAAATTTCACTCGTCATACTTTCTAATCATTCAAGAATTGAATGAATATATGATAAAGATGTCTAATAAATTTTCTCACCGTTCTTTTTATCAAAATTGAATTTACATCCTCCCAAGAAAAGCATATTCATAATTTGAAAGAGATAGCTTAATGACAAAGAGTATTTACGGAGCTGATTACCATGACTTAAGTCATGAGTTTCAATTTTCCGTCATACAAACTCTCATCGGGCCAGCCCTTTTACCTCTGAAGACGAACGGGACGTTAAAACGTATGATTTTATCATCCTAACAAATTTATGAAGGCAACAAAATGAATACTCAAATAAATTCAAAAGAAAAAAAAAAAAAAAAAAAAAAAAGAGAAAAAAAAAAAAAAAAAAAAAGAAGCGGAATTGGCAAGAAAAAAAAAAAAAAAAAAAAAAAAAAAAAAAAAGAGCGGAATGGCAAGAACCATATAGTAAAAATAAAATGAATTATCTACTGATAAGTGTAAAAAGTGATGTATTTATAGAAAAAAGTTATTCCACATTAGTTTTGATTAACACGATATAAAATTTTTTACGCAATAATACAATATCATTTTTATAAAATATAAGTTATGAATGATAGTAATAAGAGAATAAAAATTAATTATTTAAGAAAAAAAATATTGACAATTGAATTTATATATCAATCTACTTATATACAAAGCTAATTTAATAAATGTATTTATTCGTATGGTACTGCTCAATGTGTTACCCCTAATATGACGTGGATATAACTGCATTTTCGTTAAAAAATAGTAATAAAAATATTTTTTTAAATGACAATTAGTTATTCACCAGGCAAATTTAATAAATATATTTATTTATATGGTATTTGCCTACCTAATATGACGTGGATATAACTGCTTTTTCGTTAAAAAATAGTAACGAAATAATTTTTTTAAAATGACAATTAATTATTCATGAGCAAGCCTCGTAAATATTTTCCAAATACAACAACACATGAAATAATATTTAAAAAAAATAGATTAGAAAATTTCAAAAACAATCCCAAAAAGAGTAAATCACAATTATTTTTTTGATTGTTTTTGTTTTAGTATCAAGAGGTATTAATCCTGTCCCATGGTTTGTGTCTTATGCTTACGGGGATGGATTCAATTACTTTTTTTTATTCAATATAAATATAAAAAAATAAAAATCTCCTAGATTAGTGGAGTGCAAGAAGATAGGACTTTGATTTTTGAGTGGACGCAGAGGGAAAGAAACAGAGACAGAAAAAAAAGAAAAACAGAAAATTCCTAATAAAAAGGAAAATAAATATAATATTATCCGATTAGAAGAGTTGCACACCGTTCAATACACCAGACGTCATGAGTCACTCGATAGACGTTTTAAGAAATGCGAAAACCTCCACAATATCCTCAACTATATGCTCCGTTTTTATTCCCTGCTCCCAAGTTCACTGTACCTTATGGTGGTCGCTTTCTCTATATTACGGTAAGCTTCATATAGGTCGCCAACCAGTATGATTCTCGGTTTTAACGGTCCAGATTGTTTCAAACCATGAATTTGTGGGACTGACTTTTCTTTTTTTCAAAAAAAGAAAAAAAGAAAAAAAAGGTTTTAGTATTATAATTTTACTGTCCTACTTATGTCAGAAAAATGGAGTAACTCATTCTTTTTAGGATAAACGGAAATTTTGATAGGATAAAGTAAAATTCTATGACTCGGAAAATATTTTATAGATATTGTATGAGAAATACAAATTTTTGAAAATAATTTATTTTAGAAATATTTATAAGAATAATATTTTTCAAATAATTCATTTTCTATTCTAGGTCTCACTATACATGAATTGACAGACACTTATGGTGGAATGTATGAATTAAAAGACACTTACGGTGGAATGGAAGTAAGATTTGATTATAACATTGAAAATTAATTAAAGCAGTATTTATAGTTTTTAAAATTATAAAGATATTTTGAAATTTAATGTTTTCCTTCGGTAAAGATTTATTGTTAAATAAAGCAAGTAGAGACAGGTATCGAAATGAGATAAGACATGAAAATTTCTATCTCAATATAAAAAAATATATTAAAAAGTGATAAAATATAATGGTTGTCATGTCAAATGATGGCTTACAATTGATATTTGTGATTGGTAACAGAGTATTATTAGATCACTGAATTAATAAATATGCATATATAACTTTTTTTTTTCCTGTTATACATAAAGTTTGTTACTTGAGAATTTTTTTTTTTCAAAAATCTAATTTTCTGTTGATTTTTTCTATAGTTATGAGAATTGAATGTGATTGGTTAATTCGATTAATCTAACTAAAAACTGGATGGTAGTCCGATTCATATCGATGGAATAAAATTCCATATAATAATCGGTGAAAAATCCGCAACTAAGTAAAATTGATGAACCAAATTAGTCAATTAACTGCAGTTTGATTTAAAATCAGCACAAAAAAAAAATCTTATATTTGAATTGTTGATTGGTGGTGAATAATATTATATATTATGATAATATTGATAGTTTTTATTTAACATAAAAATAGTCATTTTTATCTTATTTATACATTTTATATTTAATGTAATTTAAAAATATATTTAAAATTATTATATAAAAAATCCGGTTGAATAATATTAAAATTCAGTTAAATCTTTTAGTTCATGAATTATTGACTTTACCATTTGAATGAGCAATACCATTTTCAAAACATTGATTTTTCAAGTGTTTCAAATGTTAGAAAATCTAAATAATATTTTTGAAGTAAGTTATTTTTTAAAAGTAAAGAAATTTAAATATTTATATATGAATATTAAAACGAAATATTAGAGGTAAGATTATTTTTCATTTGCATAAAAATGAAGACAGAAAAAAATCATTCTAGAAAGATACATCCAACTTATCCGCATATCCTTTGACGGTACATCGTCGCCGATGGGTTGTACGAACAACGAATACTTTCCTCTAAAACGTGGAAAAACAACAAAAGTGAAACAATCGAGTAAAAATGGAAGTGATTCCGACACAGATGCGTCGATATTACGCGCTATCGTTATCCACTACTCCTGTTCCATCAACAGATTCCCACTGCTCTTAAGCTATACCCAAATCACCTATCATCCATCCAACTTCTTGCGTCGTCCGACATCTGTAAGAATTTAACGGTCACTATCACGGATACAAAGTGAAATTAAAATGCCCGACCGCATCCTATCTTTCCCTCATTTTTTTAATATTTTAAATAATCGGAAATATATTGTTCCTTTCCTTTTATTCCCTAATATCCACTGATCCAATAATCATGCGACGTTGCTTGTGAAAAATCACCGTCAATTACTACGTGATGAAATTTGCGATAATATTAACGGTCGTCATGCATCTAAATAAAATAGGCTAAATCACAACAAATAATTCCTTACTTTCCCGAAAGCTATACTCGTCTGATATAAATAAATCACTCAAACCACGCCGAAGATCTCCGCTCCTTCTCACACTCTCCTAAGAAAGGCTTCATCTCTGTAGAATCATTTTCCGGCGCTCGGTAACCGGAGAGTTGTTGTAGGGTTCAGGCAAGGAGGATGGGATCCGCACTGCTGTCGGAGCTAGGTACGGAGATACTGGTGCCAGTATGTGCGGTGGTTGGCATCGTTTTCTCGTTAATCCAGTGGTACCTAGTCTCGCGCGTGACACTCACGTCGGAACGCCACGCGCCGGGCGGTGCCAACAAGAATGGCTACAATGATTACTTGATTGAAGAAGAGGAAGGTCTAAATGACCACAGCGTAGTCACCAAATGCGCCGAAATACAGAGTGCAATCTCTGAAGGTATAAACAAGTTTAGATCTTTGAGTTTTGGTTTTAGATCTGGTGGTTCATGTTTTTCTTTTCTCTGTTCAAATTGTTTATGTTTGTGCTTAAATTTATAAGCTTGAGCTTTTTTCGTACTCATTTGGTGAAGCTCTGTTGATATTCTGTTGTTTTAAGGTGAAAGCTATAGGTAGTTTTGAGAGGTTAGAACTTGATATTTCTGTATTTTTATGCTGAAATTTTTTAGCTTTGCTTCATTTTTGTGGCCAGGAAAATCGTTGCTCAGTAGTCCATTTTCTTTTTCTCTTTTATGTTATTATATGGTCTATCCAAGTGAAATTTGGCTTTGGTTCCTGACAAAATAAAGGAAAATGGAAGGCAACGTAACTTTTTCTTTCTCTTGTTTATAGTGCAAATTAAATCTTGTATTCAGATTTTTGTAGCTTTTAAAAAAATATTAAAGATATCAAAATTTAAACTTTTTCTACCATGAAGAAATCTATTAGTTTTAAGATGCGCTGCTCTTGCTTCTTTGAAACTACATTGGTATTGATTATTTCAGTTTCAGAGGCCATTTCAGGTTTTTCACTGGTTTTAGTTCGGGTGTCTAGCTCTTTTTTCTACTGCAAATATTTTGCGTTGTTTAGATCTGCCTTTTGCCTTTTTTATGACTTTCTTTTAAAGTCATGTTTTTATCTTTGTATATTTGGTTCATCTTGAAATCGTGTTTTAGAATGAAAAATGATAATATTTTGTAATACAGCTCTATTTGGTATGATTATTACCACTTGCATAATAGTTTTGTCTTATGTCTATAAGGATGTGTGGCTTTTGCGTGTTACTTTCACTGGTGTATGCATTCCACGTGTGCAGCACGTGGACCCTGTCTACTTGATGAAGAATCTCTTTCACATATTGACTATGAAGAAGAAAATATCAAATTATAAAACTAATCTTTAATTCTTTGTGGGGATAACAATATTATATATGCGTAGATCTCCGTGCAATTATGGAAATAGTATTACTGTTTTTTTTTTTTTTTTTTTTTTTTTTTTTTTTTTTTTTTTTCCTTTTGTTGTGATTATGATTCTGGGTTAACCTTATATATTCATTACTAGGAAGTTATTATTTTGTCTTATTCAAATTAATTTTGTTAGCATTTTTGATTTTTTTTTTTTTTTTTTTTTTTTTTCCTTTTGTTTTGTGATTATGATTCTGGGTTAACCTTATATTCATTACTAGGAGTTATTATTTTGTCTTATTCAAATTAATTTTGTTGGCATTTTTGATATAGCTGTGTAAGAGCAATTATTTTGTCCTATTCAAATTATTTTTACTGGCAGTTTTGATATTAGTGGTATAATATTCTTACTGCACATGTAAATAAGGAATATTAGTTAATATGTGAATCCATGGGGCTGGCTCGGTAGCTAACTGCATGTTGTTACAGGCTTTTAGCCATTCATCTTAATGGGCATTGGGAAGGAAAATCATATGTTTTCCTTTTCCCCTTGGTTCTCTCCTCATTTTGCTTGTTTTACATTCTTTGCTGCCAAATAAAGCTTATGTCAAGAAATTTAATTTGTCAGTGCTCCTTTACTTCTAAAAATATTTTACCAGACTCTCTTTCATGGCATTTTAGGTTGTGATGTTGCTTCAAGCATTGAAGATGTCATTTTCTTTGATGGTCTGATTATGCTGTCGTTCTATTGATCTGCTATTTTTTGTTTTATGTGTAACTTACATTTTTTTTCCTAGTTCTTTGTCATACTTGCTCAGATGTTTTGTGATAAGGAAGATTACTCAATGTTAATAGAGTACTGCTGTATCTTAGTATGGTGTAAAGATATTAATTTGTATTTTCTGGGGGGAAAAAAAAAAGAAACGGCCTGTTGTGTTGACTGCCAACCTTGTTTGCTGCAATAAATGGTATCTTTGTGGGTAAGAATCCCTCATAATAATGCCAACTGGGTAGAGGCAACTTTGTCCATAGAAAAGTGTAGTATGGGATGTGAAACTTTGTATCAAAAGCTTTATAAAAATGGACCTTCTCCTAAGCAATTGTAAAAATCATTTGCACCATCTCAACTACTAACGGCCATCTTGCACTCTTATACTTTGTTATTAAATACTCCATATATTTCTTCTTTCGTCTACTTCCATTCCCTTGCTTGATCGCTGCTTGATTCTCTGTTGTTATTACCATTAATTTTGTGCTTGTACCGCTTACAGACACATTTTACATTCGTATTAGATATTAGTTCTGTTTTTTTATTTCTACCCATCTTAACTTCCTCTAATTCTGTGCCTACTACTACTTTTTCCTTTCTGCCAGTAATTGTGATTGTAATTTTTAATTAAATGCCATTGCTCGTCTTATTCTTCCATCTTTGTCACTAATGTAATCTCTCTGTTGCTAATTGGCATTATTCTTGTTCAAGCATGTAATTTATTTGTGTTCATATTAAATTTATGGATGTATGGATGTCGCAGGTGCTACATCTTTTCTGTTCACCGAATATCAGTATGTTGGGGTATTCATGGTTGCTTTTGCAATTCTGATCTTTGTTTTCCTGGGTTCTGTTGAGGGATTCAGCACAAAGAGCAGGCCTTGTACTTATGATTCACAGAAGACGTGCAAACCAGCACTTGCTACTGCAGTATTCAGCACTGTTTCATTTTTACTTGGTGCTATCACCTCAGTTCTTTCTGGTTTCCTAGGGATGAAAATTGCCACCTATGCCAATGCAAGAACAACCTTGGAAGCAAGAAAGGGTGTTGGCAAGGCTTTTATTACTGCATTTAGGTCTGGTGCTGTGATGGGATTTCTTCTTGCTGCAAATGGTCTCTTGTTTCTTTACATTGCTATAAATCTCTTCAAGCTGTACTACGGGGATGACTGGGAGGGCCTTTTTGAATCTATTACTGGGTATGGTCTTGGGGGATCTTCCATGGCTCTCTTTGGAAGGGTTGGTGGTGGTATCTACACCAAAGCTGCTGATGTTGGTGCTGATCTCGTCGGCAAGGTTGAAAGAAACATTCCAGAAGATGATCCAAGAAACCCAGCTGTAAGCATTGCTGCTTCCTGTGAACATAATTTTTTGACATACCTTTTGGATTTTGCTTACCATATTCAATTATCTATGTACAGGTCATTGCTGATAATGTCGGTGACAATGTGGGAGATATTGCGGGTATGGGGTCTGATCTTTTTGGTTCATATGCTGAGTCGTCTTGTGCTGCCCTTGTTGTTGCCTCCATCTCCTCCTTTGGCATCAACCATGAGTTCACTGCCATGCTATATCCTCTGCTTATTAGTTCTGTGGGTATCCTTGTTTGTTTGATTACAACCCTCTTTGCCACCGATTTCTTCGAAATCAAGGCTGTAAAGGAAATTGAACCTGCACTGAAGAAGCAACTCATTATTTCCACTATTCTGATGACTGTGGGTATTGCAATTGTAACATGGATTGGCTTGCCTTCATCTTTCACAATTTTCAATTTTGGTACTCAGAAGGTTGTTAAGAACTGGTGAGTTTTGCACGACTATTTTGTGGTACACAAACATGTTTAAAGTTTTTGTTTCATGATGTGGCACATGTTTTGGTTCAGGGGATCTGCTATTTTACAAGTTATTTGAAAATCTCCCATTGTTTTTAAATGCCAGTTTGTGGTGAATACTTGTTTGTTGTTTCAGCTAGCTGATAAAAAAGTTACATGCCTGCCCTTATATACACAGGCAATTTTAGCAGTTAGAAAGGTTGTAAAGCATCAAACCTACTACTTGATCTTTTCTTGCCTTCTTCTGGTTAACCTCAGTCAGTTATGTATCTGTTTGGTTCTTGAGTTCGCTAGACAGTTGCACCATTTGCATTATTAACAATGCTTTGCATGTCACTTGCAGTGTCTAAATTCTTTAAATTGCTCCATGCTGCTGGACTTGTTATATTTCTTTAAATACAAGTAAAACTGTCTTGTTTTGTGTTTGGCATCTATACGTTCCTGGTTTACTTGAATTCTAGCTGGTATCTGGCATTTGGGTTTGTCATGGTAGATTTTTGTTTTTTTTTTGGTTTATAACATGTCATGATCATCAATACTAGACAGTGAATTTAATTATTTCCGAATAGTTACCCTAGTTCTGTCTTCTATATTGTTGAGTGTGTATTTATATAAAATTCTGGTACTACTAATATCATGATTTTCATTTGCAGGCAGCTGTTCTTATGTGTGGCTGTTGGTCTATGGGCTGGACTTGTTATTGGATTTGTTACCGAGTACTATACTAGTAATGCATACAGGTGAAAAATAATAATGTCATTTGAATAGATCTCTTAATGGTCCATGAGTATTTTAATGACAAGCTTGTATTTATGTCTGCAGCCCTGTGCAAGATGTTGCCGACTCCTGCAGGACTGGAGCTGCCACTAATGTCATCTTTGGCCTTGCCTTGGGATACAAATCTGTGATCATCCCAATTTTTGCCATTGCAGTTAGCATTTTTGTTAGTTTTAGTTTTGCAGCCATGTATGGCATTGCTGTGGCTGCCCTTGGAATGTTAAGCACCATTGCCACTGGACTAGCCATTGATGCTTATGGTCCCATCAGTGACAATGCTGGAGGCATTGCTGAGATGGCTGGCATGAGTCACCGAATTCGTGAACGAACTGATGCTCTTGATGCAGCTGGGAACACTACTGCTGCCATTGGGAAGGTATCATTATATCCCTTTCAGAGTACACATGAGAGTCGTATTTGATGCTATGAGTACTCCTAAGTTATAGTCCTGCTTTTGAACTTCAAAAGCAGTGTGGAACTAAGAGAGCTGGCATGATATTGTTGTGTTAAGCAAGATAAAAAAGTGGTTGTTGAAGCCTGAATATCTTCTATGAATCAAAAACTAAATAACATGTATTTGTTGTTGTTTCTTTTTATTCTTTCATTAATGACTTGTTTTTTAGAGGAAGTATGCTGTTTCGTTCTCAGACCTCAGTATTTTTAATGTTTATAATTTCTCATTTGTTTACAGGGATTTGCTATTGGATCTGCTGCTCTCGTGTCCTTGGCTTTATTTGGTGCTTTTGTGAGCCGTGCTTCTATTTCAACTGTTGATGTGTTGACACCAAAGGTCTTCATTGGTCTTATTGTTGGTGCTATGCTTCCATACTGGTTCTCTGCCATGACCATGAAGAGTGTGGGAAGTGCAGCTTTAAAAATGGTTGAGGAGGTTCGCAGGCAGTTCAACACCATTCCTGGTCTCATGGAGGGTACCACCAAGCCTGATTATGCTACCTGTGTCAAGATCTCTACTGATGCATCCATCAAAGAGATGATTCCACCAGGCGCTCTTGTCATGCTGACACCACTTATTGTTGGAACCTTCTTTGGTGTCGAGACTCTTTCTGGCGTTCTGGCTGGTTCCCTTGTTTCAGGTGTTCAGGTAATGAAATAATTTTGAAAATGATACTTCAACTCCGGATAGATGACTGAATTTGGTCAATAAACGATTCATTCAATTTGGTATGTTCTGACTCCTTTCTTTATGGTGCTTGGTTTTAACAGATAGCAATTTCTGCATCTAATACTGGCGGTGCATGGGATAATGCCAAGAAATACATTGAGGTATACCAAAATGACTGCATCTACTGTTTTATTGTCAGGATTATGCGGAAATGAAATATTAAATAATATCTATGGGTTGCTATTGTCAGGCTGGTGCTTCAGAGCATGCAAGGACGCTGGGCCCTAAGGGTTCTGAGCCACATAAAGCAGCTGTGATTGGAGACACCATCGGAGACCCACTTAAGGACACCTCAGGCCCATCTCTCAATATCCTGATCAAGCTCATGGCTGTGGAGTCTCTCGTCTTTGCTCCCTTCTTTGCCACCCATGGTGGCCTTCTTTTCAAGATATTCTAGAAGGGAGGGGATAATGACGAACACACAGGGACTGACAGGACGTGGCCTTCTTGTAGAATTCACATTCACCTTCATTCTACTTTTGTGCTTATATTTTCTCCCTTTTCATGAGATTTTCAATTTAGCTTCTTTAGTTTAGTGAAAATACTAGTTTTGATGGGCCGACGATGATGATAATTAAAAGATGGTTAGAGTGATGGGAAGATACAAGTCATTCTATGCAATGCAAAGGGTCAGTCATGTGTAATGTCTTAAGGAGAGCGAGAATTTATTACCTTTACTCTGTAGTTTTGAAACAAATTCACTTTTAAAATTTTGTATCATTACCCTTCTCCCTTCCTAGATGGGATTTCGTTTCGTTTTGGACTGGATTGAAGTATGGTGCCCTGAAATTTTTGACTTCTGAGTGGTTTATTTAATTAAAATTCTCTCTTTTCTTCAGGACAATAACTAACAAGGTTGTGGGTAAACAGTGAAGAGTTCGTTTGGACTGATATAATGTTATATTATGGTTGATATGGAATTTATAGAATGTAGAATTCGAGCATGGGAGAAATTGGCATTGAGATGGAATTTAACAATTTTATGTATTGTTTCTTAACCAGTCGAATTAATACGATAAATCTATAGTGTATACACTTTTTTTTTTTTTTTTTTTTTTTTTTTTTTTTTTTCTATAGTATACACTTTTTTTTTTTTTTTCTTTTTTTTTTTCTATCGTAATTTTAAAATAAATTTTCTCTATAAATATATTATAGTTTTTTTTTTTTTTTTTTTTTTTTTTTTTTTTTATCGTATGTTTAAAAATAATTTCTCTATAAATAATTATAGGGTTATCTCTACCATTTGAAATGTTTTTCTCTCATAAACTTGTATTGAGTGTTCTATCCAATTAATTATTTCTAATCTTATTTAATTTATGTGATTATACATTCATTTAAAAAGAATGAAGAATATGCTATGATTAATATGAAAAGGGTATTTTTTTTCCATCCATTTCATTTTCAACTATTAATGTTGCAATGTTTAAATTTAGGTTAATTATTATTTAGATTCGATAGTCCATTGATTTTAGATTATATTGATTGTAACTATCCTATTAGCGTAATTAGGAATTAGATTTCAGGATGGTAACTAAATGTCAATACCTGCGTAACATTCCCATTCCTTTTTTTCGCTGTCCCAATCAGAGAGAATTTCCATTTCGAGCTATTTTCCTTTCATCTCCATTTTTGAATCTCCTTCACATAATGCACAAAGTTAAAACTCCTAGCCAAATTACGTTTTAACTTGTGTGATTAGACAATCTATTTATAGGTAATTGAAAGATTCATTTTAAAAGAGTTTAGATTGAACTTAACTCGATTGGAATATAAATGAATTAAATTCATGTATATATTATTTAGAGGTTAAATGCGATTCTATCGAGTCAATTCTGTTAAATTTAACCATTCAAAGAAAATATTTTTTTTTTTATTTTTTAAAGTTTAGGCTCAGATTACATTCATATACTATTAATTTATATTAAATGCGTTATAATTTTCCTATGATAATGAAAAACAGAATCAAGTCATTAATATTACTAAGAAAATAAAAGGGAATATTGAAATAAAATTAATTTTCCTATTGCTCATCAAATGCACCGTCATTTGATATTTCTGTCTCTCTCTCTCTCCCCCTGCCTGTGAGTTCTGTCCTGCATCTCCCCATTCAAACGCTGAGCTTTCTCTCGACTCTCCCTTTCTCAACAACAATGCTTCAATTCTCTTCTATGAAAGTCTCAACTTCTTCTTTCCTCCCCCTCCGTTTCTCTCCATTTCTTTCCTCTTCTTTCCACTCCATTTCTCTCCCTTTACCTCTCAATCTCGCTAAACCATCCAATCTCCGTCTCCTTCCTTTCCCTCTCCACATACGCTGCATCGACGCTGCTCAGCCGTACGATTATGAGTCCCAGCTCCAATCTCAACACCTCAAGTCCCAATGTCTAAAGATCGCCATTATTGGATTCGGCAACTTCGGCCAATTCCTTGCCAAAACCCTTTCTCGTCAGGGTCACACCCTTCTCGCTTACTCTCGTACCAATTACAGTGATGCTGCTAAAAAGCTCGGCGTTACATTGTATACAAACCCGCATGATCTCTGCGAAAGCCATCCGGAAGTTTTGATCTTGTGCACTTCAATTCTTTCTACAGAAGAGGTGCTAAAGTCTTTACCTTTTCAAAGGTTGAAACGTAGTACCCTCGTTGTAGATGTTTTATCTGTTAAAGAATTTGCTAAGAATGTTTTGTTGAAGTATTTGCCTTTTGAGTTTGATATATTGTGTACCCATCCCATGTTTGGGCCTGAAAGTGGGAAAAATTCATGGGTTGGTTTGCCTTTTGTGTATGATAAAGTTCGAATTGGTGATGGAGAGGATAGATTAAGTAGGTGTGAGAAGTTTCTTGATATTTTCGCTAGAGAAGGATGTAGGATGGTGGAAATGACATGTGCAGAGCATGATAGGTATGCAGCAGGGTCACAATTTGTGACTCACACCATGGGGAGGGTGTTGGAGAAGTTTGGTTTGGAGTCCTCACCAATTAATACCAAAGGGTATGAGACTTTGTTGAATTTGGTGGAAAATACAGCTGGGGATAGTTTTGAGTTGTATTACGGGTTGTTTATGTATAATAAGAATGCTATGGAACAATTGGAAAGGTTGGATATGGCATTTGAGGCAATTAAAAAGGAGTTGTTTGGGAAATTGCATCAAGTTTATAGGAGGCAGTTGTTTGGGACAGCAGAGAGTTTGGGGCAGCAGCCCAGGATGCAGAAGTTGCTCCATAATGGTGCACCTTTGGAACCTCATTCAGATGCGATGAAAGAAGAAAAATCTTCGACATAAATGGACTGTGTTTATGGTATGGGAATTTCTATTTATTTGTTAATGAGTTAGTTTAGGAATTTGTTGATTAGCTCTGATTTCTGCGTTTTTATTAAGTTAAGTTAGTTGTAGCTGTCCCATATTTGAGTGAAATTGCAATGCAAATTGTTGAAGACCTTAATTTACTGATGAATTTTCCCTGTAATAGTTTTTTTAAGCTTGAGAGTTTGCATATGCAATGAATAACATGAATATTCTGCATTTTAGCTTTTTTGTTTCTGTCAGCTAATTAGATTATGTTGTTGTCAGGAGAGTGATCCATAGAGGTTCATAATATTTTAAAAAAATTTTCTCAGTCTTTTGTTTAAAGCTAGCAATGGTATTGTACACATATTGATAGGATGCATGTCCAGCCTTTAAAGGTGGATGTAACTATATGAATCCAGAGTTTGAACCTGGAATAAAGTTCTTATTATTAATAAATGACATGTAATCATGTAAGCAATGGAGATTATTCATTACAAATTAGTCTAAATTGATGAAACATAGCAAGAATATGATGTTAGTAAACACCATTATTGGAAGTCTTTAACTGTAAAATTGTCTTCTAGTTGCCACTTATCATGTTTGCTATGTCTGTTGTGTTGGCTATATTTTTGGGTTGGATTTCCATTAGTTGATTAAGATAAATTCCCTTGATGTTGAACCATTCAATTGCTGTGTTCCTAGCTAATTTGTTCCAAATGCTATTATTGGAGCTAAGTTACCAAAAACTATAAAAAAGAACTTCTTTCACTCCCAATGAATGAAGGATTTTGAACCACCGAATCTGCTGTTGTATCTGAAATTTTATTTTGAATCACCTTTAGTAATTGTAGATTCTAGTTAACATCCTTCGTTTGATAATGCTAAATTATAAGTTCTCTTGCCTCACTTCCATGTTAAAGCCCATGGATTCAATAGCCGGATTCAACTACTTTGAATCCCAATTTGTCTCTTTGGGATAGTTGAAGGATCTTGTTAAATTTTTTTATTGTATGAGAATTCTTAATTTATTTGTTTGGATTACACTTTTTGCGTTCTACTAATCAGACAAATGCCAGATAGTTAGGCTATGCTCATCACTATTGCACTTGTTTGAATGCAAAACTACTCTCCATTCAAATAATAATTAACCAAATGAATCAATACAAGATTAAAAGAAATGGAATGGCATGGAGAAGAACAATCTGATAACCCCAGGCTAATGAAAGTGGCTTTATCACAAAGCTTATAGAGCTTTACTTTTGGCGATGGTGCCTCTCTTTTAGTGCTTTCCTATGCTTTTGATGGTTCTGTAGTTAAATTATGGTCAGAAGTCTCTTTAAGCCTTATTTTTCTTTGGATGGAGCATTAGTTTCTTTACAGTTCCCATGACTGGGGGATTTGGGAACAGAATTTTCCTTGATATACTTGATGAATTCATACTTGGTTCAATACCATGTGATTGCATGCTCCAGTGACCTTATGTTCAGATCAAAATGCTTTCAGTCTTCTGGTGAAGAGAAAAGATAATTGTGGGGAAAAAGGGATTACTATTGCATCTGTCCTTGGTTTTTCTTACCTTTTGCATCCTATCCAAAGGCATTTTATGTACACACTTTCTTTTGGAATTGACATGGATTTATTATGAGATACAAAAACGCATCTCATTAAACTTCTAGCTGTTATTATCTTGGAGTTTGTGAAACTTGTCTCTGGGATTTGGTTACATGTTATTTGGCTTTCAAAGAGTTCAATAGCATTGGTTCACTCAATGTTTGAAGAAGACTATAGAAATTCCTGGGATATGGGAGCCAATTTATGGTAAGGTATTGGGTGGGGCTAAGGATAGCCATACAATGTGGCATTAATATTAGTTGTGAACTTCCCTTGGTATCTTTAGTATCATTTGGCTTCTTGTGCTTTCTAAGACGTCTGGTCCTAAAATGGGGACTGATGCCAGCAGTTCTGTATGGCTATTTCAAGAATTGCAGACCAAATATTTGGCATGGGAATTATTATCATACGTGGTGACTGTTAAATGCAAATCTGAGAGTTTAGATGAGCCTTTATGGTCTATTGGAGTTCACTTGTTTACACCGGTTAACTGTGTTTTGTTTATGTCCCTTTCTATCTTGTAGTACGTTTAGCAATTTTTAAGGCTGTTTGTTAACAAAGCTACCTTCTAACTTCAGCTTTGTCTTTTGGTGCTTTTGGTTGCATTAATAGAAATGTGTTCTTGTGCATCCTAATAATGGGGAAATAAAGAGAGGCAGTCAGAATGGATATTAGGAACCATAAAGATAGGCCAAACAACACAAACAAGTACCAACTAATATAACATCTCGCACTTCGCTACAGGCAACGTTTCTTGCAACAGAACAGCTCTAAACAGCTGCTACATGAAGTGCCCTCTTTCCCTGCTGGTAGTATTCCCAGTGTACATCAGCATAATCTTTCATCTTCTTGAACTTTCTTGGTCTTTCGACATTGACTAATCCTTCTTCAGGTCCAATCTCTTTGTTGGGTTCAGGTGTGTAGAAGACAGCTATTGAAATCCTCTCCTTCTCTGAGTTGGTCAAAACTCTGTGTACTGGGCTCTTGAACATTCCATTAGTCATTATCTGCCAATATATATGAAACCATAAAGGTGTGACGTGAAACTATCAATAGATTCTTAAATTTTGTAACCTAAAATTCAATATTTAAACCATATGTAAGTGATTCTTCATATTTTCATGTAGGTAATGAAGGTTGCACAGGCAAAAACATTGCTGAATCGAAATTTTCACTCTAGGGGTATGTTTGTTGCATGTGACGGTATCATATAATAAAACGTATCAACTGCAAACCCTACCTGCATTTGATCACCCATTAGGATTAGGAGGGCATCTGAAATTGCAGGTGCTGTGATCCAGTTCTTGTCTTTAAGGATTTGCAGGCCTCCAACATCATCCTGTAAGATAATGGTATACCCTGATCCGTCTGAGTGGGCTTTTAAGCCAAGCACAAGATCAGGTCTCTGACAACAGGAATAGTAATTAAACCTTGCTTGTAGAGGTGCTTTTTGTCCGAATTGATCCAGGAAGCAACTTTCCTCTAAATTCAATGACTTGGCCATGGCTTTTGAAGTGACCTCTGTTAGCATTCTCATCTTTGTAGTGTAGTCTTGTAACACTTCCCTGCATAATTGGGGAATAATCATGAACAAACTAAAATTGCAGAATTAATATTTGAATGTGAAATCTGTTTTATGGCGCAGGAAAATTTGAGAAGAAAAGAAAAATGAATCTGAAACCACTTAAACCTCATTTTGAGAAAGAAAAGGATCAGTTTCATAGAACATGTCATTTTTCCAACTTATCAAGCTGGTTATTTCCTGTCATAAAGTTATTTTACTATTTCTTACTGAAGAATAAATTATATTCTAGTCTCGCATTGATATGTCTGCTCTTTAAAATTGTGTGTCAAGGTCTTTAGTTAGGATGCTGATTTATACAGAAGATTTTGGATCCTCCCTTTATTGAATGTTGCTCTAATTGCTCTGACGCCTATTAACATAAGAAACAAGAGTGACCTGTATTTGTTTCTGACGATTATTAAGGCCAACATTTTAAATGTCTCGAGTCACCTTGTATATGTTCCAACAATCAATACACATAAAGGAGCAGGGTGTAAACCTGAAAGATTTTGGATTTTCTGGCCAGAATTTGGGTTTCCTCCGATCCTCTGGGTATACATCGAGAAATAGACGATCAGACCAGTCAAGTGACTGGCCTTCTGCAGGGACAGGGTCTGCTCCATAGCCTTCAAACTCGTCAACCCCTTTAGCATATTTTTTCTTCCCTTCCATGGGTTGTTCAAAGAATTCCCTTGCTACTTGTCGAATCTCGTCTAGAAATGATTTTGGAATCCCATGGCCTATTGCCTGAAACCCAGAAATTGATTAGAATGCTTGAAGAATTTACTTTTTTTGCACGGAACTGGGAGTTTAGAGTTTTGTACCTGAAAACAACCCCATGAGCAAAGGGCTGACTTAAGCTTCTGCAGTTCTTCTTGAGCAGTGGATGTTTCCAAAGAAGCGATGAGGCTTAGGTCTATGACAGGAAGTGGATCTGGTGGGACAGAAACATCTTCATGATCTGTAGGATCATCTCTACATATATAAGGCGGTTGTGGTTCTTCACCGTTGAGGACCATTTCCTGGACACGCTTTGCTAGCAAAACTTGAGCAGGAAGAATGGAAATATCGGCCATGTTCGTCGATGAAGCAAAGATCAGGCTGCCAGGAGAGTTAATTGCTGATTCAAGGTGACTGGTAATAAGTATAAGATAAGAATATACAATTTTTTTTTTTTTTTTTTTTTTTTTTTCAAGGTGACTGGTAATAAGTAAAGATAAGAATATACAGATTTTTTTTTTTTTTTTTTTTTTTTTTTTTTTTTTTTTTTTGTCTATTTATGTCAAAAGCCAATTGCTTTATGACTTCATAAGTGCATTTGTAATCTTCTGTCGAAGCCAAAATGAGCCAAGAGCTATTAAAAGATAACTTTGAAGTAGATCAACTTTGTTTTAGGCATCTAAGGACATGAAGAAGATTGGCTTATTCGGCCTTGAGTGATCTGAAACAGGTGGGCTAATGTCATGCGTGGCAGATATTTTTGTTGGTGTAGAGGAGAAAGTGTGATAGAGAATGACCATATAATATCACTAATAACAGACTTAATAATTGAAACAAACAAAACAGCCAAGTTTCAAAGATAAAATATCAGCGTACTAATCAAACAGGAGTATTTGATGGTTAATTACTGAAAAAAAAAAAAAATGAAGAGTTTTATAATTTTTTTTTGAAATTAGCTAATTAAATAAAAAATAATTAAAAAAAAAAAAAATGCCATATAAGCAATTTTGAAATCATTAAGATTTCTTCTGTCATAAACTTTAATTTTAGTTTTTTTTTTAATATAACTTTAATTTTACTTTTTAAATAGTTAAACAAAAGAAAAAAAATTATAATTTTCAAGTTAATTGAGTGTTAAATTGGAGTTATCTTAAAATGAGGGGCAGACTGCTAAACCATATTTTGGGAAGGTAAGAAATAAAAAAGTTATGAAAATCTATATTTCTAATTTGTGTATAAATCTATTTTTCCAATTAAAGTACTACTTAGATACTTATATATAATTTCCAATTAAAGTACTTCACTTAGATACTTATATGATATATATAATATGATATAGATATAAATTTTTTTTTTTTACAGTTTTTCTCAATTTATAATAAAGTAAATGGGAATTTGGGTCCCAGTAAATGTCCAATCAACAATCATTAATGTCAATAATAACCATAGGTCCATAAGGAAATTGTACTGTCAGCTTGCTCCAGGCCCAACTAAATCCAAGACGCAAGCTCACATAGACTATCCCACCACAAATGATCAATGGCTTGTGGAACTGGCCAACTCATGGAAATTTGATACGGCGTCACACAGGGATAGTAGGAGAGAGAGAGAGAGAGTTCGGCCACAAGTTAAGTTTTGCGTGCATAATAAACAAACCGATATTTGCGTCTCTTCTGCTGATTCGGAATTCCGATGATGGCAAGAGTGAACGCCTTTGTTTTATATTGCTCCACTTTCATCAGCATCCTGAGACCATCATGCTCCCAAAATCAGGGCTTCTATTATATATATATATTTTTTTTTTTACAGTTTCTCATTTATAATAAATTAAATGGGAATTTGGCCCAGTATGTCCAATCACAATCATTAATCAATATAACCATAGGTCCATAGGAATTGTTACTTCAGCTTCTCCAGGCCCAACTAATCCAAACGCAAGGCTCCACATAGACTATCCACCATCAAATGATCAATGGCTGTGGAACTGCCAACTCATGGAAATTGATACGCTCAACAGGTATAGTAGGGTAACCAAAAAATTCGGCCAACATTAATTTTTGCGTCGCATTAATAAACAAAAACCGATATTGCGTCTCTTCTGCTGATTCCGAATTCCGATGATGGCAAAGTGAACGCCTTTGTTTTATATTGCTCCACTTTCATCACATCCTAGAGCCAATCATCTCCCGATCAGCTCTAAAAGTTTCAGGTTTGTCATTTCTAATTTCTATCTCTTGAACTTCTCGTTTCCTCTTAAAAAATTGTGAAAGCGATGGTGAAGTGAATACCTTTTATGCTTCTGATGTTTTATGCTGATTATTGTTAATGAATTATTATACTCTATTTTAAGCTGAGCTCAGTAGCTCTGAACTTCTGTTGATGTGGGTGACAGTAGAATTATAAGATTGGAATTGGAAATAACAAAGCTTATTTTGCTTTCCAGCAGCTTTTGGTAATTGATAACTGTAAATGTGTTGTCTTTTAGTTTTTTGTAGAAACAATTTATCTCCATGTTTGTTTGAGGTCAATTAATGATATTAGTTGTATCTAGTGATTCCCTCAAATTTTCAGGAAGCTTTTTATTTCGTGTTTTGAGTGATGGGTGTCGGTTATTTTTATTAAATAATTAATGGGTGGCATTTGTTATTTTTATGGTTCAGGTTTGTAGAGTGTGTTAGCAAATGGGGAACGCCTCGTCAATGCTTACTCAATACGATATAGAAGAGGTTCAACGACACTGCCATAATCTATGTATGCTATTCTCTTCAATCTCTTTCCTTTCTACGGTACTTTCTGTTATCTCATGTTATTTTGATTTTAGTTCTTATTCATTTTTGTGGTTTTGCGTTGTCTAACTTAGTCTCCCAGCAAGAAATCGTGTCATTGTATCAAAGATTTTGTCAGCTAGATCGAAATGCAAAAGGATTTATCTCAGCTGATGAATTCTTATCAGTGCCTGAGTTTGCAATGAATCCATTATCCCAGGTAATTTTTTGTGTTGATTTTGTATTCTTTGTGGAATTCTGAATGATTTCAGTTTATGATAAGTTGAGAGCACAAATTCTGTGAGTTCTTGCAGAGACTACTCAAAATGGTGGATGGTTTGAACTTCAAAGATTTTGTGGCCTTCTTATCTGCGTTTAGCACTAAAGCAACTGTGGAACAGAAAATAGGACGTAAGTATTAGTCTGACAATATGACATTTACTACTAGAAATGGTTGTCAATTTCTTGCATTAGCTTGAATAAATGTGAAGGAAAATAAGTACTTTTTAGATGTGTCATGACCATTGCAGAAAACAAATGGAGACTCATTTATGGGCTTTGCTAATGGGTGTTCTAAATGGAAGATCCACTTCTACTTTTATTTTAGGATCTAATTTGTTTAGATGAATTGGAGATTTGATTGTGGCATTTGGGTTATTGGGTTTTCGACCTAACATTCATGGAAGATCCCACTTTCATTTTTATTTCGGGGTCAAATGTGTTTAGATGAACTGGAGATTCGAATGTGCCATTTGGTATATTGGGTTTTTTTGACCCGTAATGATATTGATCAAGCTGGTAATTGAAAAGGTTATATTGTCAATTAAATAAAGATGCAGGACAGAAATAGGAAACTAAAATGAGCAATGTATATTGCTTTCATAAGATTACCTAGAATGATAATGATCACACTGTTAATGCCAGGGTAATACTGTGGTGTTTTGATGTTTTTGAATTCTTCAATTACCTGCAATGAACTTGGTAGTGTAATTTTAGCAGTAAGGTTGTTGAAAGTTTGTTCGTTGTTCATAGAAAAGAAAGGGCTGCATTAATGAATTTGAACTATGTGTGTAAAAGAAAAGTTGGTAATGGGAAAACAAAAGAATGACATGGTAGTGATTGGAATTATATGGTCAATCATGACATTGGTTTTGATGCATAGCATTTCTTTTATTGCTTATCATTCGTTTTGAAATGTTTTTTCTTGTGATTAGTAATCATGCTGTCTATACTGTCAGTGCTGGAAAAATTCTTGTAATTCTTAAGTTGTATTTGCATTAATTGAGAGTATTTCTAATGTTTTCTTTTGTGGAACTGACAGCTTATGATGTTTTTGATGCTGTACTAATATGGTATATCTCTATGCCTCAGTTATTTTCAAGGTATTTGACTCAGATGGTAATGGAAAAGTGTCTTTCAACGACATATTAGAAGTGCTTCAAGATTTGTCTGGTTCTTTCATGTCTGATACGCAAAGAGAGGTACAAAAAGAAAAAATTTGTTTCATTATTGATCCTACTAACTCAGGATAAAATGGTTGTAAGAAACAAGGATATGAGTGACATCTGTAGCTCCTGCAGTAATATGGAATCATTTGAAGGACAAATTACCTTGTTATTTGTAAGAAAGTTTTCATATGAATACTGACATTAGTTGTCACAACCTACAAGGGATTAACAATGTAGTTAATGTAATCCTTCCATAAGAGTTGATTTCATATCTGTCTATACAATAATATTCACCTGCATTACCCTCTTCAGAGGCACTAATCACTATTTAGTTTCTGTCTCTACTAGCTATGATAACTTAGCGTTTGTCAGCTCCTTGTCTTACTAAATTTCCATTTGGTTCTCTATTTCTTTAGATTTTAGAGAAGCAAACTAAATTCTTTGTACTTTCTGTTCTTTGTCTTGCAGCAAGTTCTGTGTCAAGTTTTGAAGGAGGCAGGTTACTCAAGGGAATCTTATTTAATGCTGGATGACTTTATTAAGGTGCTTTGTTTTGTCTTTTTTCGCTGTCGATTTAATTATGTGGCTTCCTTTTCTCAATGCAAATTACTAATATAAGCTCTGGTAAAAGGAGAGGCTTGAAGAGAGACATGATTACGTCTCTGATTGCATTGTTAAGTCAAAAATTGCACTAAATCAATTACTAGCTTTGACTGGTGGTGAAGTGGAATGTTTAGGAAGAAATGAGAGCCCACACAGCTGCATGAAAGAACAAGTATGCAACAGTTCTTCTTGTACCTTTAAAGGGTGAGACTGCCAAGTGGGTCTAGATTCAGGAGTTCCTCCTATGGATAAAAGTTGTGATACTGGTGGTCATTTTATTTGCCGAAGGATAGGATAATTCAAGAGAATAGCAACACCTATTATTCTATCACCAAAAGAGATGCAGAATGCTATTTTCCTTTTAGATATTTGCAGACCCTAAAAATTCGCAAGTCATTTGAAATCTATTAGAGTATTGTGTATCACCAAATGGATTGAAGCACTCAGTAGCGTAGGGCCAAGAACCTTGATAAATCTTCACATCAACCAGCTGATTCAACTAGTTTCTTGTGCCATTTATTTGAGAGCAAATTTGCTTGAAGATAGTTTTGCACTCTTTAATACTCTAGATGGACCAATCCCAGGTGATTACTGGCTAGAATTACTCGAGTATCCCTGTAATGGCTTAGCTTCAACTTTTCCTTTTACAAGTTTATCCCCTGGTTTTGATACAATGCAGATAATCGTATACCCTACTGAATGTGCTTTAACATGGTTGTACTAATTTATTTTTGTTTAGATTTTTTCAAGATACTTATGGATATGTTTCTGATCATCGCTTTGCATGTGACGTAGGTTTTTAGAAATTCTGGCCTAAAAATGGAGGTTGAAGTTCCGGTTGACTAATCTAACCTGGCAGTCTTCCATACTTCAGTTGCAAACGAGCACCTGGAGAAACGACCCTTTATTGTGCCTACTGTAAAAATGCTTCATTAGTGAAATTGATAGCAGATACACCTGTACTGATTTTCTTTTTCTGTTTATATTCTCAAAGGAAATATGAAGAACAAGCAACTTGTGCATGCAATAAAAATTTAGCTTGTTCGTAATGGTCTATCTTCTCTGCAATTTTTGAGTTTGGGAAGCTTATGATTTAGCAAATTTCTCTACTCTTCTCCCATTTCCTGTATCTATTTGATCTGTGGCAGTTTGTTAAATGGCGGGGCTTGGGACAACAGCACATCAAATAATTTTAAAGCATGGTTTTCAGACCCGACGGACCGTTCAGTTTAACCAATAAGGCTTTTGGTTTGGGTTTGTCAATTACTTGAAAATGTTCAAACCCGATGGTTGACCAAATGAACCGGATAAGTTTAGCAGCTGACTAAATTTGCTCCAGTTTAGCTGGTTCAACCGGTTTAACCGAGGTTTAAGTTAATAATTAATAAAATGAAATTTATTTCAGAATTGTTTTTTGCGGCTAACCTAAACTCTAAATACGTCTCCAAAGTATTAACCACCAATGTGTATATAATTGAATAAAATGAAATTTATTTCAGAATTTGTTTTTTTGCGGCTACCTAAACTCTATAATACGTCTCCCAAGTATTAACCACCAATGTTTATATTATATAGTATATTATATATATAGTATATATATATAGTATATAGTATATATATATATTATATAATAATATTTATATATATATATATATAATATATATTGTTTAAATGTAAAATTACTTAAAACAAATTTTTTTTTTAATATTTTCTAAAAGTTTATATTTTCTTTTAATTATTAAGTCAAAGTTTATTTTATATATATTTGCCAATAAAAATAGCTAATATGGTAATTTTTTTTTTATCTATAAAAATGTTTTTTTCTTCTTATATTCAATATTTTTCTACTTATATTTACTTTACTTAAAATATTATAAGTATAATATTATTTTCAATTATTTCGCTAAAGACTATTATTATAGTAAAACTTAATTATTATGAGATGATTTTTAATTAATAAACTATTAATTTTTAAATTCCACTTTTAAACCAATATATGACGATTTTTAATAAAAGTTATTAGTTTTAAATTATTTTACTTATTTGTGTTTTTAATTAAATTATAATTGAACTGCAGTTGACCTTTAACCCTTAAACCCTCTGCAACTGAATAATGATTGGATGGATAGTGGATGGATGGTCTGAAAACCTTGTTTTAAAGGGTTTGTTGGTCCTACTGCTTTCTTGCTAAGGGATAAGAAGGAGGATTGGATTTTTATGGTAGACCATAATGAATCTATACTGTTTTTAAATCGTACTTACACGAACTACCAAGTTTGCTTCGAGTTGAAGAGAGTTCTATGGAGTCTTTTGATCTAATGGAGACAAAAGTTATGTTAAATTACTTAAAACAATTTTTTTTTTAATATTTTCTAAAAGTTATATTTTCTTTTAATTATTATGTCAATCTTTATTTAACATTTACGTTGCCAATAAAAGTACTAATAATGTAATTTTTTTTATCTTATAAAATGTTTTTTTTCTTCTTATATTCAATATTTTTCTCTTATTTTACTTTACTTAAAATATTATAATATAATATTATTTTCAATTATTCGCTAAAACTATTATTATAGTAAAACTTAATTATTATAATATTTTTAATTTTAATAAACTATTAATTTTAATTCATTTTAAACCATATATACGATTTTTAATAAAAGTTATTAGTTTTAAATTATTTTACTTATTATGTGTTTTAATTAAATTATAATTGAACTGCAGTTGACCTTTTAACCCTTAACCCTCTGCACTGAATAATGATTGGATGGATAGTGGAGGATGGGTCTGAAAACCTTGTTTTAAAGGGTTTGTTGGGTCCTACTGCTTTCTTGCTAGGGATAAGAGGAAGGATTGATTTTATGGTAGACCATAATGAACTATACTGTTTTATTCGTACTTACACAACTACCAGTTTGCTTCGAGTTGAAGAATTCTATGGAGTCTTTGATCTAATGGAGACAAATTTTGCCTCCTAAATATAGTAAGGAGCCAAAAAATATTGCTGCTAAGTGGCTATACAGTTCTTAAATTGCTATTCTGTTAAGGTGAAGCTTCAATCACCTACCAGCAATAAAAAAGACATTCTTGAGAAGTTATTTTCTTGGCAACTGCCTGGTAATTTCCCATGAAACAAGCACCTTTCTCTCTGACAAAGATGTTATAAGTTGCATGTTCTTTTGGACACTGAACCATTCGCTTCTGATCTATCTAACACTCTCTTTGCAGAGAAGCAAGATCTCCAAACATGTTCTCTATTTCCTTCAGCACTGCTCTTTTATCAGGCAAGCAACCATCATTTCCTGAATCTTTATTCTTATGTTTTCTTCTCTTTATTTTCTTGGGTTTGTTATAAGTTTAGCGGTTTGTTGTTTCTTGTTTGCCTTCCGTGGTTATTTAAGTTAGTATATATCTTGTTTTGCTGTTTCTCGGTAGGTAATATGGAACACCAACAACGTTCCAGTAAACCTAGTAATGAAATTTTTTATGCCCTGCAAAAACTTGAAGAAATTCTGCATCAGAAGGAACTGCAAATTTCCTTACTTGAGTTGGATGTTTTTTCTCCGTTAAAGAATCTTTTGGTAGTCAAGAATTCGAAGGATAATGCAAATAGCAACAAGCTCAAAGTTGAAGCTGTTGAAATTTCTGGGGATTTTACTGGTGCAGAAGCTGCAATGAAAGAAGAGAAAACACCTCAAATGCATAGAGTGAGCAACGGCAGGAAACTATTAACAGATTCAAGAGCTTCAAGTTCAAATGAAGTAGCAAAAATGTCACTAGTAAGTCCTTCAAGAGGTAAGGTTTATGTTAATTCTTGTGAAGGAGAACAGATTTTGCAGGGTATCGAAATTGAACAGCTGAAAGCGCGATTGGAGTTTCTTGAAGAAGAAAGCAAATTAATGAGGCTAGAATTTTTGGACCATGTAGAAGAAAAGAAAAAAATGGTGAATGAGATATTTCAGCAGTTTCAGACAATATATCATTACCTTGAGCTTGAAAATTCAGTAGACGGAGAGAAAGGCTTTCGTGGATCCTTAACGGGCTTGCCTCCTGAGGTAATCATATATATGTCTTCCTAAATTCACTTTCTTGTACAGAAATGCTTAACAAAATAATGTGGCATATTGTATTGAAACAGGAAGTAGGCACTGTCACCAGCAGGGACCAAAAAAGAAGAGATGTTTTGACATTAAAGGAAGCTCCTGAAGAATGACAAAGTTTGGTCCTACACACTGTGCTGCTTTCTTGATTGGATTTATGAAGAATTGAAGTCAAAATACTTTATACAATAAATTGGTTTCCCAATACTTTTGATATGAGATCATTTATAATAGATATAGAAAGTTATACCTATTTAATTTATAATCATCTATAAGACTGTTATACAGTAAATGTTTGTAAGATGGCAGCTCTAAATATTTCAAGAAACACTATTTTGTTCTTGTTTTCTTTCTTTCAATGATTAATTTGCAAACAAATCGAACCTTAATCTTGCTATTTCTGAAATGAAAATCCAATCTGATCTATTCTAATCTTAATTTTAATAAGAATCTGGCAACAAACTGCAAACTGTAGGGAATTTTCAGATACTCTGTCTAATGTACCTGATTATATACTTATTGAACCCTTTTTATATAAATAAGTAATTAAATACAAAACAATTGGTAATTAAATTATAAATATTATTAAATAAAATATAAATATAAATTTTTTTAGGATTATTAATTAAAATTACAAACAGATTTGTTTTAATACAATTAAATTTTAAATAAGTTTGGATTTTGGAATGAATACGGATACTGAATTAATTATCAAATTCAGGTATGAGTAGAACATTTTCGTAGATGTTGCACCCTCCATTTCTAAATATTAATATCCATAATTAGGGGTATTCATAAATCGCCCAAATCGATCCAAAATTGCAGTTGTAATGAATTGTTAATTTGGTTCAATTTGTAAAATTTAAAAATCAAACTATTGGTTGGATAATGAACTAAACCATTATGTATATATATTTGTCTGAACTTTAAAATGATAGATAATACATTGCAATTTTTGAATGAAAATTTTCTTTGTATCAATTGGTATATATTGGATAGCAATTAAATTATAATTATGCATTGCTTAGACAAATTATATAATTGTTTTATGAGAAGTCTAACACTTCATTTAATATAAAATTTTAAAATATGAATTCATTTATAAATAAATTATATATCAAATTCATTTATAAATAAAATTTTCATATTTGAAATAAATTTAGAATTGAAAATTTATTTACTTTTATTTTCTAGAATAACTTTAATTTAATAGTTTTAAAATGCTAGAAGATTGGATAATTTGCATAAAAAATTTAGATTGTAGTTTTACAAAATTTATTTGGAAATTGCATCTATCTCACTAGAATTTAGTTTAGTTACTATATTCTATTTTATAAAATTTAATTTGTAGAATAAATATTTTTTTCTTTTTATTCCAAACACAAGTTTAAATTTCTAAATGAATTTCATAAAATTATTATATAATTCATTTATTCCAAAAAGAGGTATAAGTATAAGATTATTCATGGATAACATAATTCATTATATTTTTTTTAACAATAAATGTGGAGACAAATTAACATTTAAATTATATATCAATGAAACAACTTAATTAATGACCTAGTGAAGAATTAAAATATAAAAATTAATGTATAATTGAATAGATAAATATAGTTTTATTTTATTGTTAGAAAAAGAAGGGTGTAAATTAAATATTTGCCATATATAAAAAACATATTTGTAGTATGTATATATTCCAGTATAACTGTCTAAATCAAACCAAATAAAATCACATTCATAGATTCGGTTCAATTCGAGTTTTCCTTGGTCCTAGCATCACAAGAAATGTTCAACTGTACAACCATACAATAATTCAAGCAAAGCATGTTTGATCATATTGGATGAGACATGTAAGGTCATAAAAATAATCGCAAATTAAAATCTGAACAGGCATCTTATATTACATTCATGTATTCCAAAGCACAAAATTTACTCAATACCCAATAGTTCCATTAAAAGACTTGAGGAGAAACAAGGTAGAAAAACTTGCATACTAGATCAAGTGAAGACTGGAAATTAATTAGATTTCTCCTCTATACCCTCCAGAACCAAAGTAATCCCTTCTGGAGTTTGCAAGCTGCTGGGATCTTTGATGTTCCAACTTAGGACAATCACGGATACGGTGACCAAGCCCACCACAATAAGCACAGCCCTTAACTCCGCTTGCATTAGTAATAGTTTCTCCATCCGCATTTAGATCTTGTAACTCAGCAAGGACAGGTGGAATCCTCTGTTTTGCTTCTTGCAATAGGTGCTTCAAATCGAGAAGTGTTGTTTCACTCTGGTTTTTGTTTATAAAGGTAGTTGCAATTCCTGTCTTACCACACCTTCCAGTTCGTCCAATTCTATGAACATAATTTTCAATTTCTGCAGGCATATCATAGTTTATAACATGTTGGATATCAGGAAAGTCCAAACCCTTTGAGGCGACATCGGTTGCAACCAAGACATCTTTCTTGCCTGCTTTGAAGGACATAATTGCATATTCTCTCTCTTCTTGGTCTTTGCCTCCATGAATGGCCACAGCCTCGACTCCCTTCAGGAGAAGATATTCATGAATGTCATCCACATCAGCCTTGTTCTCACAAAATATCAAAACAGGAGGTGGGGTCTTCTGTAGGCACTCAAGAAGGTAAACAATCTTTGCCTCCTGTTTTACATACTCAACCTCCTGGATCACATCAAGGTTTGCAGCACCGGCCCGTCCAACATTGACTGTAACGGGTTTTACCAAAGCGCTTCTAGCAAAGTTCTGAATTTTGGTGGGCATGGTGGCAGAGAAAAGAAGAGTCTGCCTTTGAGCTTTAAAGTGGTCAAAGACTTCCCTAATGTCATCCTCAAAGCCCAAATCCACTAACCTGTCAGCCTCATCCAATGTCAAATACCTGTAAAGGAAACAATACTGTCAATAACTTTCTATATCAATAAAGTAGTTTGCAATGTACACTAGCAGAAAAGCATACTTCCTTCAAAAACTAAAAAATAGGGGTGTCATCACGTATGTCAACAAAACAATGTTATAGAATATACTAACAACAACGGAAGAGAACTTATTAAAAAAAAGAACATCATAAATGCAGCACAAGATCTTTTCACTTACACCTGCAATCAAACAAGTTACCTACAACATTGGTAGGACGTATCCATATTTCAAACACTAAATCTTACTAGACAGATTTTAAGGCTCATGGAGAAATCTGAGAAAATCATTGACCAACTAGCAAAGAATTAGTCCAATTGGGTGATAAGAGTCCTCCATCATTCCATATTTGCTAAGGTGCAGCTATGAATAAATAATCCATCAATAACTAAAGGAAAGGGTGCAGCTCACCACTGGCTGAGGTGAATAAGTATTTGTGACATTGTCAAATCTGTCATTGACAAGGATGATCATTTCAGTTGTGAAAAGAGACTCAACATATTGTGTAATACATACAACGACTAAAGTGAATTTAGTGAAGAACAAAAATCTCTCTTATCACTCTCATGCTTCACAGTTACAACTCAAGAACAAGGCTCCATAGTCCCCAGACTTAAACTAAGAACAATTGGTGAAAAGACAATCACTATATTTAGTTGCATAGAATATTCACCAGGTCGACTAACAAAACCACATAAAAAGAATTCAGAAAGGCCATTCATCCAAGCAGTTCTCCATATGAATTTTTAAACAGGTTTCATAAGAGGATAAAATAAAAAAGCCCACATCACTGACATATTTTGATATGGAAAAGGCTCACAGCAAATACACAACTATAGCATCATTAGCAATATAAATTAGAAACCGCAGATAATAATAATTAATCAGGTTAATAGTAACAGAAGTAATGGAGTTACCTGCAGTTATCAAGATTCATTTTCTTCTTTGCTAGCATGTCCTTCAATCTGCCAGGGGTAGCAACAACAATATGAACCCCTTTTTTCACAACCTCCAACTGTGACCTCATATCCACTCCACCAATACAAAGCAATGGCCTCAACTCCGGATATCCAGCCTCCCTCATAGGAATCAAAAACTGTTCCACTACTTCATAAGTCTGTCTAGCTAGTTCCCTGGAAGGACATATGATCAATCCAAAGGGTCCTTCTCCAGGTGCAATAGGCATCATAATTTCCTCCTGTAGAGCTATCATAATCATTGGCAGCACAAAAACAAGTGTCTTCCCAGACCCTGTAAAAGCTATTCCGATCATATCTCTCCCAGTCAAGATAACTGGAAGTCCTTGAACCTGAATGGGAGTAGGCTGCACAATTCCTTTAGCTTTTAACTTCTTCAAAATCGGCTCAGGAAATCTCATTTCCCTAAAGTTTTTTATTGGAGGAGGAATATCTTCCCCATCAACTATAATATGCCATTGTTTTCGAATTGCGTCGCACTGCTTTCTAGACATTCTTCTAATCTGAAGCGGCGGTTTCCACCCAGTTAACAAAGGCTCAGTATACGTAATTCCTTTAGCCAATTCACGAACAGACATTAGGGTTTTCCTATCTGATAAATGCTCTATCATTTCCTTCTCTTGCTGCACTATCTGCTCCGTTTGACTTATTTCCGGTTGGTCCCTTTTAAGCTGAGAGGCTTTAACGAGAAGACTGGGCTTTGCTTCAGCTAGCTTTGATTTTTCAAAATCATCCTCCAAAGCAGATTTTCCTTTTCTTTGTAGGATCTTTTGTGCTTCAATTGCACGGCGTTTGGCAACAGGAATATATTCCTGATAGTCGTCTTCCTCCATATCCATATCTTCGGGGCTTCTTTTACCGCCAAGGAAAGATGCAGGATCAGATAAGTGTCGAAACCCTAATTCAATTTTAAAACTTGAACTAGTAAAGTAGGCAACAGCGAGAGAAAACCTTAAACACGAAATAGCGTTTGAAGAGGTGATTGGGAGTTAAAGGCAAGTGCAGTGATCGATTCAGAACTTTTATTGGTATCGGAGAGAGACGGTGATTTTTCCAATAGGATTAGGAAATCCATTCCCGATTATTTTTCGACTAGTTTCAATTTTGAACTAAATAACCCTTAGCTCCCTGTGAGTTTTTAAAATTATAATTTGGATCAGTAATTAATACAAAGCCTGAAACAATTATAATCATTACATATATATACATAGAGTTTATGTTTTATGCTATATGACACTTCCTCAAGTGGATGGGCTCTCTAAAATAAATCAATATTAAAATAAATATTTTCATTTATCATTAATTAATTACTAATACTTAGTTTTATTCTCATTATTATTATTATCCCATTCTATTTTTGAGGCTAAAAATTCAAGCTCTATCTTCTCACTCAGCCCATACGTCCTGCTCCATATGTTTGACATAACCCACTTCAGATCCAAACCCGTGTCCGAACCAGTATAACAGTACCTACGCCGCCGTCATTGCTTTCACAGCAGCACCGCCACGTCCTGCTGCAGTCCGTTTCTATGAAACCCTTTTCGCACTGGCCTTGCCCTGTCACTAGCTAATTATGCTCTCTGTTCTTTGTAAATGCAAGCAAAAGAGCCCTAATTGTAATTTACAATTCTTCAGGTCAGCTTTTCCATTCTTTTCGTTTGCTTTCTAGGCATCCCAACAGAGCATCAATCATTCTATCTTCATCAAATTTTCTATCTTTATCAAATTTTCTATCTTTTTATAATATATTACTAATTAAATACAAGCAGATCCTTGTTTAGCATGGAAGTAGAAGTGAAACTTCGTCTCCCAAATTTAAACGCCCATCAAAAGCTCTCAACAGTCCTCTCTCCTTTCCACACCAAAACCCTAATGCAAGAAAACATCTTTTTCGACACCAAAAACTCCCATCTCTCATCAAGCCTCGCAGCTCTCCGCCTCCGTTTCTACAATCTAGATTCTCAATGCGTCCTCTCCCTCAAAGCCAAACCCGTAATGTCCAACGGAATCAGCCGCGTGGAGGAACAAGAAGAGCCTCTCGATCCACAAATTGGACGCTTGTGTGTTGCTGAGCCATGGCGGTTAAGATCGTTGCAGAGCTCAAATATAATGGATAGAGTTAGAGAGGAATTTGGAGTCAAAGGGAACGAAGAATTTGTTTGTTTAGGTGGATTTAGGAATGTAAGGCAAGTGTTTGATTGGAAAGGATTAAAAATGGAGCTTGATGAGACTATTTATGATTTTGGGATAAGTTATGAACTTGAATGTGAAAGTAAAGAACCTGAAAGGGATAAGAGATTGATTGAAGGATTGTTGACGGAGAATGGAATAGAGTTTTCCTACTCAAAATTTAATAAATTTGCGGTGTTTCGATCAGGGAAGTTGCCCCAGTAAAGGAGAAGTGATAAATATTCTGGGGTTGTATTATCATTGAACTAGTATGTATTCAACAGTTTGAAATTTATTTCGTAAGAAATATTACTTATTTCTTGCTTCATTTGGGGATGAGGGTATGCTATACTTGATCTTTTACTTTTCTCTGGCTGTTGTTGAATACTTGTATTAGCATTTTCCTGCAATTGATATTTGAAGCCGAGAAGAAAATGAAGGGAACTCGTGCAAAAAAAATTGTTTTGCACAAGAGTTGTCTTTGATTGTTCAAACTTAAATGCATTCAAGTTAAGGGAGTGTTTGCTAAAGAATTATGCATAGTAACGTTTTTCTAGTTCGAGCTCATCCTGGATTTCTTAGTTTCCGCCAAAGGAATAAGTAGCACAAATCAAGACAAGCTGGGCGTTTGGTCTAGTGGTATGATTCTCGCTTTGGGTGCGAGAGGTCCCGAGTTCGATTCTCGGAACGCCCCTCTAATCAAAAGTTTTAGGCATTGTCATGCTTAGATTAAAGAATTTTGAGCTTTTCTATCCAGTGGCGAGATTTTGAAGAATGCTTCAAAGATGGTATTTCTAGTGAAAGAAATAGTTATGGGCTATGTGCTCATTGTTAATCTTTTTCTTTAAGAGGGTAGTTTTACCGACTCCCCCCATTCCATACAACCCGAAAACCCCAACATTTGGGTCTTCAAGGCATCTCCAAACTCTTTCAAATGTTGAGTCTAGCTTTAAGCAACAATATCAAAATTGCCTTTATTCACTAGTTCCCTGACAGAATTGAGCTTCTGGATTACCATCTTTCCAAGTTTGTAGCAGGATCGCCAATTCTTAGGACATCGACTTCTAAAACATTTGTTCTGCATCTCAAGATCCCCTTTTTGCAGAATTTCATTAACCACCTCCTCCATAACTTTTACTCTCTCTACCCAGCTTTTCACTAGGTTTGTACAGAACAAGTGTTGCTGCTCAGCAAGTTGGATCCTTCTCTTGACATCTGCATTAAGGTTCTTAAGTTCTTCATTGCGTTACTCAAAGAATAAAGATTCTTTTTAAGCTTACGGATATAATTTGTATGCCTGGCGGTGCAATTGCAGAAGCTAGTGGCGAAATCCAAGATTAGACTTACAAAATCCATGGTTCTTGGCAGCTATGGAGGCAAAACACAAAAGACCAAAACCTTGGCAAATGTGTAGTGTGAGATGGAAGGAAAGAGTAAAGAAGGTTGTTGCAAACAGGCAAGCCAGAAATTAAATTAATGGGCAGACATTTGATCATCCAAGTTAAATGGGCAAACGACTAAAAAGTAAACTTTGAAATTTGCAGGGCCACTTACCTTTCTTTTCTCTGTGTCTACAAGCCAAGTTTGACTGTTTGAGGATACACTGAGTAGCAACTAGCGAGGAATCTTCGAAAATTTCCCGTCTCTTTCTTCCACCTCGTGTAATTTGGAAACAACGAGGAAATTTCCTGTAAAATAATATTACGATTTACGATGTGAACCAATCTCTCCACGGGAGTAGCGGTCTTTTTGCATATATATATAGATATATATATATATAATGGAACGATTACATCAGATGGGCGTTTGGTCTAGTGGTATGATTCTCGCTTTGGGTGCGAGAGGTCCCGAGTTCGATTCTCGGAACGCCCCTTTTTTGTGAAACAAAATGACAGGTTTCAGTGTCCACTTTTTTTGGGAAGTGGCTTCATAAAGTTCCAGAGTTTTATTCTAAGCCTTTTTTTTTTTTTTTAGGGGCGTTTGGTCTAGTGGTATGGCATCTCGCTTTGGGTGCGAGAGGTCCCGCAGTTCGATTTCCTTCGGAAGCCCCTTTTTTGTGAAAGAAAATGACAGGCTTTCAGTGTCCACTTTTTTGGAAGTGGCTTCATAAAGTTTCCAAGTTTTTATTGCTAAGCCTTTTTTTTTTTTTTTTAGCAGTTCCTCTGTAAATTATGTAAGCAACTGATGATAAAACCTCCACACTTTAATAAATAAATGCAGAATTTACTTAACCTCCAAATTTTAGGTTAAGACATAAAATACGTCCTCACAGATCAAATCCATTAACAACATAATAAGACTGATAAAAAAGACTATTTGACAATACAAACTACTCAGTCATTGATCTGAAGCACCTGCAACTCTCATACTCAAAGCAAAGTTGCTCAACCTGATATTTCCAACATGAAATTAAATACCAATTCTATCAGTTATTTGATTCTATGACAGCAACTGCAAAATAATTAAATAAATTCTCTCATAGTCTACAAATCACATGCACCCTTTGGGCTACTTAGCATTGTAGTTCGCACAAAGGACCATCTATCCAGAAGTTATAAAAGGAAAAAAAAAAAAAAAAACAACCATTTTCTTGATCATATACAGTGGATTCAACAGCATTTACTTTGATCAACCCAAACCAGATGTACTCTCCTGCATTCCCGACAGTAGATTAAGCTTTACAAATTTCAATGATTATAGTACAACACAAGAATTAAGGTTTTCTTGCACAATGTAATATGAAGTCAGGTGGGGATTGTAATAAGCCTTTACAAGCTCGAGAACCTGTTACAAAACCACACAAATAAGAGAAATTAAGAATACTTAACACTAGATCAAGAGAAAACTATATTGAAGGTGTTGACCATATATGAAACAAAGTGCAATCTCAAATTCAAATTTCAATGACGTGTATGTTTGGCTGTGTTTAGGATACAAAATAGCTAGATAGAACAGTGTAAATCACAGTATAAACATGACCTATCTGTTTGTGCAGTAAACCCCCAGAATTACTATGAACAGTTGAGGTTTCTTTGGAAATTAATTCAATTTCATGAACTGAGCAGTTATTTGTTAATAATGAAATCTTTCAACTAGTCTAAGATGGATGAATGAATGAAGTGGAGAAGAGTAACAAAAGTTCTATGTTAAAGGTGAAAAATAATTAATAAATAAATTACTATTTCAGAAAATGTTTTCCTTTAAAAAAAGTAAATGGCTTTTCTTAAAATAAAAAACCAATAAATCTAGTAATTTAAAGTGATAAAAAGAGACTTCAGTAGGAATTAAACATACAGGATCTGGTGATGTGTCTTGAAGCTTTTGGGAGAAAGTATGTTCAATGGATTTTCTGTTCCACAGTAATTCATTCCACCAGGTTCTACTTCCTTTTATCTGCTTTAGATTTTTTGCACTGTAGGAATCTAATGGGAGGCTTCTTAGATCTGGACAGTCACACACTACAAGCTTCACAAGAGAAGGAAATTCCAAGGCATGGCTATAGATGGACTTCAACTTTGGCAGGTGTTTCAATGACAGGTTCATCAGATTCTTGAATACATTTTGTCCACAATCTTCACTGAGTACTTCAACAATTTCGCTGCAGTCAATTAATTTTAAGGACTGCAGGTTTTTGATATACATGAGAAATGCCACATTCTTTATTGAACAATCACAAATCCTTACAAAACGAAGATTGGGAAAGCATTCCTGCCTTCTCAGGAGGTAGTTAGAGACATTGCATGATTTTTCCTCGTGTTCATCTTCAATTTCCACCTCTGTTAAAGATGGGCATTTTAACAATTCAAGTCTTTCTAGATGCTCCATCCTTGTCAGAGAGAGTTTTTGCATATCTCTACGTTGTACTAGTTGCAGCTGTTTGATGCATCTTCGCAATTTTTGCTTGCTCAATACTTCTTCAACAAAACTAGCAATAGACAAAAGTATTTCAATCTCGTTTATATTTTCCAGGCATTCCAATTCCTCTAGAAGCTTTACTTCCCTATCGTGTAGAGAATGAACCTGATCATACAAACTAAATGTCCGTAATGACGAAAGACCAGATATTACACCCTCAGGTATAATTAGCTGGAGGCGAGCTCTGTCCAGTATCAAAGTCTGCAGCTTTTTCAAATTTTGAACCTCCAGTGGCAATATTTGTATAGATGTCCCTGACAAATTAAGGTAATGTAAGTTGCTCAAATTTCCAATTCCCATAGGTAGCTCAACTAAACATTCATTATCTGACAGGGACAAAACTCTTAAAGCAGGCATAAATTGAAAGAATTCAATTGGCAGTGTATCCAAATTAGTAGCCCTGATAAGCAATGTTGTAAGAGAATGGCAAGAAGGCCTCTGAGGGAGAGATTTGATGCTGGAACCCAGCAATGATATCTTCTCCGCATTAATCCATTTTGAAAAATTTAGTGCTTTTTCACTCACCAAAACTTTATCCTCTGACTTTCCCTTCTCACAAGCTAGCCACAGGGTCATTTCCCGAATCACATCATGAATTTTAACAAAATGTAAGGACTTGCCACTCTCTAGCAGATTTGCACGCATTAAACTCTCTAATATAGTTTCTCCTTTTGCCCTTGCATCGTTACAAAACAATGTGTCTTCATTTAATTCATCAAGATACCCTTCTGCTTTCCAGAGTCCAATTACTTCCTCTTTCTTAATATTATCACTCTCTGAGAACAGAGAAAAATAGAGAAAACATTTCTGGAGAGTATTATTGCTCAATGTGTCATAACTTACCTTGAGAACAGGAAAGACGTGATTTTCAACATTTGTGACTTTAGATAGCTGATTCTTCAAATGTTCTCTTTCACGCTTCCAAATGTGGACATTGGTCTTACCAGCCATGGCTCTCCCAGTTGTGGTGAGTAGAAGCGGAAACCCATCGCATGCCTCAGCAATATCCTTAGCCAGCTCCGAAATCTCCCAGTTAGCAGCTAGAGTGGCCTCTCCTACATGTAACTTGAACAATTTTACAGCAGCTTCTGTTGGCAAACAATCTAGTTTAATTTTTGTTGCCTTCATCGCGTCACAAACCTTTTCTCACCGGGTGGTGAAAATAACCTTGGATCCATTCTTGTTGCTATCCAAAGGAACTCCAACCTCTTCCAAAAGTTGATGATTCCATTCCTCTCCTAAATTATCCAACATCAAGACAAACTTCACATTTCTCAGTGAGTTCCATATCGCCCTTTTGATGAATTTCTGTTGATTTTCAGCAATGCCTAAGGTTTTGCTAATAGCTTCTTGAGCAGCTTCAACTTGAGGATTGTCAACCCAAACCATCATATAATCACGGTAACACATCTCATTGTACATCTTCTTTAGGAGAGTGGTTTTACCCACGCCCCCCATGCCATGTAACCCAATAATTCTCACATTTGAGTCTTCAATCAATTTCCAGATTTCATTAATCATTGACTCTAACCCCACAGTCTCCGGAACAGGCATCTCATCCACTGGGTCAACACTTCTCTCAACAACAACATCAAAATTTTTACCCTCTTCTATCAATTCATCCACTTCATTAACCTTTTCACTCACAGTCTTCCCAACCTTGTTGAAGGAGCAACAGTGTTTGGGACAGAAACATCTGAGAGTTCTGTTTTGAATTTCTTCTTCAGCTTCTTGGATAATCTTCTCTGCTCTCTTCTGCAAGCTACTTACTCTTTTGAGCCAGATTGTTACTTCGTCCAATGGCTGATTCCATGGTCTTTTTTCATGTTTGACCCTTCTCTCTAGATGAAACTTTCTGTCCTCCAGCAGATCTAACTTCCTTTTAAAGGACTCGAGATGGATTTCCAGATCATCGAAGTACTCTGCACGAGCACAGCAAAAACATATGCCGCTTTTGATAGCATCCCAGATTGGGCCAGTAGCTGCTGCGTCTACGCCAGCCATGATTCACAGAGATCAGAACTAAAAGAAGGAATCGATGCTTATTTGATCCTCAGAGCTAAGAAAGAATTATAATGAATTTGTTAAAAAGCGAGAGGAATCCAAGAAAATGTCCACGAGTTCAGCTCAAGTCAACTTGAATAATTCATAAATTTTTACTTCCCTAATCCCATATAAATAGTTTCATTTTCCTTTTTAGTTGTCTTAAAGTATAGTGTTATTTTCTTTTCTAAAATATTATTATTTAATTTTTTAATATACGCTTTTTTAATTTACATCAATATTTCCGATTATACATATTATTTAATATTATGGAGAGATATTTCAGAAAAAAAGCTAAATAAAAAATATAGTCCAACTATACTAATTTATTTTTCTTAATTTATATAAAAATCAAAATCATGGGACGTAAGATAAGAGTGGATTGGGTATCGACTTAAAATGCAGCAATTTGATTCGAACTTGATTATTGTAAATTAAGTACTTGAATTCATAAATTAAGAAAATATAAATGCACCAATTGTCTTAAAATTATATTTTGACTTAATAAAAAATATAATATCGATATTATATATAATTATAGCATTAATTATAATTAGTAATGTGTATACATATATTTTTTTAGAAAAATAATTATTTTAAATATTTTTAGAATATTAATTAAACAGGTAGCGGAAAGTGGATTATAAAATCCTTGAATGTTTATTTGTTTAATATGGAGTAACTATTTTTTCTTTTTTTTTTTCTTGAGTATTACTATTTTCCAAACTAAACATAATAAATTAAAAGCAGAATACATAACTCCACCTTTGAACTTTATTATTTTAATTTTACAGCACCTTTAACTTTTATTTTAACTTATAAAATTATACCCATTAAACATTTATTAAACTTATAAAATAATTTTATAAAACACTCCAACTTATAAAATTATATCAATCATTATGATAATTATTTTTAAAATATAATTATCAATTTGCTATATTTTTTAATTCATATAATTGAATGCAGAATCCATCTTTTACAAAAAAATTATAGCGTGCAATAGTATAGCATATAATTAATTTTAAAGTGTATTTATTATTAAAAATATATATATCCTAAAGTTAATTGAAAAAAAAAAAAAAAAAAAAAAAATTAAAATTATATCCCAATCATTGATTTTGATAATTTTTTAAGAACTATTAAAATATTATCAATTGCTTATATATTGTTAATTCATATAATGAATGAGAACAGAATCCATCTTTATACGAACAATTATTTAGCGTCTGCAAAATTACATTTAAGAATATAGCAATTAATTTAATTTTAAAGTGTTATTTATTATAATAATTATATATATGCCTAAAGTTATTTGAAAAAAAATAAAAAAAAAAAAAAAGAAAAGAGGTAAAATATGAGACTTATCCACCGAACCTTAATTAATAGAGATTACAGTCTAATATAACTTCATTACACATAACACAGCACAAAAAAAAAAAAAAAAAAAAAAGAAAAGAGGTAAAATATGAGACTTATCCACCGAACCTAATTAATAGGATTACAGTTAATATAACTTCATTACACATAACACAGCACAAATTAGGGTGTATCACCAAAATAATGTTTCTGTAAAACTATTTATCAGAAAAATAATGTAATTCCGAAACTATTTACCAAAATAATGCAGTTTTTATTGAAGAATTCTAAGAAAATTTAAAGAACATGAATATGCATCTGGTATAAGCTACACAGTATAATCAAAAAGCAATTTGTAAAAGAAAATATTAATTCGCTTATACCTAGAAGTGGATTCAGTGATCTGACACACATCCAATCCGCTTAGAATAATTAAACATAACACCACATTATTTTTTTTTTACAAATTACCATCACTATAGTTTCTCCCATTCCTATGCTAATCGTCTAATACACAAACTTTTTCACTGTCAACCACCTTTCTTTAACTGCAGGCCTCTCATCTTCACTTTTGTTTTCCCTGATAACAGTAAAAAAGCTACTAACTTTGATGGTATATAAACATTTCACGGATTTGCCAAATTTCACTATCAGATTGAGAAAAAATAGGCCACAATCCATAAAATTTATGGTTTCAATTTGGAAGAGGGAAATTCCATAGTGAATTCACTTAATTTTATTCTGAAAATTTCAGATCAAATTCATAATTTTTTTTGTTTCTATACATATAATGGAACGTGAGATTCATGGAATATTGATTTTATGACATCCGTGAATTTCACAATCCATCACTCCAAACAATCATTTAGAGCAATGTATACAAAGGATAAAAAATCACGAAACCAGTACTAGCATTGCAGTGTTGATTTCTTTGGTTTTATCTCAAATACTCTTGAACCTCGTAAATCTCATCTCGTCCGCCTGACCCCGTGCTTCGTGCAGGAGATGGAATTGGAGTTTCATGAATCTCATCTCGACCAACCGACCCTGCACGAAATTGAGATTCATACGGTGGTCGATCAGATAGGAAAGCATCGTCTTCCGCATGCCATATACTCGCCAAAGGAATATTTCCTCTTAGAGCTTCAACTATCTGCATGACATAGCAATGGCAGAAAAATTAGCTTACATGTTGAATTATTATTATATAGTTCAGAGTTCAGACTAGTTCATTTACATACTAATGATGCATATTCAACATACATGTTGAATCTATGGATTTTTCAAAATTCTTCATCTACTACAAATTAATCTCTCAATTTGATGATTTTATAAACCTCAAATGTGACTGTTGAATTTTGCCAAACCCCTCATTTAAATGAATAAAATATTATAATTTTTTGTTTTTTCATAAAACATATTTTCCAAATCTATGGTTTTGATCTCTACACCAAACAGGAGATATTATACAAATCCATGAAATTAAAAACTTCCTTCTTTTTTTTTTTTTTGGGTTTCTCATGCAATTTGACAAATTACATGAATTTCAAAATCATCAATCCAAACATTGCCATAAATACAATCTCTTATGAATTTATACCTGGTTCATTTCTGGGCGGAGGTTTGCAGGTTTATACACACAAGCTGCAGCACAATAAATCATTCGATCCATTTCATATTCATCATAGTCTTGCAGTTTGGGGTCGATAAATGCATAATAATCACCGGTCTTCAAACCTCCTCTGAATAGAGATTTTACCTAAATTTTGAAAGACAATAAAGGTAATGGTTATTTTTCCAATTTTCCAACATCACTATATATAATATGGATTAACTAAAACAGAGATTCTTGACATGGGCCATGGTCTGGATGATTTAAGTGGAGCTTTCGATAAAGATTTTTTTTATTTGTTAATTTCACTGTGACATAAAACTGGAAAGAATCAACCTCAAACAGCTGGAAAAAAAATCCAAAGGACCTGTTCCGACTCACCAAGTTAAGACAAATTCAGTATCATTAGACAAAACTGATTGGATTAGATAAACATTATTATTGACTAGTGTGAAATACATAACAAGTACGTACCCAAGAAACTAGGCCAACATGGTCATAGCTCTCTCTCATATTAGCTTTCTTCCCTGTAACCAACTCCAAAAGCACAACACCAAAGGAGTAGACATCGACCTTAACAGTGACCACCCCACTTAGGGCATACTCAGGAGCCAGATAACTGCAGTTAGACAAGGAGTATATGAGAAGAAATGAGGAACAAAACCAAGAAATTTAATTTCCTGAAAACTGATTAACTCTACGAATAAATGTGTAATTAAATATGCTCGATAACAAGTAGAAAATTTATCATACCCCATAGTTCCTGCAATGGGCTCCATGTCAATTTCAGAATCAGAATCTTGAAAGCTTAAAGCAAGTTCAAATCCTGAAATCTGAAATATTAAACACAACACAACTAAAAAGTTAAATGTACCAACCAAACATCAAATCATCTACTTCTAGTAAGAAATAATATAAAATTGAAAACAAAAGGCATCAAATTATTATCAGAAAGAAGTAACAAGTAAAATTAGAGGACAAATCATCAAGTGGGATAGAATGAAAATGTCCTGTAGACCACATATCACAATTAAATTGGGATTAAAATTTAACTGAGTTTTATAATATTCCAAGAAAACCCGCTTAAAATTTTGTCTATGGCTTTGCAGAGGAAGGGGTGAATTTAAATTTAAGAGCTTGTTTCATATAAATGAATTTTATAAAGTTTTATAGAATTCATTTACGAATCTAAATTTTTATATTTATTATAAATGAAAAGTCATTTGAAAGTTTATATTTTCAATTGCATGAAATGGCTCTACTTGGACCAAATTCTAACAAAATCAATAAAGTTTACAAGTGAACTGAAGCACTAGCTATTAAAGCTAATAAATTGTAAATACAAATGAAATATATAGTTGATTCAAATATGAAAATTTTTTTACAAATGAATTTTTTAATAAACTTCATTTGCAAATGAAATCAAATACAGGATTTATCCCAAACACTGTATAAATCTCATTTGGCCAATCCTAAAGATAAACTCAACTAATAAATGAGTTTTTCCCTTATTTTATTCTAAAGCCAGTTCAAAAATGAGAGAATTTTTTCATTTGCATAATCTTAATCCTTGCAATATAAATGATTTGACTTTTGAGTGAATCTAAAATATTGACTTACTTTTGTGTGTGAAAGTTGACCCTTAATGTGACCGAAAAATAAAATCCTAAATCCAATATACAAAATAAAAAATAATCTTTTATCTCTCATGAATGCTATGTACCTTAGGTTCAAAGTTATGATCAAGAAGAATATTATTCGGCTTGATATTTCGATGGATGATCCTTGGTTCACCTAAGAATGAGTATATAAGAAAAGAGAGTCAAATTCAACAAGTATATATATACACACACAGACACTATGCCAAAGACAGAGCATGGAGTAAACACTCACAGTCATCATGCAAATACGCCAATCCTTTTGCAGAGCCCAATGCAATTTGCATTCTGGTTGACCAATTAATAGTCGGCTTCTTCTCTCCTGCAATGTTAAATATTTTCCTTTATCAAGAACAATATATATGAAGATAAATAGAGTTTTGGGGGGAAGAATATCTCCATTCGGCTTGACTATTCTACGAACTATTGGATGATCCTTGGGTTCACCAATAAGAAATGAGTATATTATAAGAAAATGAGAGCTTAAATTAAACAAACAAGGTATAGTTTAATACCACCACAACAGGAAACACTATGCCAAGACAGAGCATGGATAAACTATCTCACAGTTCATCATGCAAATACGCCAATCCTTTTGCAGTAAGCCCCAATGCCAAAATTGCATTCTGGTTGACCAATTAATAGTCTGCCTTCTTCTCTCCTGCAATGTTAAATATTTTCCTTTATCAAGAACAATATATATTGAAGATTAAATAGCAAGTTTTGGGGGGGGGGGGGGGGGGGGCGGCAGGGAGGTGTAATGGAAAGAAGTAGACTGAATGAAATTGAGGACTCAGGGGCGGCAGGGAGGTGTAATGAAAGAAGTAGACTGAATGAAATGAGGACTCACCGTGTAAATGAGACCCCAAGGAGTAATTGGGAAGGTACTCATAAACAATTAATTTGTTATCTTTATTTTGGCAATATCCAATCAGCTTGATAATATTACGATGATGTATCCGACTAATGATTTCAATCTCTACCCAAAATTCTTTATCCACACTTCTATAAGAATTACTGAACTTCTTGATTGCAACAACTTGACCACTTGAAAGTATTCCCTTATAGACTGTACCAAAACCACCCATACCTAGCTGGTTGACATCAGAGAAACTAGAAGTTGCCACAACTAGTTCTTTAAAAGTAAAGGACTTTGGCCAATTACTTCCAAGCCTCTTAATACCAACAAGAGACTCCAACATCAATTTTTCTTCTTTTGTACTTGAAGGAGCAAACTCCGTACGGCGTTCCAATATTGATTTTTCCTTAATGCCAATAAGAGACTTCAATGCCCATTTTCCTTTTGTATCTGAAGGAGTAACCTCTGCTTGACGGTCCAGGACCGATTTTCTCCTATTGCCAATAGGAGACTTCAACATTGATTTTCCTTTTCCTTTTCCTTTTCCTTTTGTTTTTGAAGGAGTAATATCTGTGTGGCTTACAGAATGAGGTGGGCTAGCTTCACAGCCAACTAGACAGGGAATCAAAATGATATTCATCATACATCCAATAAATAACTACAGCTTCTTTTAGAACATAGAATTTCATTGATTTTAAAAATATAATATACAAGAAGACACAAAATCACATTGAGTCTGATACTCAAGGTAACTGTAGATAGGCTATAAAATAAATTCTGGAAATCAACGATATTTTTGCTTATTGTCTTTATTGAACTTTTATTTTTTTACATCTTATATTTAATTACATTTGATGAAACATAACCTGCGAACTATGGAAAAGGAGGAGTTAATTTTGTCATGGATTGACACAGATTATATAATTTAATTATTTCCTATTAGATTTAAAAGTGTACTGAGACTAGTATAGTTATTGTTAATGTATTTGATTTATCCCAATATAATCTTAAATCTTATGACGAACAGGCTCATTCTCATAAAATTGAGCTATAACTACCAAACCCAAAGTCTAAAACAAGATACCTTCTGTGGAGCTCTCAATGCTGAGAGGCTTCAGCTCTTGTTGTCGGTCCATGTGTGAAGGAGCAGTTCCTGAGACATGGGTTTCCTGGCCAGCTCCAAAAACATCTAGATAGGGAAAGAAAATAAATTAGCAACAGTACAAACACATATATAATATGCGAGTCTGTTTGGATCGACAAGGGCTTAGAGCGAAGGGTATTTGAATTTGACATTACATTGATATTTTATGATATTTTACTATAAATTGAAATCCAAATTCACTTTCAATTAGATTTCAAATCTAGTCTTCATATCCAAATACATCTTCAAATTTTAATGTTTTTTCTTTGTGGACGTTTACTATAATTGTCTAATTGTGGTCCACTTATTCATTAATAATGTCCTTAAGCTCTTAGAAATTAACTTAGTGAAAATTATTCAATATTACCAAATAATCAAATATAGTGTGCCTATATTTTACAAATCAACTATATTCACATATAAGAAGTGTGCAAACAATATTATTCATCAATTTTCAAACTAAAAGTTGACGGATAGTTTTCTAAAACCACCAACCAATTAGTCAATTTTCATTCTTCAAATCCAATACTTTGGTATAGTTTACCATTTTCATGTTTCACTATTTCAATTAATGAGAGGTTTTAGATGAGAAATTTTGAACAATTTATGAATCTGATATAAATTTCTTGTTTGGTATAACAAAAACTAGGTAAAATTTATGTATTATTCAAAGTTCCTAATTATCTACCACAATAATTCATTTTGAGGTTGTCTGAAAATTTCACAAGAGGATGGAATTATGCCAAACTTTTCATTTAATAAATAGAAATTTTAGAATTTTTTTATATCTATAAAAGTACTATTGAAATATATAAATTTAATCTCTATACTAAAAACAGGAAAACTTGCATTAATTAATGGAATTTAAAACTCATGCCAATAAATTTGAAATTCTTAACTATTTAGATAGCAATGGAAATATGCAGTTAAAAGGAAAGTTAGAGTATTACCTTGAAATTTGCATTGAAAAACTTCTCTAGTAGGTACATCCTTCCATTTCAAGCGGTCCCACCAGCTTTTGCTTCCTTTTATGTCACTCAACCTCTTTGCACTATGTAAATGAAATGGGAGCTCTACTAGGCTTGGGCAGGCAATGACAACTACATTCACTAGAACTGGAAATTGCAAGGCCTGATGGCAAATCTGGTGTAAATGTGGAAGATCTCCCAAATGTAATTTCTTTAGATTTGATAATATACCTAAACGTTCATCAATTTCTTTAATTTCTTCGGATTTAAAATCACCACCTACAATTTCAAGCAATGATTCACAATTTCGTAAATCAAGTGTTCGGATTCTAGGAGCGAAAATGAGCCATTGCAAATCTTGTATCTTGGAACAACCCCGAATTTGTAGACTTTGAAAGTTCAAAACATAATATTGGGTATTGTCACTTTCAAATCTTAAATATTCACAGTTTTCTATAACAAGTTCTTTCAAATGCACCATTCTTGATAAAACTGAAATTGGAATTTTGAGCTTCTCTACTTGCTTTATAGATAGATTCCTAATCCAACTTAGCAATCTTGAAGAGTTCAGCATCTTTTCTACAGCCAAATAACTGAACAAGCTAACACTTATGTCAACCAGACGTTCAATGGATTCCAACTCTTCTAACAAGACTGTGTCATCAAAGATTTCATTGCCTAACTTATTGAATGCTTGCAGTGACGGAAAACTTGATATTAATCTCTTAGGTATAACTTGAAATTTTTCAGTATAATCCATAAGCAAAAGCTTTAAATTTGCCAAATTTTTAGTTTCTACAGGCAATTCCTTTATATTTGTAAAAGAGATATTAAGATATTGCAAGTTGCTTAATGAACCAATGCTACTAGGCAACTCAACTAACCTTTTGTTTTTTGACAAATCTAAAACTCCTAAGGAACTCATAGAGGGCCATTCCATTGGCAATGCACTTATTTCACTGTTTCTAATAAGCAAAGTGTGAAGTTGAGGACAAGGACATAAAGGAAGCAGTACATCATCATTCTGATCATAAATTGATATTCTCACAGCTTCAGTCCATTTTTCTAACCTTCGTTCTTGTACTAAAAAAGCATTCTCCTTTTTCCCGCGTTCACGACCTAACCACAAGCCAAATGCACGAATGATACCATGCATCCAAAAAATATCACTTAATTCATCAACCTCTAATAGACAAGATTCCTTTAACCTCTTGATAATATAGTCTCCCAAGTTCTTAGTGGACATATCCAAAATCCGCTCTCCAACCCATAGCTTAATGAGTTCATCTTTTCTAATCATATTAGGCAGCATAGAAATATATATGAAACAATCTTTAAGTGTATCATCGTCTAAGCTCTCAAAACTAGGCTCAATAATGCGAAAAATATGATCCATACCTGGCAACATTGGTGGGTAGGTTTGCAATGTCCTAGTTACCCACAGCTTACGATTACTCATTTTAGCCATTGCTTGCCCAACAGCTACAAGGGCAAGTGGCAAACCTTGGCAAAATTCTGCATTGATAGTGTCCGCAACATATTTCATAGGATGACTATGATCCACACCAACCTTTATCAAGAACAATTTCAATGCCTCTTCCCGTGACAAACATTTCAATTTCAATTTTACCTGAGCTTCCATTTCATCGCACACCCTTTCTGATCTAGTTGTGAATATGACTTTGATACCATTTTGATTAGATAGAGGAACCCCAAGTTTTAAAAGATCTAATCTATCCCATACATCATCTAATAACAATATGAACTTTCTACTGCCCAACAATCTCTCCATAGCCATAGTTTTATCTCTCATGTTTGTACTTTTCCACGTGTCATTCGAGATGCTAAACTGTTTGCGAATAACATTCTGGATTGCACCAACATTTGCTTCTCTGGACACTTTAACCCAAATCACCTTCTCAAAATCTTGTCTTCTAATAAGGAGCTCATCTTTAATCTTTTTCAAAAGAGTAGTCTTGCCAATACCTGCCATTCCATATATTCCAATAATTCTAAAACTATCGTCCTCAACACATCTCCAAACATCATCCAATCCAGATTCAAAATCCACAGTGGCCTCAACATTAATCAAATCCACAAAATCATGAGGAGTTCTTTGAACAACAAAATCAAAATTACCTTCAATCAAGATTTGATTGACGGAGTTGAGCTTTTCCCAAACTCTCTTCCCAACTTCAGAACTTGAATTATAGAAGCAATTGGCGCAGCAACATCTAGGCTCTCTCCTCAGCAGTTCTTCTTGACCTTCTGCAATAACTTTCTCTATCTCTGCTTCTAACCGGTCTGCCCTATACAGCCAGTCAGTCACTCTGTAGGTGCGCTCCTTGTACGGGCTTGCTTCACGCTTTATCCTAATTTTTATGTTCTCCTTCTTGTTCTTCAGTTGGTTAAAAGCATATTTCAACGGATCAAGATTATCTTCCAGTTGATAATTATGTTTGTTCCAAATTGGACGAAAACATGATAAAGAAATTGTTTCCATGGCATTTAGGGATTAGGATAAACAAAATGAAAATTTAGCTATTTCTGATTCAAGAGAAAAGTAATTGTTCATAGATGTCTATGAAAGAATTTCAACGATCCTAGCCTAGCTACAGGAAAGAGAACAAGTTTGCTTGGCGTGCTGGATAGTCAACTTGTATATGGAGTATTTTATTACTTATTTCTATTCGCATTTGAATTTTTATTTTTCATTTTCCGGCTCTTTTTTATAAAAACAAATGAAAATGAAAGAAAAATGATACATGTCAAGAGCAACAAGAAGAGAGGTCCAATTCGTTCCTCTCTCTCTCTCTCTATATATATATTTATATCAAAAAGAAAAATTACTCAAGGGCATCCAAGGCCACGGCCGGCCCTTGACATTTAAAAAATATATATATTAGCCAATTAAATCCAAATGACTAAAATTGAGTAATGAACGTGGTGCGCCATAACATTAAAGTTTCCTTTGTGATATATTTATTAGTAAAAAAAAATATTTCATTTGTCTCATAATCTATGTTCTGATTTGATTTATATATAAATTAAAAATTTTAATTAATATGATTAAACTATAATTTTTATTTTATTTTTTAATACTATATCCTTAATATCTATAAAAAATAAATGAAACATCTTAAATTGTTCTTGAAATTAATTAAATAATAAAAATTTATTGGTATTAAATGTTGATATATTAATTTTGTTTTCTATCAAGATTCAATTAATAATAAAATGGTCAATCGTATGATGATCTATTCGATTTTCTCACTCATGTGAAAAGAGAAAATTTATAAATGCAAGCCGTGGAACGACTTCGAAATGATAGGAAAGAAAATAAGGAAGAAAAATTATATTAAAGATTATAATTTTTTTTTTCTTAGTTATTTTCCGTCCAATATAATAGAGGAAGAAAGAAAATGCCACTATCAAAAGTTGACCAATTTATTTTTCATTTATTGTTGAACAAATAGTGTTATTTATTTTTATCCTTTTACTGAAGCTAAAATATCTCTTCTCTTTATTATTTATCTTTCTCAATCATAACAAACCTTTCCTCTATCTCTCAATATAATTGGATTAAAGTAGGAAATAAAACAACTAATCAAATTAAAATTTTTTTATTTTCTTAACTAATAAAATTAAAATTTTTAAAAATATTCTTATCGATCTATAAATTTATTAAGGGTATTTTTTTTTTTTCCAATTTTAGTATTCCTCTCTCCATTCTCACTTCTACATATTTATAGATAATTTCCATCGCTAACATTTTTTTTCACCTAAACAATTTAGTAATTCTAGTTGGCTGGTTTGAACTTTCATCTTGAATCACCATTTTTTTTCTGAAAAAAAAAAATTAAACGAAAAAGAAAACTATATTACTCGAGAATCAAGTTACTTAAATCATAACCGAATGCAAATAGAAAACTATATCATCTCAAATACTCTTCATCCTCATATATCTCATCTACACTGCCCGCTCCTGTGCCTACAGTGCCCGATCCTGTGCCTACAGTGCCCGATCCTGTGCTTCGCGCCGGAGATTCATACCGTTGTCTATCATATAGGAAAGAATTGTCTCCTGGGCGCCATATACTCACGACAGGAATATTCCCTTTTAGAGCTGAAACTATCTATAATGGTAGAAAAAAATTAGCTTACATGTTGAATTATTTGTTGAGACAAAAGTTTAATTACATTCCAATCATCCTGAGACCAAAAAAATTGGCTGTAAAATTGAAACCGGTTAATTATATCATAGATAATACTGATTAGGACCAATATGCGTTCATTTAAAAACTAAATTAATAATCCTGAAAAAGTAATAAATTTAATCAATTCAGTCTGCTTGTGGTTTCTTTCTGAATCTATATAAGAAATATTATTTAAACATATATATATATAGGGAGAGAGATAAATTTACCTGGCTCATTTGTGGGCGAAGTTCCGCAGGTTTATACACACAGGCTGCAGCACAAAAAATCATTCTGTGCATTTCATCTAGATCATAGCTTAGGCCCAATTTGGGATCGATAAAAGCGTACCCATTACCAGTCTCCAGACTTTCTTTAAGTAGAGACTTCACCTAAATTTTGAAAGACACAAATGTCGGTTTAATAACGTAATAGCTTGTATGGATGCCTTAAAGATTGAATGTACCAGTATCTGACACCGACATTTCTCCCGCACTCACAAATATGTATAGGATCCTTTAAAAATATGTATTGTTTTTTATTTTATCTTATTAATTTTATCAAAACTTTGCTTATGATTTGATTGGATTATGTATAGAACATACGTACCGAAAGAACTAGATCGTCGTCCATTGTTTCAACCGCTCTCTTGCCAGTAATCAACTCCATAAGCACCACCCCATAGCAGAAGACGTCGGTCTTGACAGTGATCTTTCCATGTTGCAGATACTCAGGTTCCAGATAACTACGCACGAGAGCCAAACAATTTTCATGAAAACCAAGAAATCATCAAAGGAGATGTAATTAGTTATGGTCAGATTACTTAACAAATAGAAAAAGTTTCTTACCCTATAGTTCCCATAACTTTCTCGTAAATTTCAGTAACAGAATCTGGAAAGACAATGGCAAGTCCAAAATCTGAAATCTGAAATTAAGCCTAATAATTAAATAAATAATAAATTAAAAAGCCTGATGATAGAAGAAGCCTAGATTAAGTAATGTTCAGTGTGTAGCAAAATTAGCAAGAATAATGTCTCGTACATAAATGTTACCTTTGGCTCAAAGCTATGATCAAGAAGAATGTTACTGGGGTTGATATTCCTGTGGACGATCCTGGGTTCACCTACAAATGGGTATATCAGGAAAGGAAAGTGACAATTCAAAAACGAATATCTCTTAACATTTAATTTAATAATAATAACAATAACATGAAGTGAAATACTCACACTCTTCATGCAAATATGTCAATCCTTTTGCGGATCCTACAGCGATTTTCATTCTTATTGACCAATCAATACTCAAATTGTCATTTTCTGCATGCAATGTTAACCATCAGAACTAATTTTTGCTTTATAAATCTTTTTCTTCGTTGTGAGAAATAAATGAAATTAGGAAAAGAACTCACCAAATAAATGATATCTCAAAGAGTTGTTGGGAACAAACTCATAAACAAGAAGTTTATTTGCTTGGTTTTGGCAATATCCAACTAGCTTGACAATATTACGGTGATGGATTCGGCTAATGGTCTCAATCTCTGCCAAAAATTCATTATCCGCAGTTTCCCTATCATTTTTGAAGTGCTTAACAGCAACTGCTTCACCATTTGATAACATTCCTTTGTAAACTTTACCAGAACCACCCTCACCTAGCAGACTGCCGTAAGAGAAATTAGCAGTTGCCTCTACTAATTCTTCATAGGTAAAGGTCTTCAGCCAACTGCTTCCAAGCCTCTTAGTGATAATAACAGATTCTTCTTTTGTATTTGAAAGCATGGCTTTACTCCTAATGCCAAGAGGAGACTTAAACACCCATTTTCGTTTTCCTCTTGGATTTGAAGGTCGACGGTCCTGGATTGTTTTAGGGGCAATAGGAGACTTCGATATCAATTTTCTTTTTCCTTTTCCTTTTGTAGTTGAAGGAGCAGTATCTGCGTGGCTTAAGAGCTTACCTTCATGGCCCAATACACAAGGAATCAAAATAATAACGCCTCATAAAACAAGATTAAACAAGAAATTATGACTGCATTGTATCTAAAATATAATATATATGAGAAGATACACGCATCGAGTCTAAATACTATGTATTAGTATTACTCTTGAAGGGCTATAAAACATATTATTTAAGCTAAAAGTCTAAAACAAGATACCTGCTGTTGAGCCTTCTTGTTGCCGGTTCATACGTGGAGAAGCAGTTCTTGAGTAATGGATTTGCTGAAATTGGCTAGCTCCAAAAACATCTAAATAAGGAAAGAAAATGAATTAGCAACTGTGCAAGGATTTAGAGGGAAAGTTGAAAAAGAATTTGAATTTGATATTACATTGATATTTATCTTGAATTTTAACGGTTTTTTTTTTTTTTTTCTCTGAGACTTTAAATTGTCAACTATAGTAATTAAATCATCCAATTATGATCCTACAGGGGTGAGATGAAATGACAGTGATCTAAATTAGATAGGTTAGTGGACTTTAGATACCCAATGGTTAAAAAAATTAAAAAAAAAAAATTCAAATATGATCTAACTGTGCTGACAATGTTATTCAATGTTTATTTTAAAAATTTACAAGTTTAGCATAAACTTTGGTTTGGCATAACAAAAATCAGGTAAAATTTATTTATTGTCAAAATCCCTTTTTTTTTATACAATAGATAGATGGGAATTCAATATATCTTTCATTTAATTAAGTAGAAATTTTAAAAGTTTTTTTTTTATTTATTTACAAAAGTACTATCAAAATCAAATAAAATTTATTTATTGTTCAAAATATTTAAAGGAAAGATATTACCTTGAAATTTGTAATCGAAAACATCTCTAATAGCTACATCCTCCCACTTCAAGCGGTCCCACCAGCTTTTAGCTCCCTTTATGTCTCTTAACCTCGTTGCACTATGTAAATGAAATGGGAGTTCTACTAGATTTGGACAGCCAATCACAACTATATCCATCAGAACTGGAAATTGCAAAGCTTGATGGCAGATGTGGTGTAAATGTTGAAGATCTTCCAAGTATAATTTCTTTAGACTTGGTAATATACCCAAACGTGTATCAATTTCTTTGATTTCTTCAGATTCAAAATCATTTCCTACAATTTCAAACAATGATTCGCAACTTCGTAGATCAAGAGTTCGAATTTTAGGAGCGAAAATCAGCCATCGCAAATCATATATCTTGGAACAACCCCGAATTCGCAGACTTTGAAAGTTCAAAACATAATATTGGGTATTGTCATTTTCAAATCTCAAATCTTCACAACCTTCTATATCAAGCTCTTCCAAATGCACCAGTCTTGATAAAACTGAGATCGGAATGTTGAGTTTCTCTACATGCTTCAATGATAGATTTCTAATGCAACTTTGTAGTGAGTTCAGCATCCTTTCAGCAGCCGAATAACTGAATAAACTAATACTTATGTCACTCAAATGTTCAATGGATTCCAACTCTTCTAACAAAGTTGTGTCCTCAAAGATTTTATCGCCTAGCTTGTTGAATACTTGCAGTGACGAAAAACTTGATATTAATCTCTTAGGTATAACTTGAAAATTTTCAGTATAATCCATAAGCAAAAGCCTTAGATTTGCCAAGTTTTTCATTTCAACAGGCAATTCCTTTATACTTGTAAAAGAGAGATTAAGATATTGCAAGTTGATTAATGAACCAATACCACTAGGTAACTCAGATAAGTTTTTGTTTTTTGACAAGTCTAAAACTCCCAAGGCGTTCATAGATTGCAACCCTGTTGGAAATGCATTTAGGTTGGTATATCTAATAAGCAGAGTCCGAACTTGAGGACAAGGACTTAAAGGAAGCATTACATTTTTCTGATCATATATTGATATTCGCACAGCTTCAGTCCATTTCTCAACCCTTCGCTCTTGTACTAAAACCTTATTCTCCTTTTCTCCATGCTCACGAGCTAACCACAAGCCAAAAGTCCGAATGACACTATGCATCCAAAAAATATCACTTGATTCATCACCCTCCAATAGACAAGATGCCTTTAACCTCTTGATAACATAATCTCCCAAGTTCTTAGCATACATATCTAAAATCCCCTCTCCAATCCATAGTTTAATAACTTCATCTTTTCTAATCAAATTAGGTAGTATACAAGTATGAATGAAACAATTTTTAAGGATATCATCCTCTAAGCTATCAAAACTGGGCTCAATAATGCGAAAAATGTGATTCATACCTGGAAACGTGGATGGGTAATTTTGCAATGTGCTTATTCTGTGTTCGACCTCACTATTGCTCATTCTAGACATTGCTTGTGCGATGGAAATGAGGGCAAGTGGCAAACCTTGGCAAAATTCTGTGTTAATGGTGTCTGCGACATGATCTGTAAAGTTACTATAATTCAAACCAACCTTTGACCGGAACAATGTCAACGCTTGTTCTCGTGACAAACATTTCAATTTCAGCTTTTTCTGAGCTTTCATTTCATCACATACCCTCTCTGATCTAGTAGTGAATATCACTTTTGAACCACTTCCATCAGACACTGGAACTCCAAATTTTAAGAGATCCAATCTGTCCCATAGATCATCTAATAACAATATGAATTTCTTGCTGCCCAACAATCTCTCCATATCTCTCTTGTTTGTTTTTTTCCATGTCTCGTTCGAGATGCTTAACTGTTTGCGAATAACATTTTGGATTGCGTCAACATTTGCTTCTCTGGACACTTCAACCCAAATCACCTTCTCAAATTCTTGTTTTCTAACAAGAAGCTCATCCTTAATCTTTTTCAAAAGGGTAGTCTTGCCAATACCTGCCATTCCATATATTCCAATAATTCTAAAACTATCGTCCTCAACACATCTCCAAACATCATCCAATCCAGATTCAAAATCCACAGTGGCCTCAACATTAATCAAATCGACAAAATCATGAGGCCTTATTTGAACAACAAAATCGAAATTGCCTTCAATCAAGATTTGATTGACGGAGTTGAGCTTTTCCCAAACTCTCTTACCAACTTCAGAATTTGAATTACAGAAGCAATTGGCGCAGCAACATCTAGGCTCTCTCCTTAGCAGTTCTTCTTGACCTTCTGCAATAACTTTATCTGTCTCTGTTTCTAACCGATCCGCCTTACACAACCAATCAGTTACTCTGTAGGTGCGCTCCTTGTACGGGCTTGCTTCACGCTTTATCCTAATTCTTATGCTTTCCTTCTTGTTCTTCAGTTCGTTAACTGCATCTTTCAATGAGTCAAGATTATCTTCCAGTCGACAGTTATGTTTGTCCCAAATTGGGCGAAGACATGATAAGGAAATTGTTTTCATGGCATTTAGGAATTAGCATAGATGACTGTGAAACAGTTTAACTGATCCAGGCTAGAGGATAAAGAACAAGTCTGCTTAGCGTGCCGGATGGTCAACTTACATGGAGTTTTATTACTGGATTCTATTTGCATTTGAATTTTTATTTTTATAAAAAAAAATAAACAGAAACGAAAAATGATACATCAGAGTAACAACAAGAAAAAGTCAAGTTTTTTTTGGCATTAATCTTTTTCTATTTGCAATCCCAAGTCCATTCAAGTAAGTAATTCATTGTTTTGCTATTATATTATGATTATAGAGTTTCCTTCTGTTGGTGGTGTTGTGCTGGGACCACACAGTTTGAAAAAAAAAATAATAATAATAATAATAAAGAGAAAAAAAAATGTGTTGTTTGAAAAAGCAAAAGGTTGGTTGCCAACCATTCAAATGTCGGCAACCAACTACGAAATTAATGGAGAGCCGTGTGTAACAAACACACGACTCGCAAAAGGTTGGTTGCCAACCATTTTCAAATGTCGGGATGACCAACTTAAACGAAATAACTGGAGAGCCGTGGTGTAAGCACACAGCGATCTGGCCTCTCATGTCCCTTTTCCTATAAAATTAGGAGAAACGATTGTGTTTTTAAGCTGATTTATGTAGTCGCAAGTAGGTGGGCCATATATAACGCGAAAGAACGAATGTAGAGATGTTCATTGGCTTGTTATATCGGAGGGTTCTTAATAACTAAGGGTTTAGAAAATTTAGTTTGAAGAATTATAGGCGGTGTTTGGGAAACACCTTGTGAGGTGGCTAGTATTTTTTGTATTGCATACTTCTTTCTTGTTAAGCCTACTATTTTAGATTAATAGAAGAAGTTATTTCGGTGTTGGAATCGGTGTGAAGTAGACCCTGAAACAGGTATGTAGGGTGATACTTAACCCCTAGTAGAGATATGTGTCTGGTGTGTTCCCAATTTTAAATTTTTGTCGCTTCTTAATTTATTCTCGATTGGTTATTGGTCGGTATCTATACAGGTGGTATCAGAGCCTGGTGTCAGCCGGTCCAGATAGCGGTACCGAGCCCGGATCCGTAGAATATTTTGAAAATAATATAACCACGGAAGACGAGAAAATTACGACGAGTCCGTTGGTGCAGTCCGCATCGGGAAAGAACGTTGCAAAAATCAACTTAGTGGATGAATAGTAAATAGTAACTCGCAGTTGACGGGTGAATTTAGTTACTATTGACGTTACTGTTCTCTGACCCGGTCACTGTTAGCCCAGCACTCTCACGTATAGTACTAATTTCACGCATACAGGTACTATTCACGTATGGTACTATTTACACGTGTACGTTACTATTCTTTATATATGGTACTTATTTAATATATACGCGTTACTATTTCATTCTAAGTCAGTGGAAGCTAGAAACGAGCAAAAATGATCAGTCTAAATGGCGCAAATTACCATATATGGAGAAAATAAAATGAGAGATCTCCTTATGGGTAACCAAGATGCATCTGCCAGTGTTGTTCAAGCAAACCGGAAGACAAGACTATATGAAGGAAGTGGGTGGGCTTTCGAGCATGAACAAGTTTGTGGTTATATTCGACAATTTGTCGATGATAATGTATACAACCACATTTGTAATGAGACTCACGCCAGAACATTATGGACAAGCTTAACAGCTATATGCCTCAAAATCCGGCAACAATCAATTATTTTATTTGACGAAGCTGATGAATTTCAAATACCAAGAAGGTACATCTGTAGCAGATCACTTGGGTGAAATGCAGGCGACTATTCACCAGCTGTCAAATATGGGCATAAAATTTGATGATAAAATCCTCGGCCTTATGGTGCTAGCCTCCTTACCGGAGTCATGGGAGACTTCGAATATCAATAACAAACTCTACACCACATAGTGGAGTTAGCTGGGAATTTGTTAAAAATGCTGTTCTGAATGAAGAAATGAGACGTAAAGCACAGAATCCTTCTTCATCTCAGTTAGACATTTTTTTAGCAGATGCTAAAAGAAATAACAAGCCCAGAGGGAGGAGCCAATCTAGAAGTTCAACTACAAGAGATAAGAGCAGGGGTAAATCAAACAAATTTGCCAATATTATGTGCCATCATTGTGGGAAGAAGGGGCAGGGAAGAAGGGGCCACATTAAAAGGTATTGGCCGAAGTTCAAAAAGTGACTCAGGGAGAAGATCAACAAGGCATAAATAGCAAAGAAAAGAAGAAAGCAAGGAATGGATGAAGCCAATGTCATTGCTTGAGTTCCACCTGTTCATTGAAGACACTATCAATCTTTGCATCCCAGGGAGACTCAGTTGGGTAATTGATCAGTGGGGCTACACTTCAGCAAAGTTTGTCTAAAGATTTTGGGTGAAGCTCTTCTCAACAGCAGTTTCAATCTTATAAATCTTCACTTGTATTACCTCCTTTCAGTATGATACTCTCCAGAAAGAGGCTATTGGTCAGGAAAGGATGTTTCCTATGATCACTTGCGGGTGTTTGGTTGGCAAAGCATTTGTGCATATTCCTAAGGATGAAGAGGTCTAAGCTGATGTTCAAGACTCCGACAATGTGTATTCATTGGCTATGGTCAAGATCAAATTTGGCTATAGATTTTTTGATCCAAATCCAGAAAAAGCTGATAAGAAGTAGAGATGCTGTATTTGTTGAAAATCCAAACTATTGAAGATGTTTGAATAGACTCAGAAGCAAGTTGCCGATAGATCTGAAGATGATTCAACAGAATGTGCAAATAGTTCCTCCAGCACAGAAAAAGACAAGTTGGAGATTGAAGAAAATGTTCCCAAGAACAAGAGCCATGAGTTAGAAAATCCAGAAAGTTCCTCATCAGAATGAACAGAAGAAAGATTTTGACATGTTCAGCCACCAGCACCGGAAGGTTCTCAAACATTAAGAAGATCCAGTAGAGTTTGACAACCATCTACTAGATATCCAGTCAAAGAGTATGTACTGACGACTGACGGGGGAGAAAGTGAAAGCTTTGAAGAAGCTATGGGAAATGAACACAAGAGGAACTGGATTGAAGCCATGCAAGATGAAACGAAGTCCTTGCATGAGGATGAAACATTTGAACTAATGAAGTTGTCTAAAGGCAAGAAAGCTTTGAAGAACAAGTGGGTGTTCAGAATCAAGCAGGAAGAACACAGCTCCCAACCACAATTCAAAGTTAGACTGGTTGTGAAAGGATTTAATCAAAGAAAGGGTATTGATTTTGATGAAATCTTTTCAGCCTGCATTGAAATTTCGAAATTTATGGTTTTTGCCAAATGGAAAAAGAAAGAAAAAAAAAATCCTCGAAATTCAATTCTACAAATTTTGATATCTTTCTTTTTTTTTTTTTTTTAATAACAACTCGTAGCCCTTTAAAAGTGATAGAATTTCCATTTATAATACATCAATATTATATAGACAAATTTTTAAATTAATTGCGAGGCTCAATATATCGAAATACCATTACGTGTTTCAATAAAAAATTTAATTTTTGTATAATTAAATTTAAAATTAAGAGTCACATAGCCAACCTAATCCATCACAACAATTTTTTTTTTTTTTTTTTACTAAATTATTAGTGAAATTTTCAATTAAGGTGATATATAAGAGTTGTAACGCTATTCTTTTTGACAACCATGTAAATTAGAATGAAACCACATAAAAATCATAATTATTATAAAAAAAACAAAATGTAAAATACAAAAATTAACTAAAGTTATAAAGTATGAAGATCACGAGAAATCGAAGAACGCAAGAAATTATGGTCAAACAGATTGTAGCGTCTCGGCTCGGTTCAATCGGGTTACGGTTGGACCGGGAAGGGATGTTACATGTCCTCTTGCTAATCACTTGAAATTAAGCTCAAAACAGTGCCCTTCTACCGATGGAGAGAAGGAAGAAATGGAAAAAATTCCATATGTCTTAACAGTTAGAAGCTTGATGTATGCCATGGTTTGTACACGGCCAGATATTGCTTACTCAATCGGAGTAATGAGTCGGTTTCTCTCAAATCCTGGAAAGGAACATTGGGCTGCGGTGAAATGGATTTTCAGGCATCTTCGAGGTACAACCAAAATATGTCTATGTTTTGGAGATGATAAGCCAGTATTAGTTGGTTATACTTATGCAGATATGGCTGGGGATGTTGACTCAAGAAAGTCCACATCAGGATATGTAATCACATTTGCAGGGGGAGTCGTGTCATGGCAATCAAGATTACAAAAGTGTGTTGCTTTGTCAACAACTGAGGCAAAATTTATAGCACTAACAGAAGCGTGCAAGGAGTTGCTGTGGTGAAGAAATTTTTGAATGAACTCGGAATTCATCAAGAGCGATATTAGATATTTTGCGATAGTCAAAGTGCAATTCACCTTGGAAAGAATTCCTCCTTCCATTCAAGATCAAAACACAATGATGTTAGATATCACTAGATAAGGGATGTGTTGGAGATGAAGCAATTACAGATGAAGCAGTTACAGCTTGAGAAGATCCATACAGATGAAAATGGATCAGATATGTTAACGAAGATTCTTCCAAAAGATAAGTTTGAATATTGCCGATTAGCTGCAGGGATGATGGAGAGTTTGGTTGACGTCTCCACTTGAGCATGCAGGGGGAGATTTGTTGGTGGTGGTGTGTCCACTCAAGTGGGACCCACACAGTTTGAAAATAATAATAATAATAATAATAAAGAGAGAAAAAAAAAACATGCTGTTTGAAAAAGCAAAAGGTTGGTTGCCAACCATTCAAAGGTCGGCAACCTTTTTGGTGCTGCAATTTATTTTTCGGTGGACGCGTGATTAACGCGTCCACTTCTCCTATAAATAGGAGATGTTTTAGTTCATTTCTACACACAGCCACAGATAGGAATTAATCTGTGAAAAGAGATTTGAGAGTTATTCAGTTTTAAGAAGGGGTTCTTAAAACTAAGGGTCTAGAAAAATAGTGAAGATTATTGGGGTGTTTTTGGGAAACACTTTTGAGTGCCACTATTTTCTATTATTCTTTTTGTAAGCCTACTATTTTTAATAGTGGAAGAAATATTCAGAGTTGGTCTCGTGGACGTAGCCCTAAACAGTTGAGGGTGAACTACGTAAATTTCTGTGGAACCACGTAAATTTCTGTGTGTCCCAATTTTAATTTTTCCACTTCTTAATTATTCTCGATTTTTATTGCCGGTATCCTA